TAAAAATCGATATTATACATCGTCGAGGAGGCGCCTTCTAACAAACCTCCTTGTAGTTCACCGGTAATTGCGTAGAAGATGGCAGAATAGAAGTGTCAAATGAAGTTTTGAAAAATCGATAACTAGGGGAGAGGGAGGAGGGTAACGAAGATGAATGGGTAGGCTGTTATGCGGGGTGCCAATGGGTTCCTATCGAGTGAAATGCACGAAAATCGAGCCGCGTGCATCTTTACGCCATCATCAATGATCGCCTGGAATGAACGAAACTGAATGACCGTGTAGGTCAGGAATGGATGAAATGGTCGGGTAAGTGATGGCGGACTGCTATAGTCATACATCAATAACACAAGAAGCAGGATGAGAAGTGTTTGATTGCACAGAGGGTAGGTAGCAGATATGGAAATTGTGCCACAGACGCAGAGTAATACAAGTTCGAGTCATTCAGGTCGACTTGAAAATGGTCTAAATTTTAGCTCACATTCCTCCCTCCCGCCAGATTTCCCATCTCAAATATTACCCACTCGTTGCAAGCAGTGGAAATTCGCGGACTGATTGTCCATCGGATAAAGCACCTTAAACCGCTTATATTCATTGCCCACAAGCTATTTTCCATAAGTTCTTCTGTTCTTCTATTTCTGATTTAAATTATTAATCAGTAGAAGTTATCAATGACCAATACAGCCATACATCAACTGCATCAATTCGAGAACTGGAAGGAAAGATACGAATTTAACTGAATTCATTTTCCCTCTTGGAAGAGTAAAGGAAGAGTAAACAAAGATGAAAATGTACGAGAGTAATCTAAATATTACTTTTAGGATGATCGTCACCTTTCGTTTCACCATTGACAATAATAAAAATAACATTAATATTATTTATTATTGTTATTTGTTTATTTCTATTATTTATTTATTATTTATTATTACTTATTGTTATTACCTACTATTATTGTTATTTATTATTATCATCTATTACTATTATTTATTATTATTATCTACTATTATCATTTATTACTATTATTATTTTCATTATTACTATTATGAGAAAGGAAGGCAAGAACTCACTGAACGAGCTGAGGGACATCCATCCATCCATCCATTACCCATAACATGTAAGCAAATCGATGCCACTTATCCTTCGTAATGTCCCGATCGATGGGCAACTAAATCGGTTAGCAAATGTGTTAAATATGTACCGATGAAATGGGATCTCCCTGTCAGCTGAAGCGTTATTAACTGACAATCGCCCCTTATTTATCTTTCATTTCTTTTCCATTTATTCACTCGGATAATGTAACTGAGGATTCAAGAAATCCCGGAAGAACACCACAGTCCTTATCCTTCTATAATTATAATGCTGCAGTTATCCCTTATTTATCAGGTTTGGTTGAATATTCCATTCATGGTGTGAAGTAAACAAGGTTGGAAGAATTTGAAGGACGAAAAAAAGACACTTGAATTCCCGAAGGAGTTGGCTAAAAACAAATTTGTATGCTGAAGTTTAATCTCGAAGCATGAAGGAGTAACAGAACAGTCATGGAAATTTGTTTTGCTGCCAAACATTATCCATATTTATGATGACCATAAATGAATTCACAAATTGAAGTAGCAATGATGGAAAAGCGATTTGAGGAATATCATCAGTATCTAACCAAGAAGTGATATTCAACAATGTCCATTCTGTTTGAGATTATATCACATTCAACAGACATAAATGATGGAATGTAACGATGAATAGAGTTATCTGAAAATTACAAACTTATACTCCAAAAATCGATATTTCAGAGCCAAAGGTAACTCATAAAATTTAGCTAGATTTTAATACATCTCCTGTCACATCGGAAAGTTTTTCATAGCCATAATAGCAAGTGTCATATTCATTCCTCTGTCAATGATATCATACTATTACTTAATTTCCATTGAAAATGAAGAGCTAATTTATGTAAAATATTTTTTTAGACATTTGTGCTTATTGTTACTGCGGGTCGATCTTGATCAGTTAAGATTTGAAAGATCATTCAGTTATAAAATCAATACCAATTAGTCAATTGGACTAATCAGTTTAGCATTGATCCATCTATGCATGGCTAATCATTTCGTGACACATCCTTCACATCCTTTCACACGCATAAAATGGGCATTTACATTTGTAGAGTGACATTCTTAGAAATACGTGCAGATTGATAAACTAGTGTGAATTGATATTCTTGGTAATACGTGCAGATTGACATTGTGGAAATACGTGTGGATTGATATTTTTAGAAAGACACATACTACTATTGCATGGTTGGATTCTTCCAACATTTGCTGTCAATAAACTGTAATAACTTTCTACATGCGTGTGATCTCTAACAAATAACCACCCTAATATTTATCGTCTTCATAGTTGATTATGAATACATCATATGTGTCGTCTACCTACTCCTAATGATACGAGATTTGAAAGAGATGGAAAACCGAACGCTTTCTGGAGAGAAATATTAAACTTTCTGAATTCTTTTTTTTGCTAGATGGAGATCAAAATTTAGCTAGTATCATATGGAACATTTGCGTAGGGCTAATGAATAAGCCATGCGTAATTTTAGTTTGCAATTACAATTTTGAAACCTTCTCTCTTTAGCTATGATATCGTTACAATCAAAAATTCTTGTGGAGGAAGAGAAACATCACTCTAGCAGTCTGTCTCTCTTGCAAAACTACTGATAGTTTCTTGCATTTTTTCATTTTGATCTATCCCACTCAACACTATGAGCAAAACTATGACGAGCAAATATATAGTTTTTGGGATTACAAGTATTTGTTCATTCCGATGAACATATACTAAAATTGGAACAATACAGAGAAGATTAGCATGGCCCCTGCGCAAGGATGACACGCAAATTCGTGAAGCGTTCCAAATTTTTCGCCAAATTTGGAAGTCATATTGGGTTATGATTTACGTTTTATGTTTACGTATCAATGCGCGAGCGAGAGGATTTTTACTCATATTAGAAGTATGCTCGCAGCTTTCCAAAAGGACCAGTAATTGATTATTTCTTTATTCATTTCTAAGAAATCCATTAGAGTTTAGGTTAATGACCACGAAGTTATTATTTATTGCCTTATTTTGCTGTTTCTAAGAGATTGATCGGAGTTTAGGCCATTTTTCAATGAACTATCTTTGCTGAAGGAACTGATCCAATAGCGCATAATAATTATGGGTCATTCTATCATAGATGCGTCGCGATGATGTTCTGCTAATGGTGTGAATGTTAATAATCATATTTTTTAATGTTTACTTGAACAAGTTCCCCAATGGATGCATGGAGTATGTAAAGTACTTCACTGATGGATTGACGTAATAATATCACGATGAAGATTCAATTACATTGGCATCGCATTAGTACGGTTTGCAGGTATGTCGATTTTAAATACTACAGAAGTAGAACGAATGCAAACGTATCTTTTACCACTTAGAAATTATAATAATTGCAATTTGCTAAAAGTATTTGCAGTTGTTCCGGACCGAATGCTATCGGGTGGGGTATCTGTAGCATTACGATTTTAATGTATTTCTCCGAAAAATTGTCCAAATGGTTCTTTTTTTTACTCCTGCTATTTCTCCGCAGGAAAGAAGCGCTCTCGAGGAAGAATTTCTACAATACTAATGGTCATTTGACAGCATTATTATCGCAGGAAAACGGAAGTGGGCGACGGACGAGATGAAAAGACAGAATGAAATAGCAACGGCAACAGCACGGATGATGAAGGAAGGAGACAGCCAGTTTAGTAGTCTCTCTGCTATAGTGGTTTCGGATACCTATCCAACTACAATTCTCATATAGGAAATTTCTGCCGACAACCGGAATGGACCTGAGTTAGAGATGCAGAGTCGCTTGCTATGCTGTCTACGACTACCCAGTGCTGCTACGATGATAAAACCTGATCTGATCCAAACATACTCTGTTTTTATGCTTCATTTATTGCTCTCTCTCTATCCCACTATTATTGCTGCTATCCAATCGACATTCAACCGCCTTAACAACCGAAGCCACCGGCCATATAAGAGACCATTCCTGATAGATATTTCAAATTTCAGTTCTCTTTAAAAAGATTTTTAAAAGTCTATTTACTTACCTCATACTTCTATTATATGAGCCTGGTATAACACTTTATCAAGTAGCTGTGCCTAATCCTGTTTATCATTCCTATTAGTTCCTTTTTCGGCTCTTTATGTTGCGTCCAATAAATTTGAATGGTCTGAAATAATCATGATTCTACTGATGACCATTTATTTATTATGACATTAAGGAAATTGTTACGCAGTTGCTCCAGGCAATCTTAATGACTTGTTTCTATGCGCCTATCGGAAACGGACTTCGAACTGGATTTTTGATATCGGGATTAAACGATAGCTCCAATTAAGTTAGCACACTATTTACACCCGTTTGACTTATCTGTGTAGAAGGACTGAGAATATCAAATTATCGTTTTTCAAGAAGTGTTTGTATAAAGTATCCCGAAAAGTTGTCCGTGTGCGAGCTTTAAGGAACGCCCTAAGGACTTTAGAGGTGAGTATGCATTGGATCGATAGAAAGGAAAATGCATAATACAAATAATTACTTCGTTGTTCTCATGTACTAATATTTCTTTGTTTGAACTGAACCGATGGTCCCAATTGGCTTATTTGCTTTAAATAATATGTGAAATAAGATTTAATACCTTCCTAGTAAATAAATAGTGGTTAGGGTTAAGGGAATAATTGCGTGACTTTTCTCAATATTGTTATCTTACAACAAATATGCTACATTAACGCAACTATCTTAATTGTTCACTCAATTTTTCACTAGGTGCTTTCAATATCGCAGTCACGTGTTTTCCACCTGCTACTATGTTTGCCAGCTAACCTAACCTGATATTCCCTAAACAACTCTTGCCTTTGTTTTGCATTTTCTTAACCGTAGTGCAGCAATGAAACACTAAAAACTTAAACATTTCAATGTTTTAACATTGCAGATTTCTTCAGCCTGTCTGGCTTAAATAGATTTTCGGTGTTGCATCTCGGAGCGAGTCAGAAAATACGATTTCTGGGCCGGCTGTGTTGCCATACACTAGACAGTATATATCTGTTACCATGTCTGTTCGTCTGTCATTATACATAAATATATATATATATGTTATGTCAGTAATGGCGGTGTAACCGGAAATACGGAGGGAGTAGAGGGAAAGAGGTGGGGCAGTGGTAGTGCGCGTTAATGGTGTCGGTGCCGGAGCTGCAAACAAAAATGTTGTGCCTCGGTGAACGGACAAACCGATTGGGGGAGAATTCTTTTCCTGCTCGATGGTGTTATAATTTTGTGGATGCTGTATTTTACTCCTTCCTAAACACACACACACACTCACACACACACACACACATACATATAGATACACACACACACATACAAAATATACATAACACTCTTATCCTCTGCTCCGTTTTCACAACCGTCCGTCTCGCTGCAACCGGGCAACATCGTTGTCGTCATCAGCCGGTTCTGTCGCTACTTACTCCCGTTCCTTCCGTATATTGCGTGAATGATTAGCTATCCTTCCCTCCTTATCTCCGTTTTAGTCACCTATCACGGCGCACTAGGTAAGGGGGTACCGGCCCGGTCATTCGGGCTTGGCTCCTATCATTATCATCCGCTTACTACTCGACCTCATTCCTCTTTCCTCTTGTTGTTGTTGCCGTGATTGCTGTCGTTAAGTCAGTCACCTTTTCTTTTGTCCCTCAAATAACTCTTCGTCAATTCTTCCCTTTTTCTGACATTTTCCTGATTGACACTTTCCCAAAAAATCGTAAGGAACGGTCAAATTTAATCGGCGAGCAATCAAGCAAGCATTCAGCGATAATTATTCGAGCTATAAGTAATTGAAATACGTAATTAATGACCTATGGAACTTAAGCAAGTAATCAATCGTGAAATTTTCCCATTGACATTTTCTTGTCTCTAACCAGACTTTTTCAATACCAAGTAAACTTTTTTGTTCGTAATATTCCACCTCTCTCAGTATTAGAAAGCATCAGAAAATAAACTCATTCTCATTATAGTGCATAAATTTACCATCAAAACTGTAACCGGAAGCTTCCTCTATTTTGCGGAACATTTCAGCAAACTCGAGATGGTAACAATTTCTAAAAAAAATGTACTAAGTTTTTCACTATCCCTCGAAATGTAGTATCCTCAAATTGTCCATACAGATGATTTCAGCATTTCCTTATTTTGCATCACGAAGCATCGACTACGTCATCCTTCTGGAAGGTCAGATACCATTATTATTTATTTTGCTTTTGGTAACTCATCTTATGTTACTCTAAACATCTCAGTATTATGAAGCAGGTCGACCGAAGGATGACCTTTCTCCATATCTCTATCGTTTGCATATGATCCTATTCGCTCGATGTCAGTTACACACTGTATCGTTTGGAACTTGTCTAGTACTGTTATTCGATATCTGATTTTCCATTGCATTTTCATTCACATTTCGCATGAATACAGGTTAAAAGAGTGATAGGGAGAGATGTGGCGAGATATTAGTTTCCTTAGTTTGGATTCATGGTACTGACCTGAAGCGTCGCAACATTTTATCTTTTCCCACTCTTTAGAAGGGTTGCTGCATTTTTTTCTCTTTCTGCTGTTCATTTCATTTCAGTTCAGTTATAAATAATAGTATCTTCATTTTTCTCCGCAATTTGGAAATCACTTATCTAATTTCCTTTTCGATATTAATATTTGGAAGTGATTTCTATTACGTTGGAGTTAATTTTGTCCAAGAAAGATGCTGAATTTATGTGTCGTTCGTTTTATCACTTTTAATAATTTCTCCAATCTCGTTTCACTTTTACCGCTATGTGGTAAAAGTCGAGGTTATTTCTTTTTCTTGCCTATACTCCTTTTTTTGCGAAGCTTCTGTTGGTTGTAATTTGAAACTAATTTTATCTTTTCATCCTCATTCCAATTTTAATCAATCGAATGCTGTGTTTAACGAAGCAAGTCGTCGAAAGATTAAGTTTGAATCGAACATTGTTCAACAGCACATTTGAGCAGAATGAATTGCCGTGTGATGTGTACATGTCGTTGTTTGTAACTGTTACCACAAATGCCACGAGCGAAGGAATCTTTCATCTTGCAACATAAGATTTTCATTTCACCTCCCTATCGGTTCTTCTCGATAGAGCATTTCAGTATCGGAAGCTCTAGGTGCTGCATTATGAAGTGATGCTTATCTCTAGTAATTGAAGTTTTTTTCTCATGTAACTCAACTCAAAAAATTACAGACATTATTATAAAACGTAATTTAGATGATTCAAGAAATTCCTGAAAAAAATGTTTTATTCCTAATTATCTCTTATTTTTCTGGTCCCTATTATTCACTGCTGGACCGGTAACTGTACATAGATGACTGACCAATGTTTAATTCCACCTTTGTGTTTGTTTGAAATTATCGGCGGTACAGCACTATTGCTGATTATGATCTGGCTCGCGTCATCCGAAATCATCCTCTACTAATCACTCAACAGTTAGATTTGAAAAACCGATGAAACTCTGTAAAAAATGAAGCAGTATGTTTTATGAGCAATAATTAGAGCAGAAGTATCCGGGAAGGACAAATGTTGAAAATTTCACAGAATTGTGAACTACTTGCTCTTCTATTTCCTACTTATGAATCAATAAAAGCATAAAAAATCCAGCTATCAGAAATTTCAAAAGTCTCCTATTTAATGTGTATACGATTAATTTCTTTTGCTGTACTAGATGAGATTGAAATAAATAATGCGCGCGTGATTTGATGTGATCATTTCCATGTTATAACTTTGTCAATGACTGAATCGTATGAAAGGGAGATTTCATAAGTTATTGCGTGGATTTTAACGAGACTTATTTTGATACATTTCTAATGAAAGATGCTTCTTTATTTTTGATTAATTATCGCTCAGTGGATATTTTAACTGGAATTTGAAAGTAAAAAAGACTGGAATGATTTTTTTAATGTTTTATACTTGCATCACCTTCATATCCCACCCTAATTCTCTTTTTTCATCTTCAGATTCATCCTTCAATCTCTAGATCATTATATGAGTATCTCAAACATAGTATCATTTCCTTCCATATCGTCTTTATTATATACAAATATCTTAATATTTAAATATGCTTTGTTTCTTTCTTTTATTTATTTAATTTTCATGAGTGAATAAGATTAAATGGCGGTTGTGGAGGTGCAAAATCAGCGGTATTTAATGACACGTGTTAACTTGTCATCGACGCTAAGATGCTCTCATTCCTTATCAATATATGGATAAAATTATGACATCGGCAATGGTGTCATAACTTTGATTAAAAAGAGCGTGAGAAATAATTACCCAGTTTAAAAGTCCCATACTAATTCATTATAGCTCGTATTACCAATGCCTTCGCCATGTTATCTGAATCCTCCGGGTGAACCCACATTCAACGAGATCCTTATCACTACTGTTCGCGAATATCCTGCTTTGTATAGCAATCAGCGTAGAACTTTCGAGAATGTCGATCGGAGCAAAGTTTGGGAAGAAGTCGCGGCTAAAATAGGGCGTGGCGTGACAGGTCGTCAACTTATCTTTTTAATTTATCTTAAAATTTTCATTATAATTCAATTAACTATGAAAAGGCGAACTGCCAAAGCTGTTCTGTCAATTAATGCTGTGCTATCACTTTACAATATTAAACATAATTCGTGTGCCTCATTTGTCATATTATCCTCCCGGATAGGTGGTTATTGATAGCTAGAACTGCCTCAAGTGTTTGTCGCAAACTTCTCTTTGAGCTTTCGATACGCTTGAATATTTTCAACACTCATTGTGTACGGGTTGTCTATAACAATTCTTCCTCCTAGATAAGAAAATTTGTTTAAATTTTGAAAATGCTTGTGCTTGGTAATTTAAGAATTATGGTAATAAACCAATATCATTATTTGTAGGAGAATTTGCCAAGAAGCGCTGGTTACAACTTCGTGATCGTTATCGTAAGGAACTGAAAATATCGATTGCGCAAAATTTTAGTCAACCACAAAAATGGAGCCACTTCCCGTTATTGAATTGGCTCGATCCATATCTTCAGGGAGCAATGTAAGCTTTTCGCATTTTAGTTTTGCAGCATATTTTCGTCAGTTACACGCATCCATAGGCTTCACCATGAATTTGTAAAATACATGGCTTCACACTTCAATATGTTCTATTATACCTTTGTAAACATTTAAAAAGTTTTTTTATTGCCCGGAAAGGAGATAGGTAAGGCTAGGAGAAGGGAATTATGTATTATTTTCCGACACATTTTTTAAATTTGGGAGTTTTTTGAAAATTCCATTTATAGACCAATTACACCGAACAATTCAGTTCCCTGCTACACTCTTGATAATGTTAATACTACTGGTAACAGCGATTTTTATGAAAATTTTGCTGTCAAATTGTCGTCTGCAGAATTAGCATCTGATGGTATGCACATAAAATTAAATTTTGTTCATTTTAGTTATAAAAGTTTAATTTCCTTAATCAGACCTAGAAATAAATCGTCTTAGCAGACAGCTGTCTTGGCTTTGTTTAACCTATCATTAGCAGTAAGAGAACTGCATTAACAGTTCATGTTGAAGTGGTTATTTCTATGGGATACAGTTTTATGCCTTACTTGTAAATTCTAAATATTACCTTATCACCATACATATTTTATATTCTTTTAAATCTTTATAATTTATAGCAAACGACGGCACATTGTCGGAATGTTTTGATGATTTGAAACCGGTAATGTCAACTCTTCAATCGGTACTTGCTGTCGCTGAGGCTACTGCAAATTTGAAAAAGGAAGCTACGGCTATAGCTGAAAAAAAAAAGGAATTGTCAATAACAGTAGAAAGTAAATTTTCAAGAAAATGAAATCATTTGAAAATAAGTGCAAGTCGTAGATGCTATAGATCTGGCTATTAAATACTGTCATATATCCAAAATTTTATGAATATGGAAGGGACGTTTTAAAATTTGCAGATTCAAGGAGATATTTCACAATTTATTGAAGTTTATTATTGCTTTACTTGGTGGATTTTTTGTTCATTCAGTTGTTATTTTTCAGATGGTTTTGAAACTGATGGAGATAGTGATATGAATTGCTCAGATATTAGTGCATGTAATGGAAAAGTATCGAAAGAACCATGTGGAAGTCCATCACCTTCTCCTCAAGCATCCATTGCCTCAACACAAGAAGATAGTAATTTAAGAATTGGTCGACTGCCCAGTGGTTGTTCAACACCGTCTCAAGAACAGCGATTACATGATGGACCATCTTGTTTGTCGACATTGGATAGATCCAATGTAGCCTCATCACCATGCACTTCTGAAACAGGCTTTGAAACGGAAGATATAATACATGTGCATGCCTCTTGTCGTCTGAAATCTCAGGATTACCACGATATATCTAATACTGTATCTTCTTCAACAGTCCCACAACATCAGAGCTCATCTACAAATGCCCCAGTGGTAGCTTTAGCTAGGACGGGTAATCCAGTTACTTTCAAATCATTAATATCACATCCCACTCGAAGTTCGCCTTACCGACTACCTGTTTATTCAAATGTTAGATTTCGTGCACGAAATATGAAGAAGCAGCAGGAACAACAGGTGAGTTTGCCAAAAACATTCCAACAGGTTAATTCAATAAACAGCACAAATATTATGGATGCTGAATGGATTAATGATGAAGAGATGCTTTTTGCTCGTTTTGTTGGTTTACGATTGAAGAAAATGAATTCACACTACAGGAGCATGGTATGTTTCATCAAATGTCATTTTTTCTTTTATATCCATGTTAATTTATACAACTGCTAATAGATGTTTGATCGCGTACCTTTAGAATTTGACTGAGTCAGGAAACAACTATCCTTGATCATGACTCAACATGAAATAATACTAACAATTTCCGTTCTGAATGGTTGGACACTTTTTTTTGTTTCTTCCGATAAAGTCTATTTAACGCGAAATTTTCTATGAAATTCTTTTTTTACATGATTTCTTTTTGCAGGCACGAATGAAAATTATGCAAGTATTGGATAACTATGAAGAGGGAATGTTAGTTGACGATGAATAAAACGGAGCAAAAAGGCGGTTGTAATTTCCTGCTCCATATCTTCGCTGTCCTTATGGCAGTTATTTCTTTCTATTCGCATCTTTTTCCTCACATTTGTTCTAGAATTTTTAATTTATTCAGGTTTCCAAATCACTGGTCCTAGCTTGGAGTATTTCAGGACTAATCAACCGTTTTTTAAATTAGATAGTTGTCCAGTACCGTGTTTAATTTTTAAGAAGGTGGCTGAAATATAGGCAGTTTCGAAATTTATTCTAGCTAATCAATCACTCTTTTCCTACTGCAGCGTTTTTTCAAACTTTAATTCTAATATTGAATCTTAAACTATTGTTTGTAATGAAATACTTGAACGCAGTGAAAAGTCTCATTTACGTATTTAAAATACATATATCTTTTTATTTCTACTTGTCTGTTTTAATCGTAAATACTATTTATGTAGATAAATTATGAACAAATCAACGGAGTGCTATGGTAGGCCTAACTAAACCTGATAATCCAGATTAAATTCCATAGCCAGATTTCTTTTACACTTCCACAGATGTTATTTCATCCGAAAAGGCTCCGGAAGAGAGAAATATTTAAGCGAAGATTTTAATAGTAGTTCATCCCGAAGGATATTTCATTCAGACAGAAATACATTTCCCTGAAGTCTTTCCTTTTGAATTCATTTTCTGCCAGTGGAAAATAGTTATGTGTATATATGTTGCCATGCGTTCGTAGGTTTTTTTGTTTCCAATCTATTGTTTTTTCAGGATTTAGTTGATTGTACATTTCTTATATTTGAAATGGCTCTTGAATGCACTTTTGTTTGAAAGTTTTTTTCGAATGTTTGAAAGTCGTCAAAATTTTGGAATAGAAATTGAAAATAATTCCAAAATAAATGCTTCTGCCTTAATTAAAAATTCTTTCTCGGCTCATTACACAGTAAATTTAGTCAGTTTGTATTGGGATTAATTTTAGATTTTAAAACACATGAAATGGACTTAAATAAGTTAGTTTCTTTTTCTTCCGAAATATATCCATCATATAAGTAGTGTACCAATGTTTTGAATATTTAACTATTTTTAATATGGAAATATTGGCTAGTACTTAAAAAGTATGTTCTGAGATAGCGGGACCGCCGTACTGTTACTTCCACTCAGCCGTGTATTTGCATTTTGTTCTGCTGTAAATATTTATTCCTTGCTATCTTTTCTTTAGTTTTTCATGATTTTCCAAAATGTTTTGTTGACGAGGAGTTTAATGAATGTACTTGCGATATTGTTCATTGCATTTGGCTAACGAATGATAATGAGCTTTCGTTTCGTTGCCAATAGGTAGACGTAATAGTCAATGTTATATGGAAAATTGAGATGTACTTCTTTAGTGAAGGAAGTCATAAAGGCGAATGAAAGTGTAGAAATGATCCAAAAGAACTAAGAAACATATTTAAGTTACTTATAAAACGTCTCTAGTACATTTAAAATAAATGATACGTGATTTGAACTCGTGATTTGATTAATACTAACTTGTAACATTTATCAGTCGTGAATCTAGAGCTGCAAAGATATGCAAAGAAAAGGCTTCCATCAATGCGTTTTTTAAATTAAAATCCTTGAGGAGCTGGCTGCTGTGTGAAATTAATTGCATTAGTGAGATAAGGATACTTCTATGACGCATTCGCATCTGGAAACAGTTTCCTTTAAAAGCTTGAATGATATGGCAGTCGTGAAGAAGTATTGACAAGCCCTTATTCCTTTTTTTTGCTTTTCATCTTAACTGTTCCCTCTCTCGCTTTCTGTTTTCATGGTCATCATAAACAGAGAAAGCGGAAACGTGATCGAATGGACGATTCAATAAATAAAAAAGGGTAATCAAATGGAAGGAAATAGAAATCGATGCTCAGCATTCGAACCTGCTTCACGGTAAGAAATGTAAAAAAATACTTCAAAGCTTGTTGTAATGCAATAAAAGCAACAAACAGATAACGGTAGTTAGGCCTAAGGCAAGCTTTTAATGGAGTGAAGTTTTAATTTAAAAAATTATATTTTCTATATTTAATAATATATTGTGTAAAGTAGAAAAGACCTGCTAGAAATATTCTTTCCTTTGTTGTGAAAAATTGAGTATCAATCTATAGAATGTACATTTCCAGTACACATTTAAAAGGAGAAACACACTGAACTAGTAAGCCTTTTTTGCTGAAAACTCTTTGAAGGCTACAAGACGAGAAATGGGACGAAAATTAAACTGAATGGCTTGAACTATTGTCATTCGGTTTTTTTCTGATTATGAATTCATATTATTTTCACAAAATCCAAATTCATTTATTTTCACGAGATGGATTTCGGACTGAAATCCTTTGAAAGCTTGTTTTGCAACAAGCGAACAGCTGCATTACTCGAAGACATAGGAGTACCTCAATTATAATAATTGAGCTTCATAAGGAAAAAAGAAATAAACAGCACCGAAATTAGTAATTCATTTATCATCGAATTTCTTCGCAACAGTTTCAATTACAATATTCTTTGGAGAGTCTTCAGAGAAATATAAAAAGCCTGATAAATAACACGTGCTTGGAACAACTTTCAATTTTAATGTTTGCTCAACATGAAATATGTGATATCTCGTTCCATTTGTCCAATATTTACTACGAGCAGTATGCTGTATTAATGATCAAGCAATTGTAATCATCGGATATTAGAAGGCGACTTGATTGATGCAGATAATTATTTCTTTCTATTATATTATTTGAGCAAAAAAACCATCTAGTCTAAATACTAGTGTCCCAATTGCCACTACAGTAACAATTCAAAATCTCAGAAAAGTGAAATGAAAATAAATTTACTAAAATGTTACGTAATAAAGGAAAACTTTTGCAACATACAGGGGGAAGCATGACTAATAATATTCCAGTTCTCACATACTGAAATGATTGGCTTGTAAACGATTGGGGAGAACAGCCATAATACAATGAAAAATAAAGCACTGCATTTACAATGAAAAATAAAGCACTGCATATCGAACCCGGTAAAACATAGAGAAAGGATTAATACCTGACGCTTTCGAGATGGAGTTTCTTATTATTTGCAGTTATCGCTTGGAAGTAATTCACATCACAACTGAGAACAAACAACTATGATGGGCAAATTATTGTGGTGGAATAAATGAAAAGTAACCTCGCATCATCATCCAGCAGTTAATAAATCAGGCCAAATAATATGAAGTTGAACATTTCAGATTTGAAAGGTTGGATGGTACCAGCTAATAAGGTTCATACTGATCTTGCTATATAAACTGCAAGATTTGAAGAATTGATCAGTAAATGATAAAAAGTTGAACATGAAACTGATTATTTCAAAAAGCTTATAAATTTAAAGCGAAAGATTTGTGCCTTAAATTATCCACATGCTCTTAAAATGCCAGAAACTGGTATTCTTACATAAACTATACATAGAAAAGCAAATTCTATATTTATAACGCATGCTGTTATCTGGATTTAAGAAAAAATCAGAAAATATTTTAATTTATATATTTTAATTCTTTTTTTCTATATTTTAATTTTGGAAATCGAATTCATGGATTTCACGAAGTTGTACCAAACTTATCAAAACTTCAGAGATCAGTAAATGTGCAATGTTCCTTATTTATCTTCCTGTTTCAAAAGAGAGTTGCATCTGCAAAGTGCTCGGATAAGCAATCAACGTAAGCCAGGTACCATGTAGACTGAGACGGATATATTATAAAGAGAATGTAATAGATGCTACAAATTTTCAAATTGATACAATATCCGAGACAAATTTTCAAGCAAATTAATTCGTGAGCATAACTGTTTCCAATTTCAAGGTGCATTACCTCGTTAAAAATAATCTTACGCACATCAATTACGCGCATAAACACCTTCAAGCTTTTGCCTATGCTAATAACAGTTATATCTATTTTAACCAAAGATAATAGAAAGGATGGGAACAACGATGCAAATAACTCGTGTCAACAACTTAAGACAATGGTGAAAAAATAATCTGTCGCATTTCGCTTATAAATTATGCACAATTAATTTCCTCTTGGAGTCATATACAAAATTATTTGTGCGGAAATGTTGACTCTTATAAAAATTCTTCACATTTTCAATGCGAACTTGTTGTGCCTGAAATAATGAAAAAAACTGAATTATGAAAAATATATATAGAAGTAAAGATTTGGTGCTTTCGGCTGATCTGTTTGATGCATGGAAACAGGATGATGAAGTAGTAAGTTTAAGCGTTCTCAGTTATTTCATATTTACCAAATAGACAAACCAAAGTAATTTACATATGCTTAGTATATAATAGATGTCAATAACATTGGAGCATAGCAGTAAAGATCAGGAGATATTGATGACTTAATCTCTAATTCTTCTTACTTTCTTCTAATCAGGTATGTCATTTTTAGGAATTGACTTTTTTTTTTTAATTTACATATGAACAATAATGATAGGTTAATGAATAAGAAACAAGTTTCCTGTCTTCAATACTGTAATAGAAATTATATGTCGAAAAAAAATAAAATTGCCTTCGACAGTCTTACTGATGAAGATATTCAGGTTTTGATTTCAAATTAGTGTCGAGCTTTTAAAAAAATATGTTTGAGCAGAGGAAAGCAACCAAAATCTTCATCAGTAAGAATATCGGAAGCAATTGAAAATTTAATCATATTTCTATAGAAATGGATATGATAGAAATTCATTGCCTTTATTTCGCTAAATAAACTTTGTGCTAAGTTTCCATAGCAAACTAGACAAACTAGTGAGATCTACCATATTATAGAAGTTAGACCAATTTGAAACAAGCGACACATTATTTTTTGCTCCCAGACAATATGGAGAAGAGCCATACATCATAGCGATTTATACTAACAATGAATAAAGCTTAATAAATTTACAATCAAAAGTATCAAGCTCTTAATCTCCTTAATCAAAGTATTTGGTCATTAATTTGATCCTCCAATTTTTGAATAGGCTTCTCAAATATAATTTTTTGTCCTCAAAAATTTCAAACCGCAACTCAGGAAAATAAAAGAAAAAATCAAACATACTTTTTCAATAAAATCAGATTCAGGAATACCAATAGTGGATAGAGTTGTTTCCCTATGTCGTGCTCGTTCATAATGCAACTGATCCCTAACCAACTGCTTCAAGAGATATAACAATAATTCATTGTGATCACGATTGACAAAGATGTACCTATCGAAATTCTGGAAAAGAATAGGGAAGAGATCATGTATGTTAAAACACATAGCTCTTTAAAAAAATCATCTCTAAGTAGTCTTTTTCTGATGACCTCAAGATTACAAACCTTTCGCATTTGTCGCATGACAGATGCTTTCTGCGTATTAATAAATGATTCAAGTATTACTCGCACGGCTATATCAACGTCTTCGTTGCATACATAGGAACGAAGATGCATTTTAGCATGCGCTTCAGCTAGACGAATCAAAGACTCCACATGACGCACCGTAACAGCAACCGATCCTGTTGCCTAAATTTATTCATATTAAAAAAAATTTGTACATTTGCAAGCGGAAACATTCTTCAATTAGGTAGCCATCTCAAAGCAGTAGAGATTTATTTTTCCATGTGATGGATGGAAACTCTCAAAAAAGCAAAACAAAGCATCCTGTCATGTTATTTAGATAATTTTGCAATTATTTATTTCTCATCGCTTCCAAGCCACCAGTCGCTTTAACAAATTGAAATTAAGATGTAATACTGAAATAATTTTGAAGATCAGAAAAATTCATTAGAGGTAATTCCACTTGTAATAAGTTCATCCACACCAAGAACTTACAAAAAGAACAAACACTTGACTTTAAAATAATTTTATCATACCAATGATTCTTTTCTGATTTCGGCGAAAAATTTCGAAATTTTATCCTGCGGTAGCTGTTCTAATTTCGGATGTATGTTTTCTCGAGCGTATATTAGATACTTCCTCAGCATCGTTTGTGGTATCAACTCTAAACCAGTGGTTGGATCTTTTTCTGGTTGCTGAAACCAAAAAATCTAACATGAAAATGAATTACTATCGATGCTCCAGCAGCGAGGGAATTAGTTAAAATGATTCGGCAGTTATCACTACAACTAATTTAAGTAGGAATATCCTTTGTACAGTCGTGTTATCATCACCAGTAAAAACACTTCTTAAAACAATAAACTAACTCCGTAGTTCCTACAAATAGCTGCTGAATGCTTTTAAAAAGTAAAGGAATGATGCAAGGAAACTAAAGCAATTTACAGATGTCTGTTGCGTATTTCTTTGCTTCTCTTTTTCTTTCAATTCTTTTGCATTTGGATGATGTTTGCGGTGACTGTCCACAACAAAATTAGCAAGCCGTTCATCTTCCACTGGATCTACCTGAAATTCTCTATAGAATTCATTAATCTATATAAAAATTTAGAAGTGGCAAAACCACTCACCGTATCTCGTACTACACACAGTACATCGAATCTACTAAGAATCGGTTCGGTAAGATCAACATTTTCAGCAAAAGTATGAGAAGGATCGTAGCGACCACCGATTGGGTTCGCAGCAGCAATTACAGTGCAGCGTGCATGTAATGACGTGACAATGCCAGCTTTAGATATAGATATTGATTGCTGTTCCATTGCTTCATGAATCGAAGTACGATCCTAAATTGGGGAGCAAACTCGAAAACTTTTCAATAGAAAGGTTGAATATCGCAAATGCTTGCTAAGAAAACTATATAACTATTATTTTTGTATTATTCAAAGAAAATAGAACAAGACTTATTTTAGCACAAACGATAACTAGTTTTTATACAATACTTGGAATCAGTAAACCAACCTGGTCATTCATTTTGTCGAACTCATCAATAAGACAAACTCCTTTATCTGCAAGTACCATTGCACCCGCTTCAAGTGTCCATTCTCGTGTTATGGGATGACGTTGCACATATGCCGTAAGACCGACAGCCGATGCCCCTAATAGTACCTTTCATTTACGTTCATTTTTTAAAAAGATGATCTCGAAGTTGAAAAACTGTACCTTGGCCGGTAGTAAGAACAGCTCGTGGAGCAGCATGTGCAGCATACCGTAGAAATTGAGATTTTGCTGTACCAGGATCACCGCATAACAAAATATTGATATCGCCTCGGATGCTATGTTTTTCACCAGGATTTTTCTGTTCTCCTCTGAATACTAAGAAATTAAGAACTGTTATCATTGCTAATGATAAAACCCCCTATCCCTGTCTATCAAATAAAATATTCGACTTAATAGAAAATCACCTGAAGAGTGCCAATGCAATGGCCCGTTTGATATCATCATGACCGTAAATTGACGGGGCAATGCTTGCAAATATTCTTTCGGCTATCTGCGGGTCTTTTGACAATTGTCGAATAATCTAAACAATATCACATCCTTATTATAAAATCTTCCTCTTGCTCAAACATATTTTTTAAAAACTCGACACTAATTTGAAATCAAAACCTGAATATCTTCATCAGTAAGACTGTCGGAAGCAATTTTATCTTTTTTTGATATATAATTTGCATATATTACAGTACTGAAGACAGGAAAACCTTGTTTACTATTCATCGACCCATCATAATTGTTCGTGTAAATGCCAGTCAATTCCTAAAAACACTAATTAGAAAAAAGCAAGGAAAGTTAGGGATTAAGTCATCAATATCTGTCGGATTTTAGTACTATACTCCAATGTTATTTGTTATATATTAAGCATACATGAACTAGTTTCGTTCAACTGTTAGTAAACATAAAATAATTGGGAACGGCTAAACTTACGACTTCATCACCCGGTTTGCATGCATCACACAAATCAGCCGTAAGCACCACATCTTTGCTTCTAGGCAATCTTCCAGCAGCGACACTATTGGGACTTTCTTGAATAGTTATTCGTTGATAATTATGATAAATTGTATTCTCCATGTTTAGCTCAAATGGCCCACGACTTTGACAAGACGGACACATTGTAGGTTTTACTTCTTCATCTTGATGTTGCACAAATGGACCGAGAAGGTAACCGCATATACCGCAGTCAAATTTTACGACAGATAACCGCGGTAGCATTCCTATACGAACAGAAATCAGATATTGATGTGACTGCACACAAATTGAAAACTTTGCTAGCATATTTATGACGAAAAACTTAATAGAAAACTATATAAGAACTATATAAGATATACTATATAAAGAAAACTATAAAACTATAAATTGGAGTAAGCTAAATCAAAACCGTTAATTGCTCGATATTAGCAAACCTGTAGTAACTGTTACAACACCAGACGTTCTAATCAGCATATTCAGATGCAGCTGACGTAACATTCGTATATCTTCTTCAACAGGAAGTCCCCGTATACGTATCTTTAATTTATTATAAAATTCAGGTTAGCAAAAAAAATTAGAAGAAAAATTTATTGCTTGCACCATATCATTCGAATACTTGAAAAAAAAGTATACCTTGACTTCCGGAGCAATACGAGGAAAGAAAGGGAATAATGAAAGTGTGACCTCGGTTACCGCACGATCAAGATAACTTAGCACCTATAAATTTCAAAAATTAGCAAATCAACTAGTAAGTTGCTAAAGGAAAGAATGCTCAAGAAGACAATTTTATTCCAGGTAATAGTCGGAAAGTACTACAAGAAATTTAAATGCATTTTTCTTAGACTTTTAGCATATACTTGTAGGGGCGCCTCTGGCAAGAAATAACAAATATTCTGTTCGCCATTTTCACTCGCCAAATCTTCATAATCGACTTCCAACGACTCACGATTTTCTGCCACCATTAGTTTTATTGCCTCCAAATATTTGAGTTTCTTGGTCATCATATCCTTATATCCACGAACAAAGCTTTTAAAGCTACAAAGCATAATGATATCTCATAATCAATCAACCATAACACTAGAATTGATATGCAATAACACTGTCATTTGTGATATAATATGATTTCATCTGACATTTTCACACTTATCAATGCGGGAATATGCACAATATTTATGACAAATTGCATTTACACGTATTTTGCAAATGATGATTTGAAGATTCAGATTAAAATTATGAAAGATTCAGCTACTAACCGCCTTACTATTTCTCGTCCTACCGCTTCATCTGAAACGTGCTCACGTGTCGATCTCCCTCGAAAGTTTTCTAAAATATCGATAGGAATTTCTTCGTCCTCTTCGATTTCCATTTCGTTATCATCAGTTCGATCTTTCCGAAAATAGCGGCGTATACGTCGTCCAACATCTGCATCATCCTGTAAACTTCAAACTTTCTGACGCATCGGGTAAGTATTACAGACATTCGATTAATCCATTCCCAAAAATAAACTGCTTTGAAATATCAGACCCACGGAAAGATTGGTTCAATTTTTAAAAGACTAAAACATTTGAAGATTACTTTCCGCCATATTTGACTGGTAGCCCCCATATTTTGAATCAGATTTTCATGTCTCGCTGACCACAAAAATTTCAAACAGGTCATAAATTTTTAGAAAAGGATCAAATTTTGAAAAATATCCACTCGCCAATAGTTGCAAAGAAATATGCGTAGTGTTTCTTCTCCTCAAAGGGAAAGAAAGAAGCATATGGTTAGGCATATTTAAACTTACATTAAGACAAATCAGAATATATTGTAATCACTCAACTGACCTGTTCATAGAGTAGGGCATCTTCGTCAAGTAAATTATCTCGCTCATCCATCTCACGTTCAGCTGCACGACGTGCTCCCTCTGTCAACTCCGTATATTCCGATGCGTCATCCATGCCTGACTGTGAGTAAACATCCAGCTCTGGCTGCGGACGATAATCTCTGCAAAACACATATAATTTGCTTAAGTTATTTTGAAAACGCTTTAAGACTTCACCTAGAAATTTATTACATAAAAATTCCAAGCAGGACATGCATTTTACCGTTCCATATCATCGCCAAAGAGGTTTTCTCCTTCTTCTTCATCTTGTACTGCTTCTTCTTCAGCACCGAACAACTCACCCAAAGCGTCATCATCTCCATCTTCGGCTAAATCAGCATTCTCTTCAAAAACATCAGCAGCACTATCTTCTGACTGATAGCTATCTTCGCCTGCATAAAATTCAAACTACACAGTGCTACATACCAGACAATGCTGATAATAATGACGGCATCAAACTGTCAAATTGCTCAGCTTGGTGGTTCAAATAGGTTCAACATTTATCAAATTATCTAACCAACTACATCACTAAGTCTCTGTTAGCATATCCCATCAACAATGATGCGAAGATGCAAAATCGATGCATTCCTTTAAGTAGTTAGTTTCACAAACCAAAACTTCAATTTAAATAACAGCACATAATTGGTAATTAACCTTGAGAATGGATTGCTCGAGAATGATCTGAACGTTGGGACATAATCTCAATTCAACCAATAGAACAACTAGTTTACTTTTTCGAAAATCTGAAATGCTATCAAACAAATATGAAATCCTTTCATATCATATCGTCTAATAGTCAACTGCCTTCTATATTACCAGCAAATAATTCGCTCACCCCCTTCATGTCCTTTCCAACCTACGCCATGTGACAAAATAAAATTTAAAATTTGTAAATTTCGCGCATTCTATTCAGAACTCATTAGACTGTTGGAGCTGTTTTTCGGAGATCAGTTAAGTTAGGAAGGATGCGATTTATACAGTATTTTTTTGACTGATAATTGCAATAGTTGATATCTTCTTCCTGATGAAGAACTCTTTTCAAGTTTTTAAATATCATTTCAAAATTGCCACATTTAAATTTATCCGTTTAAGCGGGAATACTCGAAAGTTAAATGTGATGCATTATACTTCTGGAAGTCATTTTGCAATTTACAGTGGCCCACTTATATGCGATTTGGTAAAGGTTCTTTCCTCGGGTGCACGCTATACGCAGCCCTTTATAAATTTCCGGGAAGATATTACCAGTCACCATGCTGAATTAAGACAATGGTCAACGTGTTGCTCAGTTAGGCCACTTAGCCTTGAAGAATTTATTCATGTCACTCAGCCTTCAAAAATACTCAGTTTTAGAGAATTGCTGAGTGAACTGCATGTGTATGATGCTATAATTTCATGCATCATGCATATTTATGGATTCCACGAAATCCGGCTCGGAAGGTGTTGTTTCAGAGATTAGAGGAATGGATGATAAGATGCGATGAAATAAGTAATAATAATACATAATGATTGTATTTCATAAATAGTTAGTTATTGCGCGATAAGATTCGACGGTCCTGATTGTTGTCGTTACGATGGCTAGTGATCCATGATCCATCCATTAATTCAGGTGTGTAAACTGTACATTTTAAATTGAAAAAAAAGGAAAAGCTTCGATGAAAAAAAATGCTTGCCTGAGAGATCAAAAAGGACGTTGGGAGAGATTTGTAGAAGGTCAAGAATTACTTCCCAGTTTGATTTAAGGATATTATTGGAAATTCTTGGGAGCCATGAAATCTTATTATTAATCATAATTTCACTCTGATTTATATGCGATCCTTCCCCCTAATTGTGGTAGCATTTCATTTCTTTTCCTCTTCCTTTTTTTCCTCTTTCTTTTCATCCTCCTTTTTTTCCTCTTTCTTTTCATCTTCCTTCTTCTCTTCCTCCTTCTTATCCTCTTTCTGCAACACATCTCTTCTTTAGATTTGAAATTTCAAATATTTTATAATTCTTTTAATTCTCTGCTTCTTTTTAACTAAAGAAGTATAGCATTAATTTCGTTCATTACAAATTAAGAGAAAATTAAACTTCAAAAAAAGGATGAAAAAATTAAACTTTAATTAAACTTTGCCATTTAAAATCAAACTTTTGTAACATAAGTCAACCTTCTCATCTTCTTTCTTCTCCTCCTTTTTCTCCTCTTTCTCCTCTTCCTTTTTCTCTTCACCTTCCTTTTTCTCCTCCTCCTTCTTTTCAGCCTCTTCCTTCTTTTCATCGCCATCTTCCTTTTTAAAATCTACATAGAGTCTAGAAATATGGCTCCATTTATTTCATTTCCAATCATTTGTTAGTAAACAATTAACATTATTATCATTGTTATTATTATTTATTATTATTATTTTTTTATTATTAATTATTATTTATTAATTATATTATTATTTACTAATTATTATTTATTAATTGTTATTTATTAATTATTATTTATTAATAGTAATAATTATTTGTTACTTATTATTTATTATTAATTATTAAACTTTTATTATTCATTAATTACATCATTATTATTTACTAATCATTTATTTATTGCATTATTATTAATTACTATTAATCACATTATTATCTTTTATTATTGATCATTATTATTATTAATTATTATTACTGTTATTTGTTTATTTATCATTCATTATTTATTACTTATTAATTATTTTATTTATTAATTATTTTATTATTTATTAATTTATTAATTTTATTACTTTATTATCATTAATTATTATTAATTGTTATTATCATTAATTATTAGTATTATTATTATTTTAATTGTTATTATTATTATTATATCATAAAGTTTTACCTCTTTGTTCCAGTTGGATCTCCTTTATGGTCTGACCAGCACGCTCTTGGTGCCTTATTTTCATCAGTCGCTTTTATATAGTACACTGCAAAGTAGTGCTTCCCACTGTCGGGTATTGTTTTTCCCGCATTGAAAGTTAACTGGAAATAAAAATTTTAATTGGAAAAAAAATTTTGTTATTAAAGAGGATTTTAATTCCAACTTTAACGATGGTCTCTTCACCAGGTTTCAACGCAAATACAGGAGGACGGATTCGGAACATTTCGTTTGAGGTGCATTTCACTTTGCACGCCTGACGATCCTGAAACTTGCTTAGATGATATAGTTTGTATTAAAAGGAACTTGAATGGAAGAATGAAAGGAAAGTGAAATTGAAGATTATACCGATGTGGGATTTGTAATTTTTAGAGTTGTCGGACAGGGTTCTTCGCCCAGCTTCTTTCCAACATAAGTAATTCTTTCGCTTGGATCAAGTTTTAGTGCAAAATCACCCATTTTTTAGTTTTTTGTCAAGTTTTTGGACCGTTTGTTTCGCCTTATCACACCGCTTAAGATCACAATCGGATCACCCGCTTCGTATGAGAGCAAAGCTGAACAATAATAATGCAAGACGCCGCATACTGCTTTATTTAAATCAACCGTTTATTTGTACTTAAAAACCTGTATTAATTTTAATTTACTTAAATATTTTTAGTCAACTAACTCGAAACTTATTTTATTCGATACCATATTTGAAATCAATTTTTTTCCTGAATAGCAGAGATCTCAATTATTTGCCAAACCATATTTGTATTCTGTAAACCATATTTTACAGAATATTTCCTTATTGTAGTTCCATCGAAACACTGATCCCTCTAAATGTGATTGAAGTTGTTGGCTGATAACTGACAAGCGTTAGAGTTATTATTAAGTGTGATTTGAAAAATCGCCAGCAACGGCTGGTTAATGTTAATAAAATATTGTCTAAAATTTGTCCTGAAATCGTAATGACAATGAAGAACATCTAAATAAAACAAAATGCTACAAATTTAGGGTAAGTTTTAGCAATTAATATTCGGTAATATGATTTTTTATGACAGTATTTGGAAATTATGACGAGAAAATATTTATAATATCTCAACGTCATGTTTGTATTCCGAGTCTGTGTTCACGTTTGCGTTTGCTTGAGGATTTATTCGCAACTGATACCAATTTTTTTGTATTTGCTAATATACGGTATGGAGGACTTAAATGGAAGATTCCCAATCAAAACTAAGTTGAGAAAGTAATTAGCATATATTTCCGGAAATTGATTCCGGAGAAAGAAGAAATACCTTAAACATTCCAATTGCTGTTTTCTTTTTGCTAAACATTTCGATTATCAAATTGAAAAATTAAAAAGTATTTCAAATCCGTTTCGGAATGATTGTCTTATTGTGACATGCACATAACAGGTGCAATTATTTTCTCTGAATTTTGCAGTGACCTTTCTTCTGTTGCATTGCTTGTTAGTTCTGATCATCATATTCACAGGTTTTTGATGCATGACAACTCCTTATATCAAATCATATTACCTTGTCCTAATTTTCTATTCTTCATTCCTCATCTTTCGTATTTCTTCTTTTCCTTGATTTCTATATACAGTAAACATTTCCAATCGATTACTTTAATATCCCTTTCCTCATTCACAGTATTTATCCATCTTTTGCTCAGTGATTCAATTATTCGCATAACAATGTTCAGTACTACCACAAAAATTATCATAATAATGACTTTAGCTATTTCAACAGTTTCCGAAAGTGCACTTTCCTCAGGTACTAATTGTTGCTAATTACATTCATAATTAAATAACTTGTATGTATTAAAATTTTCCCAAATTTATATGGCACCTACTCACATATGAAAATTTTATTGCTATTCATGAGAATATTAGCGAAGACGATAGGTTCGATAAAGAAAGCTTGTCAAGAACAAAGATCCTTTCTTGACATGCCTTACTGTTATACTATTTGAAAATTTCATAAGATTTCTGAAAATTTCGTGAGAGTAAAAAAGGCACTATTTGTATGACTTTGCTTGATTTCGTTGCTAAAAATTTGATAGAGAATTTCAAACCAAATGATTTTAAAAATTTCACGTTTTAATATTAATGATATTGATCTTCAAATACTGAAATAAACAGTTAGCAAGGTCACAGTCTTTTTTTTGGATCATTTCGGAGAAATATCATGAAAAAAAACAGTAAAGAAGAGAACTGTTTCAGGATCAAGGAGAAAAGGACCGATAAATACAGGATTTTGTCTTGGTCCGATTGATTTCTGTGCTGAAGGTTACATATGCGATAAAATAGAGTGTGTCGAAAAAAATAAAAAAACGATTGAAGGTTGATCTTTTAACCTATTGAAATTAGAGGAGGAAGTTTGTATACTGTTCTGGACTGTTCTGAAATATTCGGAATATTTTTGAAGTAGTCTTGTGTATATTGAGAAGTCACACCCTTAGCATAAAGTATTTAGTAAAAAAAAAATGTGAACTGGTAGTTAGAATATTATCTGTTATTTAAAAACAATAGAGAAAGATTACGAAATTTATATGCTAGCAGTTTTAACATAAGAACATTTTCCGTGTGTGGAAAATCGATGAGTATTCCAAGAAATGATTACATTCCATTGCTTTAATTTTCTTTTGTTTCTTTTTTTTTTTTCTGGAAACATATTTTACATTGGTACGAAATTGCATAATTTTTGTGAATTTTGATCTTTATCATTAGAAATTTCGCGTCTAAGTTATTGTAGATCAGAAAAAATGAAATTGAATTATGCTTTAAATCATTATTATTCATTCCTAGGTAAAGTATTATGGCCTGAAATGGTTATGTCTTAGAGTTACTGTAAGAGAGAAGTTCATTTAATAATCGTTCTGGAAAATTTCTTTTATTCTTATTTTTTCAGGCAAAAGCGCTGCTCCATGCCTTCGTGGCTTATGTCCCAAAAATCACATATGCTACGTCAAAAATAATAGATGTTACTCAATTGAGTAATCTCGGCGCTCTGTGGTCTTTAAATGGAAAATGTTATTCCACAATCTCAATTTTTATTCACAACACCTCATTATTTTTAACAAAAATCTCTCATCCCTTAATATTCTGGATTGTTTTTGTTTTTTTTTGTACTTCATATTTTTTCGGTTTCATAAAAAATTAAGACTACCTGCAAATAATCTCTATTTACTTGCTATGCTGCAAAACATAATGATGTATATGTAATGCAATATTTTCAACAAATTTTAATTTACTTATTAATCGATAGGAAATTTTCAATATTTTATTATTGCATTCTTCCACCATATTATCGTCCGATATTTTTGTTTCATATTGCATATGCGGGATTCACTTCTTTATTTCTTGATTGATGTTCACTTCCTGATAAAGTAATTAACACCAAGATAAGACAAAATTTACTGACATGAAATTGCAGTCCTTCCGATTTCGCTAATTTTCTTAGCAAGTATTGATTCAAAAGATTATTTGTTTTATTTTTTAATTCTTTTAAAATTTAAGGTGTTTGAAAAAAAAAGAAGAAATAATCAATTTTGAAAATTTTCTGCAATTTGTAATCGAAATATATATCTGTATCTTTTGACATATATGCATAGTCATCAACTGAAAATTTTTGTTGTATATAAAAATTATATCATACATATTTCATAAACAGCAAATCTTAGATCCAAAATACCTTTTTATCAACCATACTAATATGAAAGAAGCATTGCATCAGTTCAAGCTTAGGAAAAATCAATCTATTCCAACTTAATTTAATTTTTCCCAAAATTAAATGAAACTATGTGAAAATTTTTGCAGCAACGCCCTTTGGCCGTACCAACTTTTCGTCGTATCTTTTGTGCTTTTTGCAACGAAAAATTCTTATTTATTTAGCAGTTAACGCTTTCGAACAACAAATTAGATCGGATAGCATTCTCTTCACTCTACATTCTTCATTCTATGAGCATTTCAATTATCAAAGTAAACACGAAAAGTCATCATCCTAAACACTATATCAAATAAATTGCATTCACTGTTGTCTCTTCCATCACTTCACCGCCAGTTTCACGAATCCTATCGTTTTGATCCAGTTTCTTACCCATCCTAACACATATACATACACATTTAAAGATATTACGGTAGCAAATAATGGTATAAAACACATTCTCCTCATATTTCTTCCTTCACTCTTTCTACAGTTTCAATTTCAAGAAAGCATTTACGATACTCTCCGATGTCAAATAACAAAAATATCGCAATTTTTGTGATCATTCCTACCATTATTTTTAGCGCTTCAGCACTTCCGACAGGTATTTCAATCTTTCAAAATTGTCATTAAAATATTGGAATGTATGAATAACTCCCGCTTTTTAGACTCTTGAATATTATTATCCCCTTATTTTCCAACAATCTAGTCAGTTAATTTTATATACATAAAACCAAACTTAACAATCACTGGTTTCATTTTATGTTTGTAAACTCCTAATTCCCACAATGAGTTTACTATTTTCTAACCTAATTTTAAGCTAATTAAAACAAGTTGTCCCAATATTGAAATATTTAAACATGACTTAATTTACCTGCGGATAGAAAGAGATGTATATATACTTATATTATAGATGTATATATTATTAAATAGATACATATTATTCCAACGATTGTTATACAGAAATTATTTTAGACACGAAATCGGAAAAGTCGGAGAAAATAGGACCATGCGTGAACGGTCTCTGTCCTGTTGAATATGAATGCATAAGTAACGATTGCATCAAAACTCAAACTTTTAAGAATTTTACAAAAGGTATGAGCTTCCTTTGCAATTACTAGCAAGAGGAGAGAAAAACACTCAACTATTTTGAATTTAACCTATTCCACCAATCTACTCTATCATTTCATAAAGCAACATAGAATTCTTGCGCATTATGAGCAAAACCATTACTTACACCGAAATACTACTACTTTATGAGGAAAATACTGATTGAAATGGACAGTACGAGCACTCATATTTGAATACCAGGTAAATTCAGGAAGTAATTGTTCATTTTCCATCGTTATTAATTATAGAAATTTCAGTTCAATTTTTTAGGACAAAGTGTTGGCCCATGCATCAACGGCTTGTGCCCCGGACACCACACATGTTACGATGACTTTTGTTACAATAAGGACGGGCTAGTCGACACATCATAATACGCTAAGGCGTCCATTTAACGCCTTCTTAAAATAGCTAACGGATATATTCCAAATTGTAGTAATTTCGTTTCCCTTCCAGTTATTTACATAAAACCAAAATATGGTTATTGATTTGAAATACATATTTCGGTGATAGTGAAATGTACCCTAAACATTTTAGTTTCTCGGTGAGGATCTCTGGCCAATTTTACTTATGTTATATTTACTGTGGTATTACCGTGTATTTTCTTCCCATGCAGTTTACAGCTTCAGAAAAAAAACACTGAATAAAAAAGTACTTGATGCATGATACACGGAAAATAAAAGTAGTAGAACTTCTCCGCACTTGATACAATAATTTTTTGAAAGCGACTTTAAGAAAGTGACTTTAGATAAAGTAAATGCAACTATACGGATCTTTGTTAGGCTTGTAACGGATGCTTCCTATCTGAATGTTTTTCGCTTGCATTGGTATTGCACATTTTACGTTTTTCAACAATCTTAAATATATACTGATCCTGAACATACAACTACAATTCCAAATACAGCTATGCCTATAGGAATTTCGATGCTGAATAATAAAGTACCTAGACTACAAAGGCATACTTTCTCCAATTTATCAGACATCGTGAGGTAAAAGATTAAGACAAGTGCTAAATACGAATAAGAGATGAATTAATGATCAGAAAAACAAGAACACAAAAGATTAAAAACCGATGAGATCATGAAACAATTAAATACGAACAACGAATCTCACTCATTATATTCAATCTTTCTGTTGTTTTTCAGTCAATAATTCGCGATACCCCGCGACATCTTCGTCATATTTTCGTAAAAATTCTGCTCGCTGTGCAGTTTTCTTTGCCATCTTCGCTTCCATAACAGACTTCGTTTTATCATATTCTTTTAACAAAACTTTTGTAAGCTGAAATAGAAAAAAATATTTCAAGTCCCTGCGAGATATATGAATCTTACAATCATATGGGCAAAACACCACTTAAATAGGACGAAAAATCGTTTAAATAATTCGGGAAAACTGAGAAAAGAACTGGTTTAAGATATTAAAATGTATACAAGTTCGCTAATGTAAAATGCCAAAGAAATATCCTGCATAAATACTTTTTTTAGCAATCGTTATAATATCAACTTACTGCGCCCTGTTTCTTCGTAAGTTCCAATTCTTTCTGCACAATTTCTAAACGTCCAACACGCTTCGCTTGTGTTAATTCGTCAAGTTTCATTTCATTTTGTACTTCACTATCGACAGCTTCATCTAATGATTTCAATTGAGCATGACGCTGCATTACTTCTGCAAAAAATTACATATTTTGTGCTTCGGAACAAAACTTCTCATTTTTACGATATGATAAAATGTGAACAATTTTGAAAAAGCATAATGCATTTATTGCCATAAATCAAGCGTTTTAGTTACAGAATAGTTCATACCATCACGACTTCGTTGATAATCCTCCATGGATTGTGCTAACCACTTTTTCTGATCTGATTCAGCTTTCGTCTCAAGCAATAGTTCCTATAATCAGTGATTCATTTTAAAAAAATAAGCGATGGAATTGTTTTTACAATTTTATTCCTTAGGGCTTTCATTTTGCATAGTTACATTTATGACAGTTTTGTAAATGAGTCGATACGCTTTAGTGATGTTGCATATTTCTTCTACTTATTATGATCAAATGAGGATCATCATCTGATAACGAATGACATCAAAATTTTAGACCTAATGCGACAATTAAATATACAGCTTGTTATTGATTTTTTCTAAATTCAATGCGAAGAGCAATCAGAAAAAGAAATCAGTAATGAAAATTTGGTGCCCAAAGGAATTAGCAAATTCGACAATTATAGGAATGCGACATGAATCACATAACAAAAAGAACTCATCAAAATTAAAAAAAGTTCTTCAGCCAGCTCTTAAAGTAACCAATATTTATTTATTAGCAGAATAACTAGTGTAGTCTTCACACTTAAATACTCTTTATTCTTTGCACTTAAAGTAATAATTTTAGCAGCAAACCTACATCCAATTTTTCACTTGTCAATTTGGCCAATTTAGCTCTTAATACGAACCACTCCCGTTGAGCCATCAGATAACATACATCGAACCAACTAACTTCTTTTTTTGATAGCTGAATTTGACCAATGTTTAAAGATGATTTCTGGGTGACACATTGACAGAGAGAGTGAATAAAAATAAAAGACAGGAAGCTCAAAAAAGAAACCGGGAAGATACATCATCTAAAACATTTTATCATGAAATCTTCAGTACCTCAACACATTTGTCGCAAGCTGAAAATTATGACATAACAGTAAATATGACAAACTTTTCTAGGATTTAATGTTCTTATACATTCAGCGATTTTTCGATCGCTGCAATTTGGAAGCTCCGTGCTGATCAGACCTTTACACCTAAAAAGAGATTTCAAAATTGAACAAACTTCAAATGCTTTTAAAATAGGACCAAGTTTTAGTTACTTTTTATCTTATTTCATGTTTTCATCATTTCAATTTGCTCTTTTGTATAAAAATAACCGGAAATAACTATTGTATCCATCGAAGTAGCAGAAATCAAATTTCTCCTATAACGTTAGGGCAACCAAACAGACATAACAGAGAAACTGTCACTAAAAGAGAAATGGAAATAAAAAAGGTAGAAAAAATTAAACCTATCAACAACTTCGGCGATACGTCTACGCAAATTTGTCGTTGCCAACCGCTTGAGTTCCACAATTTGTGGCTGCTCATTTGGCTTAATTCGTAAACATGGTATTGTCCTAAAATTGATATTGAATCCCACAGTATCAACACGACTCGTTAGGAAGCTTGAGTCATTCCCCAAAGCTGCTGTGACAATTTCAGAGTGACGCGAAGATAGCGATGAAGATTCAACGTAGGACTGTTCAGTAGCTGTATGTATTTCGGTATTGAAAGATTCTGCTGTTGAAACTAAATTTAACAAATCATATTCAATAAATAAAAATATCGGATTAACGTACTTCACCCTGTTACTCTTTATATAAAAATGATGTATGAATACTTATAAACAGAAATGTCTTCTAATTTACAGTTCATTTTGAAATGTCAACTTCCACTCCGTTTTTCATATTATTCTAACAAATTCATCATTCTAATTAAAAATTCATTTTTCTGCATGATCACCTTGACTGTTGAGTTCATCCGAGTGAAGCAATGGTTCTGGCATGGGGATATCATACAACATACCGATATTATCAGCATTACCAGCAGAAAGTTCCGACAAAGTGAACACTCCGGAATGATTTAAGCTACGACGCAGTCGATGTTTGATTTCGGTTAAAACCTTAAATAAAATATATTAAACAATAAATTAGCACTAGTTTTTAAAAACTTCAGTACCTTATAAATATCATTTTTTACATATTTACGTGTGGACTGCTTTCGGAAAACAAAGGGCACTCTTTCAAGTCTTGATCTAAGCATTTGCAACTTAACTTCAACTGCATATATAACCTACCTTATCAGTAGACTTGTCCATGCTCGTTGTATTTTCGGAAGTATTTACCGGATCTGCTTTAGCCTGAAAACAATTGTAGAGATATCTTTATAAATGTTTGCAAAACAGTAGTCCTTTTTATTATAATCTGCAATTTGTTTCTAAAACAAAAGAAAAGAAAATACAAACAACAGGGCTTGAAGCAATCTTTGCAGCGCCGACTCTTGGTGACCCAAACAATATTTTGCTTGTTTTCGGCGGAAGAATGACTTTTGGACTGAATAAACGAATTTTCTTCTTTGGTAAAGCTGCAGGTGATTGAAGTGATGTTTTGCGAACCAGTGGAAGAAACTCATTGGACTTAAAAAAAACCGACATAAATGCTCAGCATTAATATTGAAGTAAACAAAATTTTTATGCGCAAAAAGTTCTCTAATTTTTTTGTAAATATTTTGACAGTACAAGTCGGTAAAAAATAATAGTATCAAATTAATATAAAGCCGTATCAAATTCAAGTCCTTTGCATTCTTAACTTCCTATCTTTTGCATTCTTAATTCCTACAGCTTCTCCTCAAACAAACTATCCAATCCAACAAGTTTTTATGAACTGACTATATGCTGCCGATCAAGCTGTGAGGAAAGTTCCAGAACAATGTCATCACCAGAATGTGCAACTTGATCAGCATTATGAACAAAATTCATCGATAAATCACATGCAACGTTGACTTGAGGAGCCAATGATTCCTAAACAGATCTTTGTTCATGACAGTTGTGAAATTATCAAAACAGTATATGAATTACTGTTCTTCTGCAGTTCACTAGAAACATACCACGTTTGAAGAAACATTGTTTGAAATCTGAATGTCATCAACCATAACGATACTTTTTAAATCCTCTTTATGATTTGACGCTTCTGTAACTTTTCCAACTGAAAAGATTTCAATAATAATCGGTAAATGTTTAAATCGAACTTAAACACTGCTGAAGTAATTGGATCATAAGGTAATTCGAAGCAAGTCAGTTAATCACAATCAAGTCAGTTAATCACAATTGTTGAATATGGATATTTAAAAAATCCTTTTATACTAATAGATTTCGAATTATTCAGATAACTTATTTGCTGCTAGGCCGTAGATAGATAGTCATAAATTATGATTTGACGCAAAAATATGTAAGGCATAAATTTAATAAAAATACGTAATATGAATAAAATTTGTACGAAACTTAGTCCATCTTGAACAAACTTCATTTTTAATGTTTTTTTTAAAAAGAATGTAATGCAACACCATTATTAGTTTCAAATAAAATGTTTGTTGGTTCATCGGCACCGTCTGATGCAGCTGCAAGTTGTTTGAAAGATGAACCCATTAGTACCTCGAGTACTTGGCCATCGCCAGAAGAAATGTCCTGAAAATTCTGGAGAATTTTCCTTTGTTTACGTTTCGAGAGGGGAAAAAATGTACTGAAATAGTTTGAGTTGTCTTCCACTTGATATCGATTCAAATTATTTAAAAAAAAATTTAGTACCAATTAGTTTTCTCACCATGTCAGCAGTGCCTGAATATGACATCATCACAGATAATTTTTCAGTATCCATTTTCAACCCCTCATTTGTAACTTCACTTTGATATCTGCTGCTTTCGCCACCTTTGAAAATAAATCGTGTTGGATTTGATGCCAAGGTTTCATCGTACATGCCTGATTGCTGATTTGAACTGTTCATCTATAAAAACTGACAATCTACTATTTTTCTAATTGATAATATCAAAGGTGGAGTATTTGGCAAATCACCAAAAGGCATATTAATCAGTTCTCTATACTTTTAACTGTCTTCATTGCATGTTATACAAATCATAAAGACAAGCTGAATGAAAATTTAAACTTTTTGAAAAGAAAAATTCTACAAAATGTTGGAGAATGGCAGATTGTCTGAATAGCTTTCTGGTCGCATCAGTTGTTACAGGAGATGGATGATTTGAATTGCTCATATCCATCGATTCTGCCTCCAAAACATCCAGTTTTTCATTCTGAATCGTTTCCTGAATAGTAAAAATTGGAAAAGACTGCATAAGATTTGCATATAATGAACGTGATTATAAAGCAAAATTTACTATTTTAATCTCGTCTTTTTCTTCCTCTATTATTTCTTTCCTTTTATTTAACAGTAGCTTCAAATAATTTCATTGTTTGCTATTTTCAAATATACAGAATATTCTCTTTAGAATATCCATCTTTAAGGCTTAAATATCCGCAGCGAAGACGTGATACTGATGCCTTTTGACTGGCTATCATATTTTTATTTATTGGGCAAAAATAATTAGAGGCATGCAAATTACACGAATACCGAAAACACACTTCCAAAATGCGTTCCAGTGCATCATTTATTTCCTCCCTTCTTGTGGTATTATGAGATTGCGCTAGATTGCATATTTCAGCATCTGCAACTATGACAAGATAAATTTCAAAAATTCGTGAAAATACAGAATCACTTTCAGAGCTTTATTATAGGCAGTTTATAAAGAAAATAAGACAAGAAAATGAAATCTAGCTATCATAAAAGTCCACGCATAAATGCACAAACCATACCATCGTCAGTATCTCTACCTTCGAGAGTCAAATCGTCAATTAAATCATTCAGATCTTTCGAGCGAGAAAGCGGTGTAGATGTTGTTACTGGCATGAAATTCTCTACTGTGTGGTTAAATTCTGAACACAAATTCAAAAATTAAGCAAAAACGAACAATAATTAATCACGTCAATAAAAATAAAAAATCAGAGATCGAAAATCGAATTCGAAGTGGTTCAAAGTAGAAAGTAGAAATTTTAATCAAAATCTAACTATTTGTGTTGATTTCTGCTGCATATTCACCTTTTGACTCACAAGCAGAATTCACTTGCCTGAAGCTTTTATAAGGCATAGTAAGCAGCTCTTTCAGATGCAACGGTTCCAAAAAAAGATCAAAATTTTAAAATTGATTAAAAAAATAATTCTAAACAGAACAGTTTGACTTACTCCGAGGTTAAACCATCTGAACTTGTCGTGTCGTACACTGGAATCAACAACTAATTCAAGTTATCTTTTCAGGTACTGTAGATTAGTACACCAATTTAGAACAGAATTACAATTAAAGCCCTGAACAAGGTAAAGGAAACTGGCACTCTAAATAAAAAAAATGACTTTGACCGTTTCAAACAATAACCGTACGAAACATATAACAAAGCAGTCTAGATTAAGGTATTGAGAGATAATAAATGAGAGATTAAAAGCCAAGATACATATTAACGAGAACTGCAAAAACTTTTAATATGGTTTCAAAAAGAAAAAATTCGAACTTACATTTCATAGGTTCACTATGAGGAGAATGCACGATCTTACTGTGTTCTGCATCAAATTCTCTAAAAACTGTTATCATTCGTAGAAATTAACAATTCACTAAGAGGAAGCTGATTTGTTAATATCTTTAAAAAGAGATTTATTGTAATCTCACGAAAAATAACTTATATAACTTCTGGAAAGACAACATGCCAGAAAGTATAAAATAGTATGCTACTTACTCTGATCCTTTGGTCTAGCTTAAACACTGCTCGATCCAGAACAATCTTACAATTTCAATCTTTTTCGTGGTTTAAAGGGATGAAAGTGAAAGAGAGCTAGGGCAATGGAGACACTCCTTTTTCTGCTGATTAGTCAGTAAGATTCATGAACATTTCTATTTAGGAATTAACAAAATGCCGCAAAAATAACTTACTGAACAGTCCGAACAGTGTGAAAGCTAACACGTCTCTTTACTGTTATTGTCGTTGACAACTCGCCATTGTCAATGTTTGGAGGCTGCTGTGGTTTTAGTATCTGGAAACAGCATAATATTACCGCTTACTATGTAAGATTAGTCAATTCTCTTTCTTTATCCCTAGTCCTTGCATTTCATTTATACTTCGACAATAAGAAACAAGCCCAAAGTTATTCCTAATTTAAATATACTCCCATTTTACGTTCATTAAAGGTATAAAATCATTTTCAAAAAGAATCAAATTATTACCATTATTCATAAATACTACCCGCGTTTGTATTAAAAACATACCGACAACCTTCGCTCCTTATCCTTTCTTTCCATTGTTCGAAATTATTGCAACAGACAACTTCAAACGAATGAATAGCACCCTATCTTGGCAGCTTCTTATTTAGCATTATTATATTTAAATTTGAGAAAATTTATTCATTATTGTGCCGCCACTTTTTTTTACAATGCTTAATATATAACAAAGAAATCAATCCACCATACAATCTAACCTTAATTTGCATAACAAACACTGCGTAAATTTTTGATTCAAATCTGACGTAAATTATCTCATGCATGCCCACTACATAAATTAAATGCCACCACGTAAATCTAACGTGAACTAAGAGATTAAGTTCAGTCGCAAAATAGCGCCAAGTGAAGATTTAAATTTTTCCGCCAGAAAGACGTGCACAAATGCAATTGAATGTTGCAACGCAAAAGCCAGTATTCAGTAAGAATGGGGGATAAGGGGCGAAAAGTGAAATGGGAGGAATGAATGATGGAATAGTCATTATATTTGTATTTAAGGATAATGATGAGTTAGAAAGAGAAATTTTTGCATTTATTATTTTGGGACGATGACAAACCATGTACAAATGCAATCATTCCAGTTCATATTAAGAATTTGAATGCTCTATTTATAACGAAAATTAGCAGTTTTCATTGCAAATAGAGTATTGAAGTTTTTGTCATTTACTTAGTTGTGTCTTTTTGATTTATTGCAAAATGTTAAATAATTTCATACAATGCAAATAAATTTCTAGCAATCCCTTGCGATCTTTATGGGATCTAACTTTTCGTCTCGTTACCATCGCTTTGGCATGAGTATCACAGAGGTATGACGAGGGTTGGTTCCTGTTGGTCTCATCGGGTGGGTTTGGTTTATGGGCGACTATTGTTAGGTGTTAGGCATTTTCACAGTATTTCTCTGCTCATTTGGCCTAAGATATTCAGTTGAGTACACATTGTTTTATGAATCATTTTGGACCTTCGTGCAATAACCGAAGTAATACGAACCGATTGAAATGATTCTTGATCGTAACGGAAACGTCTGTTTTCGTGCTATCTTTTGTTATATTATTGTGTATCCATTACTTTTCAGAATTGTAAGTTAGGATGAAGCAAAATCAGTTCGTGTCCTCCTCAGCAAGGAAAGCACGTAAGACTCATTTCAATGCACCTTCACATATTAGGAGGAAGTTGATGAGTGCTCCGTTAACCAAAGATTTACGTAATAAGCATGGAATCCGTTCCATACCGATCAGGTTAGTTGTTTGGCTAAATCTGAGTCCGAACTCTATTAACCATTCCAATGATAAAAGGGAAAAGAAAGCAAATGATTTAGGCAACATATCAACTACAACAGCGATTCATAAAAACACACAGCTGTACACTTTTTTTCCTTTTTTTTCGCGGTCAATTAACTGAGAGAATATATGTTGTTGCAGAATGGATGATGAGGTCACTGTCACTAGAGGACATTACAAAGGAAACGCTGGACGTGTAATGCGTGTTTATCGTAAGAAATTTGTTATCCATATTGATAAAATTACTCGTGAAAAGGCAAATGGCTCTACGGTGCATATTGGGATCCATCCATCAAAGGTTTCTTCTTTTTCTTTCTCTTTTCCTAATCTTTTTGTGGTAGTTTCGAGTAATATTTAAACGATATTTGGTTCTAATTTTGTTAGGAAATAAGTGACAACATAATTAAGGGAAGGGTTCGCAAGGAAAAAGATAGTGAAGATTAATTTATTGGTAACACTCTCATAGCATTTTGGGATAGTTTTATACTTATTCATTTTTCCGTATACTGCTTTAGAATTAATGTTTTAAAATCGTCATTCGGAGCTGACAAATTTTATGAATGTCTAGATACCTTGTACGCGCATAATGTTATCTTAGACTCATCAGAAAAACATTTCATATCTTCACACAATTATAGCCTAGTTTTGTTCGGCTCATCACTTTATTTAGTTTAATTTTTAAGGTAGCATTGACAAAACTAAAGATGGATAAGGATCGGCGAGCGATGATTGAAAGGAAAGCTGCCGGTCGAGCTCGTATAACAGGCCTATTGAAGGGTAAACACACTGAAGAGACCATTGCGGATGAGAAAAGCGTTTAAGAAATTATTGTAGTGAGTGATCGACTTGATGTCGTTGTTATATGTTACAGCTTTCAATAAAATTTCTTGTCTAAAACTCTCGTTATCAAGTAGAATAAGAAGGTAAAATGTTCTGGTCAAAGGAAGTGAACGGCGATACAGTTCCAAGAGTGTTCATGTTTGTTCAATCGATATATCAGATGTGAGTGATGTTGCAGTGCTTGCTGAAACAGATGACGAGAAGGTGTAGCATTTAAAAATCTGAAAGTGTTCAGCTTTCTCACTCTTCGAAGTTGAGCAATTTATCGAAAAATATTTTACATTGAAACTGGTTATGCATACGCAACACAGCGTGTGGAGATACCTGTACTGTGATCGCTATCAGTTATTAGGTCTGTCGAAAATTGTTCCAGATTTGCAAATGGCGAAAGCTAGAAAAATTTTGATCATCTCTCTAATAACATAAAAATACAGAGGCTATATATAGTATATTCATATAAATTAAAACGAAAATGTAAAATTTTCATAAGATGTTCGTGGCGAGATATGAGTTCGTGAGGTAAAACCAGTTCCGCGGTAAGCTATGAGCTTCGTTAACAATTCTACTAATAAGCTGTAGTAGAGGGGAATTTGGATAGCTCGGTTTCTCTAGTATTTCAATTGCTAATTTGCAGCGTTATAAAGAAACGAATTAAATGTAGCAACCAGTTTTGCTATGTTGTGTAACTGATGTTGGCAAGAGAAAGTTCTTTACTTTTAAAATTTACCATAGTTTCGAACTTCAATTGCATTTCTTGAATGTCATGCAAGAAATCTTCTACCAATTTACAAAATTCGGTGCTCTTATTTGTGAGTGTTATTTTATTAAGCACATTTTGCACATACTTCATCCGTACTATGGCCTGAAATTTCCATCCTTTTTCTCTAGAAGAAAGTTACTAATAAGCTTGTTCAACTTTGATGAGTTAATAAGATATCGAGCAGCCATAACGTAATAGTAGTAATAGCTTACATCTTGTAGACTGGAGTCAACTTCGGTTAAACCATAGTATCGCTTCATATCAAGTTCAGAGGACTCCCGAACCTCAGCATTCTATAATGTCCAGATATAGTCCAGATATATTTATCTCTACGGGAAGGAAACATTGGACAAGCAATGCAAGTGGCGGGAAAGATTACCCACGAGGTTTTGCCTAATTTTAAACAGATTTTGATTTTAAATCCACACAGATTCAATAGTTCAGAATTAAAATCAAACTGAAAAATATTACTTCGAAAGATCGTGATATATTGAAACCGCTTTTAGACTCGTCAGTTGGTCCAAGACGACAGGATTCTGATAGCTGGAGAAGCAGATTTTACAATGAAACATTATTTAATCTATTTTTAGAATTGATAGTGAGATCGTTAGTGCGATTAGGCAGATAAGCGATTCTGATGCAGGACTGTTATTATTTGCTAGAAACTCCTAAATTTTAGCATATACCATCATCATTCGCACTTTATTTCATTATTTGAAGTGTCAATTTCGAAAATTATAATTTCATTTCTTTCAGACTTTTTTTAACATTCACCTGCTCATAGTCGTTATCAGCCCATCGGTCGTAGTAATTTCTATTCATTTTCTTCGTTTTTCTTGTTTCAGTGAGATCACTACAAGTAATAGCACAAAAGAAATATTAGTAATGCAAAATATAGGTGAGGTAATAGAAAGAAATCTGCCACTTTTATTGTAACGGCATGAGGTGCATTCTAAATGATAAAGCCCGCAAATGCTGTTGAATTTGAGTTTATTCTTAAAATTACATATATATATATAAGCTCAATCCGGTTTAGCGGTTCAAAACAGACATAAATGAACCAACCGACTTCTTTAAATTATTTTAAAATAACCACAGCAACGAATCAAACCTTCTAACTTAAATCAGCAAATCAAATCTTCAAAGAGATTTTTTTAGATATTTCATAAAATTGAACAATCATTTAATGCAATTTGCTATTTATACCACTCAACCGCACGTCACTATTACTAAGCCAACAATTTTTTACTAAATTAATTACACTAAGAAGCATTCTTCAAACGTTTCCATGTAAACACAATGTGATATTGGACTTCATTTTTTTATAAAATGAATAAGAACAGATTGAAAGTCGAGCATACGCATACACCTAGCAGTATTAAACAGCGTTCAGTTCTCCCAAATAAGTTGCATGAGTACGGGTGTCATTAAGAAATCATATTAACAAACAAATTGCCATATAAGCAGCTTAAATATTCCAAGTGTTCAAGGGATTATAAAAATGTTTCCAGAACAGGATGAGAAAAAAACAAATATAACATTTCGTTTATTCCTTCACAAAAACTAAACAATTATTAGGTGATAATAAGGCAATAATGAAACGGCTCAGATCATTAACATCACAACCCTAATTACACCGGAAATGTACTGTATCACACAGACCGGAAGCAAAAAAAGAGGAAGACATACACAATAATTGAAAAAGAAAACGGACACCTGTCGATCAAAATGTAAATATAAATTTTGGCTTATAACAAAGCACCATGACTATAAGAATTGTTGACGAAATCAAATGAGAGCCGCTACTTTGTCGACTGAAACTGAAAGTGATGTCACACCCTTGTCTTAAAAGTTAACCCATTAAAATGAATGTAAATTAAATATACAATTTCAAAATAAAGAAAAGCAAAATAAAGATCTTAAAAGGAAGAGTATGTGCCGATGATCCAATTACAACAGTTGCCAGAGCTTCAGTACAAATGATACGGAATGGAAATGGATAATGGACATACAGAAAAAAATTAAATCCATAATGCAATAAAAGAATCAATAATAAAATGAGAAATCTTTTTTTTTTAGATCAGCTTCAAAGTAACAGCAGAACAAAGTAAATCGCATAGGTCAAAAAATGGTAACATGATTTGACGAGTCCCAAATTAAAATACTAACCTAACAAATATTATTCGTAAATTAAAAAGAAATTTCTTCATCAATCTCAAAAACACATAGAAGCATTTGTTACTTAATCTATCGTTTTACAATTCGCCAATCCTGGCGCGGTATTTCCTGGAAATATTTAATTTTCCTGAACAATAATTTGTACCAAATAATTCCAACAACAGAACACAGTGCAACGGAGACGTAATATCCATCCACGGCCAATTCGCAAACATTTCCTTTCGCAGCGCATTGATTCACTGACATTTCAGTATTGCATGAACCAAGAATACTGCAAAAGAATACATAAATCAACTTCAGATTCCGAAAGAGTAGGATGAAACAAAAACAACTTATTTAAAATAAACAAATTGAAATGAATGGAAAGTATTCCGTTCACTGGGCAATCATTTTCCATACTCGTACGATACATGAAGTACTGAATTATTCTAGGTGTTAATACTATTCTGATGCACTGGACCACTTATTTTTACCGGTTAAATTATATATGAGAATGAAATTAGCTAAAACGTAGGTATTCCTATTATATGCAAATAATTTGAAAATTTTTCGAAATTTCGAAGCATTAATATAAACACATTAGTGAAGTCTGAAAAGAACACACAAAATCTCAGAAAATTAATGTGGCTTATAAATAATGGTGGTCGAAACTTACGTTTTGGTTCCTCTAATGACACAATTCTTAAAAGTAAAATGGTCCGTGAGCGAAAGGATAAGTGTGACGGGCCAGTTACCGCCTAAATTACTGAGAGTGTTGAGCAAAGTCATATACGTGCCTCCAATTGCTGGATCTGATACCTGGGCAAAGAATGCCATAAGTGACACGAACATGCTATAGGATGCTATCTGAAATCACGGTAATTAATGACGCCAGGTACATTACTTTTATCGCAATTGTAATCAGCATTATGACATAAAAAAACCTTGGAGTAATGTATGCCAGATCCATCCTATTTTGTGTACACAACCTCAGATACAGTACCGACATAGGATGGCTATCCTTGTCAAATTTTATCAATACAAATCCGACATAAGTGGTACAAGAATAGCTGAAGTTCCTGGAAGATACATCAGTCCTAGATATAATCCTTTCAACCACTATAAACTTATTTGGAAATATTATAATCCAGAAATAGTTCTTGTAAGAGAGAAGCAAGCCACTTTCTTAATTTTTGCAGATCGACCTTCTTAGAGCATGTTGCAGAGTATATCGGATTTTAAAAGCAACACACTAAAGTATGACATGATAAGATTTTAACCTGATGAAAGCAGTATGCTATGATCCAAATAGCATAAAGTAATGATGGGAAGTCCTCAGAAGACAATGAAGGTGTGCACCAAATCATTGCTGCAAATACTCCACTCAAGAATATCCTGAAAACTTAGCAGCACATAAACATTTACTTGTGAAAAATAATGAAGTAACTTTAATAAATAATTGCATATACAGAGCGAATAAATATATGATGAAAGTGTTGAGCTTTCAGCCGATACTAAATGTAATGAGCAAAAAAATGAGGAGTGAATCAGTATTATATCATTAACATTGAATTAAACAAAACTTTAACCAACCTATAGGGATAAGCAAGGAGGAAAATATTCAGAGGTCGCGGACCCGCCACATATTTACCAATTACCCAAGGTAACAAGATCTGAAATACAGCACAAAAAGAAAAGGATGCAACATCGTTTTACAAATATTTGATTACTGAAACGTTCAAAACGAACCTGCAAAGGTACCAAAAATAGTGCAATACTGGATAGCTTATCTTTCGGCATACCCATACTAATTAACTTTAAACCCGTGATGCCATCAGTAGCCGCAAATGCGAACTGCAAAAACAAATATCAAATACATTCAGATTCTTCCTATAAAACTGTGTTGACTTAAAGAGATTGATTTTTTAAGAGTTAATACAATAAGTTCATCCTAAACAAACATTTTTTCTACAGTTCATAAAATTTTATACCTTTCCAGTGAACAATACGATGACCATCCATAACACTGGTTTCAACCGCAAAATTTTCCACAAGACGGCATAAGTTTGAAAGATTCCTAGCTCTAGCTTTTCATTCTTATTATCAATATCATCCCTGCAATAATAAACCAATAGTCGAATGCCCCAAAACTTCTTTTAATTAATAAGGACAGTAGTTCTTGCCTAGTATGAACTCTTCTCTAGCAATCTCAGAAGCATGAAATTATATTTCAGTGTCACTCTTAATCGCTTCTATCCCAGATTACTATTCGTATCCCAGCATAATCATAAAATTCAAATCCTTTTCTGGCTACGACTAAACTTAATTGTTCTCCTTTGTAAATATAAATAATGATCCAAAAATTTAATGTAACAAGCAAAATACGAGAACTGACTTATCTAAGATGGAATGATCAACTTCTTTTTTGAAAATAAGTACCAGCGTTGTCGTGATCAGAAACACCCATCCCCAAAAAAATATGAAACCTGAAGGAAAAGTAGAAATGAATTCTAAAATTTCAATGAAATTTTATGTATAGTAAAAAATTAAAATTTTATGCTGAGTAAAACTTCGAAGATACTGCAAACACCTGCGAATGAAATGCACACACTGAAGTGCGTCAAATAGACAACGGTCAGACAACTATTGGAGTGATTGAATAACTAACTCTGATTCTACGCTGCAAGATTGAATAGCTACGACACTACTTTGGTTTTTCACTGCATTCCGTCTCTCTAGAACGACTGCATAATTTTGCTATTCAGATCAGTTTATTTCCTTTTCCTATTATACATTTTAACTTCTAATATAAATCTATACTACTAACAATTCAAAAACAATGCACTTTGGAAGGAACCAGCTAAATTCACATTACAATGCAATATATCCCATCCTATTGATGATAATAGCAGAGAAGCCATCATTAAAATATGTGTAACCCTTGTAAGACAATCAGTGATTCATTAAGTAAGGAAATAAATCCAAAATTTCTTAAACTATAAACAAGAATAAAATATATATAACACTACCGATAGCTAGTTTCTACACTGATTAATGATATAAAAATGTCGCGAACCTTTTTTTAAAAAAAAGAATCATAATGTTTTTCAGAAATGCATAAAAAATGATGAAAAGTACATCTATCCTTGATATGCCGAGGAGGATGTTATTTTTCATTTATACTTTTTTTCTTCGTAAAGTTTTTGGATTAGTTAAATGAAACACTTGAATATCTCCAATATTACGATTTTCAGAGCATATATTTTCAGAAATTCGAACAAATTAAACTAAGAGTCATTCATGAAGTAGATTGGAGACAAAAATAAAAAGGAGAAAAAAATCTAATTTATTTAGAGGAGAGATTAATGATAGAACCAAATGAATGCGTAACATTGAATAAAGTGGAGAACTGTTAAATTAGCAATGGCAGTAGTGGCAAGGAGAAGTGGGTGGGTAACGCGGAAATGACAAAAAGACATGAAAAGCAGCATTCGAGAATAAGCAACAAGTCCTGAGAATTGAGAATTGAAAAGCAATCAGCTTTAAGCGACAAATTGAATTCTATGCTATCATCATTCACGAGAGAAGTGGATGAGCAAATTTAATTCAGTATAAGGAGTTACGAAGCCAACTACTAAGGCTTAAGCACCACCTGTTGGCTTTCCTGAGCTGAGACTTCTGGCTTGGGCCACAGTCGCTGTCATCCATCTCTGGAGACAGTGACGGTGTGCCACCGGCAGCCAACGACAGTAACGATAACGCAACCCAAGGATCCCAAAGAGTGGTCGGCTTAACTGCTATAAACTTAAAGGAGAAGGAAGCCGACAACAATGCACCTCTACAACGATATACGACACCTCCCCTCTCTAGTCGTACTTCTGCTCTGTGTTGCTATCACAACTGTTATTATCCAAGGACATACTGTTGGTCAGTTTGTTTTTCTCGTTTCTTCAAATGACCTACTTCCTCTTCATAATTGTGATTGTTAAAATATACCAACGCTCCACTCTTCTATACAGAAAGGAGATTGCACACTCTGATGCCTTTCTTTTCATTATTATTCTAATGATGTTTAGTAGCTATTACTTTTCAGTAGTTTCAACCGTGGAAAATGTTCGGCTTCTGATCCTAATTCCTTTTAAACTAATGAATTGAAATAGTTTTTTTACCAATATCATTTTTTACCAATCCCTTTATTTATTAATAGTAAACTGTTAATAAATAAAGGGATTGGTAAAAATTTAACACTTCGTGTTAAATCGAATCTTTATAAGATAAAATTCTTTTTTACATTCCTTCTCATGTAGTGTTTATTTTTAATTATAACTATGCTCATTACTTTTTCCAATGGTATCAAAAAAGAGACATAAGAAATTTGAAGGAGCACATATTACAATGGACAACTGTAAATCGGAGAAGCTTCGCGAACTTGTATTAGAAACGATTGGTCTCTTCCCCCATCAATATAGCTATCAGGCAAGGTATATGAAAGAGCAAGCTGAAATACGTTTTGGCAATTGGTGGTCAGCTGTTATTATTGGTGATCGAGGTGGATATGGCATGAGTGCTGTTTATGATCAATACGCTAACACAAGGTAAGTTGTTTTAACAAATTATGAAGAATACATGAAAATAAAAGTACATTATTCGTTGCCATTTTTTCAACTATGGTTTTTTAAAAAAAAACATTTATTTAAAATTCCATATACCAATCGTCAGTGAGTACTCCCATAACAAAAAAAGATACGGCTTGATAGTCTCGAAAATGCATAAATTCTTTTAATTTTGATCATATCATATCGTATAATGCGTGACATATTTTTGAAAAAATAACCAGCATATTTAATTGCCTACTCTCGAGAACATATGGTGTCGTAGACTGACGCCACTTCTTAGAGCAAAATATTACATTGATCGACCTAATCCTTGTGCTAAAAGCTTATGGCTACAAAAGTGAGAAAATTTCCCTTATAGGACATCTGATATCAAAATATTCCATTTCTCATTTTTCCTTAACCAATGTTTATTAATCTCAAAAACACTTCATTGCGTTACTTGCAATTTGATTAAATTAATAGCGTGCTCTAAAAGATAAGTTCCCGTGGAATCATAACTAAAAGAATCAATAACTCAGACCTTCAATATAAAATGGTCCTCCTGAAGCTTCCATTACTTTGCCGCTTACCAAATTGCATTTTCTGCATTACTACATTTCAAATTATTTATAGCTGTGAACTGAGGATTTTCGATACATTCTACTGGATAGGACGAACGAGTTAGCCAGTGGTATTATCTGATGATATTTGGTGTAAAACATATGTTTTCATCAACTTCTGATCTACATTACTTACTACTTTACAAACGTTCTCTTCAATTCAAATTTAAGTATGTTAAAATTTTTTTATTAGTCAAAAATATTACTTTTTTTATTACCCTTTTCTGTTAATTAAAAAAAACGTTGTAAAATGCTACATTCTGGAAGGGAGTGGAAGCTAGTTCATTTTGCTGTTTCCGTTTCGCTCCAGGTATTTCTCTCTTATTGATGAACAACGGCGACTATATATGATATTCACATTTACGGCTAAATTAATTTTTCACAATTATTTTACGCTATGGAACAATTACTTCGGTGGTAAATCAAATTATACTTATTTCGATTTATTAAATGGGGCAAATAAATTATACTAAAACTAATCATTTGAAATTATTATTTCACGTTCACCTAAATCAAAAATTAAGTGAGGGATTCCAGTTAATAACCGTACTGAAGATCAGAATTTTCAGAGAGGTACATTTCAGAAAAAACTAAGAATCTTTAAAATTGTCATCCACTTACGTTATGGTTAATTCATTATAAATAATCCGTTCAGAACTCTAAAAGGACTTTGAAACTATTCCTCCAGTCGAAGTAGTAACATAAGTACCAAAAACATGATAAGGTTTGCCGTCATTCGCAATCCGTTTACAAATACGAAAGATTTTGCGAATATTAACATATATTAACTCTTTTTAGTTCAAACTGTCGATCATCCTGTTAATTTTTTTCAATAAACAATGTCACATTTCTTCCAGTTTTTTCCCTTCTGTGTATTTTTCGTCCGTAAAAAACTTTTTACATAGCAGTTAAATCAACTGCAAAAACCTGAATTCTCCGAAAAATCTTAATCATGAAATTTTCTTAGCAATATTAGAGTGCCAGATAGTTACGTAATTCCAAAATTTTGCTCATCACATTAATCAATCAACCTCTATCACAAACTGAATTGTGGTCCAAATTCGAAATATAACTCAAACACCTGATTCTCGTTATCTTTAGAGATAAAGAGAGGCAGAGAAAACGCATACCGATAACTACGATTGCGTAACAAAGCAATCCACTAACTGAATTATGATTGTAAACTAGCAATTTCATTCAAAACTAAAAATATGCGAACGTTACATCAATTAAAAGCAAGCAGGGACAAACCCGATAGGTTTACTAAGCCAAATGGTTCGGGTTTACTACGAAAACGATTGGCAAAATCGGGTGAGTCGAGCGTCAAATACATGACATTTCCCAAAACAAAGCCAGCCGTTTGACCAGCTGCATTGCAAATCGATGCATGTCCGACATTGTCTCTGTAATATTAATATTTATCCAGAAAATTTTAAATCGAATTAGAAAATGGATTGTCCGGTCGTTCCATTGCAACTGAAGTATAATGCCAGCGTGAAGAAAATTGATCATATATAAAAATCTTGTAATTTAATATTAAACATACCATAAAAATCTTATAATTTAACAATAAATACGTTATAAAATTATAAATAGTCACCCAGAGAGCATGGTAAGTGCCCAACCATCCACGGCTATATCTTGTGTAGCGGCAAGAAAATTCAATGGCAAAAACAAAAACATTAATAAAACCACATTTGGTGGTTTTGAATCTGAAAGAACAATATTTACAGTCAAGACAATTATAAAGAGCTAAATAAGTACTATCCAAAACGGCATTTTCCTCAATTTTTCTTCATATGCAATTCCCATCTTAAAACTATAATAAATAAGCTTGCCTGAATCATTTTCACCCATAATATCGGAAACTTTGTAAGACAATAAAAGCATAAAAATGCCAATAAGATATTGACATGGAACCATCCATGATTTCCGACGACCTATACGTTTCCAGTAAACTGAATCCACGATTGGTGCCCAAAGTAACTTTACGCTGAGAAAAATAAACATTCTTCACAAAAAATTTAATTACTACAAATGTTTAACAAATAAAGTTAAAAATCTCCATTTATCTCTCCAGTTTCACTTGTTACAAATGGCTTATTTAATTTATACTCCACATTTCAAATCTAGGAAATATATTTCGCCACTGGTACTATTCTACTTCTTACACTTCCACATTCCACCACAACGAGATTTCTAAGTCAGATTTTCTGTAACAATTCTGCTTATATGTTAGAAGTTTATTCGAAATATCAAAATATCTCCTGTTATGACGATACTTACCAGGAAAGCATATTCCTCCATATTATATAAATTGAATTATTAAACAAAAAATGCATAATAAAAAATGTGCATACCTGAAAGGCCAATGTGCAAATGAGAAGACGGCTTGCTGACTATAGGATACGTGTTTACTGGATAGGACATATGGAATGGCTGCGATCAAACCTAAAGGAATACCCTGCAGCAAATAGAGAAACGTTAGAAGGCATAATGATCCAAAATCTCCTCGAAACAATTTTTTGACGCGGCGCAACCATGGCAACGGCAAAACTTCCGATGTCCTCTGAAAATGGAACTGTTTCAATGTTTACATTCACTCACTTATCTAAAAAAAGTCACTGCACAATAATAACATAAACTTCAATCAATGTTCCTTTTTATCGATTAATAAGTAAAGTCTTACATAACAAACAAGCCATTTCCATATGAGTATGCATTAATTTAACATATAAACAGAACAGAGTTCTCACTACTATAAAAAATAAAGCAGTATGACATTCCGATGAACATATACTAGCAACTGTTCAACTCACTCTTCTCCAAGTTTAGTGATGGAAGCATTTTTGTTGAAATGGATTTCTCGAAAATTAAGATATAGATATAATTAGAGAAGGTAAAAGTAACAATTAGTACTAGTGTTATCAAGATAGCTGGAACTATTAGGTCTCTTGGAGAGGGAAAAAATATTACTATTACCTCGTCCACTCTTTTCATTTCATCAATTTCTTCATCACCTGAACTGCTGATACCTTCGGTAGTAAGTTTGCAGATATCTCGCTTCAGTCGGTGCCGTGGATGAGAAATGCTGGTAGGGATTATGAAGCCCGATTCCGTGGTTATAATATCATCCGTCCTTTCGTCCATATACTCAAAAGCTTCATTTCGATAGTCAAATAGCACTTCCTCCGCCATATTTGATTGAATTTCGGGAATCCGGTATAGTTATACACAGTGGTCTAATCCTCCCCTTTTGAATGCACGTGCGGTGTCAAGAAGGATGGGCTAGAAGCACCTGCAATAACTAATGCTCTGGCCACAAAATCACGCGGAAGCCCTCGAAAAACTGTAAACAATTCATGCGAAACACACTTTCCTGCCACGATGCACAAAACCCACCCTGACCATAACGCAATGTTCCGCTGTGGGATTACTGCGGCTGTTGCAACCGAATGACTAATATAAAGTCGTTAACAGATGATTTAATGTAATAGAATAACTTTCTCCAACTTTAGGTAGCGGGATGCCTTCAAGTTGTTCTATTGAACGATACGTTACACCGGATTGATTAACAAAATTCATTGTCTAATTATTTTGATGTCGCATCAGAATGATTTGACAGCTGCGATCGCATTATCTTTGTATCCTTCTATTAATTTTAATTCTTCAGTTCTTAATTTCTATTTCAATTTCCACTTTCACGCCATCAAATTTTGCAGTTTTTTTCTTGAAAGCTGAGTTACTTCTCAGCATCTCGACTGATTTGCTATTCTAATTGAGAATTGAAAATGAAAAAACATTAACGGATGATAATTTGCAATTCCCAGAAATTTTAAATCCCCAAGATGAAAAATTAGCGGTGATCGGATGTGATCCTAAGTGGTCTATTCATTGACCGTAATAGGAATTGAAGCGAATCATTGGAAATACTGCTTATATAAGCTATTAAATAATTAACTGTATTTGAAATAGCTAAAATTTGGTGATCCGCTCCAGTTCAGTGATTTTTAACTTTAATTTTCAAATACTTTAGAAGTTAAGATTAAAAGTCAAAAATCAAAAAAATCTTCCGTACTTGGCAGCAAGCATATTTTATTGGTCAAAGACTTGCTAACAAAATCATCTGCTCATTACTTATCTGACATACATCAGACGAATAGTAAGATTTAACTAGTTTCTCTTAGTTGAAATTAGAGTTCTATTTGTTATTTTTACCAATCATTTTATTGTTTAATAAAATAGTAAATACTGTTTACACCAGTGCCAAATGCAATTAGGGCGATCTTTCTGGCATAATGTCGACACCGACCTCATGCTCAAATGTCTTAGCTTAGGTGAAACTGCTTACTTTTAAGTGGTGGCAGTTCGATATCTCTTAAACATTTGACGGTTTAATACAAAACTGATAAGATTGAATTGTAAGTATAAGAGAAAAGAAAATGGTAAAAAAGTACTATTTTAGACGCTCGACTGGTGAAGTCAAACAAACACTGATAAAGTCAAACAAACAATGTCGACAGCGATGAAACATTCCAAACATGTTTTCAGTCAAACGGTTAGTTTTTTGATTTTGCTAACATTTTCTGTGATCAAACATTTAAATTGATTATATAACACTTGCTTTCGCGAGAGTGAAAAACATTCTCAGTTGCTCTGAATGAATAAATCGGGGAGTAGAAACGTATCGCTATAATATACGATTATTCATTTAAATTTTTTATTTTAGGCTTCATAAATAAAATTACTTTAAAATGGTTAGCAGTGTTGATTAGTAAAAAAAAAAAAGGATGAAAAGTCTAGAGTGACTTACTCTGTGATCGGAATCATGGCTGATAAGCGGGTCATTTATAGGTGAATGTTGAAAGGAACTTTGATCGGAGGTCATTGAAAACTCCAAAAGGCGTCGTTGTTATTTTTGGTGCTGTTAGCAGTATGAAATGTATCTAAGTGTTATTTCAAGTTTGACTTCATTAAAATCCAGTTTTTATCAGTAAACCCTTTTTCTGCGAAACAGTAATAAACAATCAGTGCCACATTGTCACAACAATCAATGCTGTTACTAATGAATACTTAAAAAAAGAGCAAGTTGTCTTTCTGATTAAATCGACAGAGAAAATAATAGTTTCAAAAATAAATTGTTAGAGTAACATAGATAATCAATAAAACAAAATGCAGGAAATGGCACTTAGATGAGTGTTGTATCTGAAGAAAGTTTATGGATAAGATTTTAGCACTCTTATATTTGTTTACGAATTTCTTACAGAATTGTCCAACAATGATCTCTGGTGAATAACAATGCTATCAGGAAGACAGTAGAATTTAGATCAAGATAAATTAATGAACTTGAAACCGCGCAATTTTCAATCCTCAAAAATCAAAAGCGGTAGAGAATGAGAAAGCGGTCTAATTAATCAAACAGCTAGTATCAAAACATTCATTATGAACTAATATGATAGGATCAAAAGCACGAGCACGTTAGTGAACTTATCGGTAAGGTCTTCTGAAAAAAACTGGCAAGGAACTGTTTAATGCGATAACTGTCGCTGTGTAAAAATGACAGTAATTCATTATATTTCGAGGGTTAAATTTTGTTATTGCTTAAACCATCATTACGGTAATTAGTTTACAATGTTATATGTTGAAGATATCCATTTAATGATAACATAGCACGTGATATTCTGGTTTTGCGTTAGTTAAGTAGTAGCACTACAAATTATTGACGATAACAGTGATATTCATAGTCTTCATTACAATGTATCATGTGATATTCTGGTTTTGTATTCATTAAATAGTGCACTACAAATTACTGAAAATATATTTGTAGTTGATTCTTTGAACTTCTAAGCAGCTGATTTTCCCAAAATTTCAGAGACGGAAACAACTAAGAAGAGCATTCTTTTTCTGTTATAGTTTGCAAAAAAAAATGAAAAGTTAACTATGTGATAATTAGTATTAATGGGATACTGGTGAGACAAATGAAGGGAATTACATCAATTTCGAGTAGAAAGATGATAATTTTTTATGTGTTTCTAATTCATATTGAAATCGATCAAATAATTTATCAACATTAACAATTACCTATGGAATCTAGTGGTATTGGCCTCATGTGATACAAATAACCAAAGAGGTAAAACAAACCAATATAAAATTAAGGAAGAAATCAATTATTAAGCATTAATGTCATAAACTTACTTAATTTGGCTCATGTCATTTCGATTTCCGACTTTAGTTTCCAGCTTTTACGTTTTAAGTTACCTTACTTATGTTAAAATCAACGAATTTATTTGACCTGCTATTTCTCCATGTTAATGGTTTCAAATCATTAATAAACTTTAAAACTAACAAAAAAAAGAGTTAAAAACATTAAGATCATGATATTAAAATAATTTTGCAAAACTTTTTTCCAATGACGATATCAAACAAAAGGGTTTAATGATATTGTGAATTTAAAAGATGATAACAACCAAATCCAATAAGTTAAAGGGATGTTATCAGTTTCTATTTTTTTATTACGATCTAATTTCATGAGATTTCTCACACCCAACTTGAAATCTCAATTAAACAAAAAGTACTAGTGGAAAATTTAAGAATATTTGCATAGATAATATCGCAAACTTTCTGCTCTTGAATAAGTAAGAAATCATTTTCAAAAGTATTAGAGAGCTAGAAGCATAAAATTCAACTTAAATAGAAGTCTTCGTTACTGACAGCCCAAATATCTCTTGATTATTCATATTTCTCATTTAACAAAAACAGCTAGAAATAGATATTTATTTATATCTATTGGAAGAAGTGTCAATATATATGTCAGACAAATAAAAATCTCTAAAAAAAAAAACTCTTCAAATTAAATTTCAAATTTTACATTAATTCTTGCATCTTTAAATCACCGCAATAAATTATTAACAAGCAAAATGTAATAGAGATGAGTACTATGCTTGAATTTAATTATCACTTAATCAATGATTATTTTATCCTTTAATACTTCATAACTCCTCAAACACAAAAAAATGAGAACCTTTGAACGGATATTATTTTCGCTATTCATATCGATACATTTGGTTGTTGGTAATTTATCCGATTTTTCAATCGATCTCTCACTAAAGGTAGTAATATCGTTAATAACAATAACATTATTTTGTTCCTGATCCATTGCTGGTAAAATTTTCGCCATTTTTCGTTTACACTGGAAGTATAAATTTCGACCAATAAGTTTATATGTCTATAAATTATATTCATTTTCATTTCTTCTACAAATAACTTTCAATCAAATTATAATTACAATGCAATGCATGCATGCATGCTTGCAATTCAACGATTGCTTAATCTGAAAAAAAACAAACAATACAATTTATTAATTAGTCATTTAATAAAATGATAAATATTTCAAATATTTATATAATTTTCCTTCATTAGGATACGATATAATACGGAGCGAAAAATTTTTTGAAAAACAAATATGAAAACGAAAAATAATGAGATGATTAAAAAGCAAAATCGATATTTAAACTGCAAGAGGAAGAAAGAATCGTTATACTGCAAAATTTTATTCCCATTAAAAATTAAATTAAATTTTGCTTAAATTTGATTAGAAAATATTTGTGCTGCATTGTTTGAATAAATAAACTTCCCACTTTAATTAGTTAAATTAATTCTAACACATCTGCCTTTTTTCTCTTTTGTTTTAAAGAATAACCGGTATGCATTTTTTTTTGTTGTTGAAATTATAAAACAAAAATTGTTAAATTTTTACTTATAACTAAATACCATTACTTTTAGTAAATGGTTAAGAATATTTATTAATTTCTGCAGCATTCTTTAGATAGAAAGTTATCAGTAACATTTCTTAACAGTATTATATCAATATTTTGTCAAAAGTTATCGATGTAATAAAATGAAAATATGAAGCATGGTTGATATGAATTTAAATTTAATTTTTTAGCAATGTCTTTTTCGATAAGCTGAAGAATAATGTTATTCAGATATTGCAAAAATGAGCCATTCAACAATTTCTCATTGCAATAAAATTTGAAAAATTCATTTTATTTTATTTATTTATTTAAAATATTTGCTATAATTTGAAATAGTCAGAGAATTTTTCGATTAGCTAAAATATAATCGATCATATTGACAGAGAAAATGTTAAATAAATTATTTTGGAAATTTTGAATTTTTTCCACGTATTTATGTAAAATGATAAAATGATAATATTGAAAGGGATATCTGTAATAAAAGATAACACATTGCTGATAATGATAAACACATCTTACAATAACATTTTTTTTTAGCATATAAGAATAATAATTGATAATGAAAATTAGAAACAACACTTGTAGTAACTCTGATACTAATATATAGAATCTGATATATATATATATATATATATCAGACTTACATTCTCTTATCACAATATAAATATTTCCAATGATTTATAAATTCTTTAAAAAAAGGACTAAACGATAAATTTTTGGAAAGGAATTAAAATCTCTCAGAATAAAACTTTTCCCATTTATAATTCATATAATTTCGAATGTTAACAAATTAAAATTAGAAGTGAAACACAAATATGTTCTCTTTTTCTCTTAAACTTTTTAATATGATAATAGTTTAAATTTGAGAAGGCAATTAACATTTTTACTAATATTTTCCATTTCATATACCAGTTTTCATTTTCCTGTTGCTATCATCGCCATATAGAATGGATCAAAATATCATCAACAGATCGGAATTATAACCTATTCGTATAGTTATAATAGTAAAAAATAATTCTTGTAACATAAAATTTATATACATTTCTTTTAACTATTAAAAATTTCTATTCTAAAATTTCATCCTATTTTTCCCATTTCAAATTTCTAATAATTTTATAATTTCATCCTTCTCTCATTTACAAAATCAATAATATCAATGAGAGAATTTTCAATAAAATTGGATTTTTCTTATTGGTTGTTTAAATTTTTAATTTTTAAAAATAATTTTCGAAATTATTAAAACAATGAAAAAGAAATAAGCAATTAGAAATTTCATTTAAATTTCGTTTTCCTCATTTATATATTTATTTAAAAAATTTTCGTTCTCTATTCAATTGTGAAATCACGAAAAACTAACATTTAAAATTTACAAAATCTAACTGGCACAAAATACACACACACATATATATTACACATACATACATATATACATATGTACATACACATACATACACACACACATACACATACACACAACACATATACCCACACATATACATACAACCACATAAATGTAGAATTTTGATGCAACCCTTAAATATATATATATATATATATATATATTTATGTGTCATTTAACATTAAAACTAACAAAATAAGCAGCATATAAATATGCTGAAACGGTAAACCGGTTTTATATTCCGCAATATTATTTCAGTCGTTCGAATTATTTTATTAAAACATTTCCCACGGCATCTGTCAACATTTCGATAGCATTTCATGAACAGAACATACATTATGCAAATGAAATTACTGAAATTTATTTGAATTAGAGAAGTATTATAGCACTTTCTTTCCTTTTTTTGTTTTTAAATCATTCAAATAGAAATTCTAATATTTTTCTATTCGTTCTTCGTTGTAATTAATGAAATTAATTAATAATTAAATACAATGAATCATTGATTGATTCATTAATTTATGTAATGAAAATAATTCAAACCAATTGATATTAATAGTAAAGTGAAGTTATTCTTATACAATTAAATAAATATATTAAGGGGAAAATCAGAAACAAATTTCAAACTAACAAAGAATTGATGATGATAATATCATCATTCTAATTTTCATTGATATAATGATTAAAATGAGAAAAAAGAAAAAAAGAAATTTCTTGTTTGGATAAAAAAATGAGTTGAAATTTCAACAATACTGTTCTATTATTTGTGTAGGAAATAACAAATGAGTTATACATTTAATACAGGTAAAAGGCAGGTGAAAAATGAAAGAACGGAAGGATGAAAGCCTATTATTCATTTATAAGGCCGATTGTTAGGGAGAAGAAGAGGAAGAAGTAAAAACTGAGTAATAAAAATTATTAGTTCATTAAATAATGTAAGGGAAGTTTGAAGTAATCAAGAAAAAGAAAAGCAATAAAAAATTGAGCTAATTAATTAATTAACTATAAATTGTCGATAATATATGAGATGCTAAATTGTCCCTAACAATTTTCATTTTATATTACCAAATATGGATAATTAATAACAATACATTCATTTTTGTTTATAAAATAAAAAATTCGATGAAGCTTATTTGTCGCATAATTTTCTTCATTTCTTCGTGATTAAACAATGCGCTAATGTCGCAGTTGAGGAATATTTTAACAGTTCAATATTGTTGCAGTTGAAGAGACTTATTGAAACAGATACACACATATACAATTCATTTCATTTTTTCATCTCTCTTTCTTGAATAAAAATACTTTATATTAAATTATGCAACTTGGCGGCATTGACTCAAGCTGATCGCTACATTGTGATTGATAATTGTTGGAAGATTAATAATATTGAAGTGCAGAAGTTTTGATAGTTAAATTATTCGTTAGTATCAGTAAAACTTGGCCGACGACTTTGTGATATCGATGGTACTTTGCCAATATTATTGTTAATTATTTCGTCCAAATTTGGATGCAATCTTTCCAATGCCATTCTTCGTGCAACTCTGCAATTGTAAAGTATATATACTTTGTAAAGTATATATATATATATATGATATATCAAATCTCAGTCCAAAATTTTTAACAATGAATTCTAATACTTGATTCAAATGACTTAATTCAATTTAAATAATTATCATTCGAAAATAATAATAACAATGAATTGCTGAGAAAAAATGTTACATACAAATAAATGACAGCTGTCTGAAAAAAACCATTTATCATAAAATGCATAATTTTAAAGCATTTTTGAGGTTACATAACTCATAACTGAAATCAAACAAACCTATAAAATACTCCCAAATTTCTCCAATCTAAAAGTTCACTTAGGCGTTCCGTACGATTACGCATTATGATACGTTGACGCCGTGAAAGTCCACAAAAGTCATATAATACTTGTGCTAAATCACGTATTGAGCCTTCGCAATCTTTAAATCGACGATCTACCACATAAATACCGTATGATTCGGCATCCTCTACGTTTTGCTTAAAGTTTTTCGCCGATAATAATTTTCACTACATTTATTGCATTGATTGATTTTATCAGTAAACTACCAATAATGTTATATGAAATGATTATTGCATTTCTGATTTAGATTTTAAGGAACAATTTTAATTTAAAAAATTATTTCGTTTCTTCTGCTCTTAAATAGTAGCAATTAATTATTATTGAAGAAAAATTGCTGAAGAAATTAATAATGAAAAATATTGACTGTACATAAAGTAGTATCATAAGTAATAAATTTGAAAGTTACGGGATAATATCGTTAGAAATTTAGCAAATCACACCTGTATAAAACAACCAAAACCGGAAAGATTAGTAGATACGGATGGTACACCCATCACTGTACATTCTGCTGGAGTATAACCCCAAGGTTCATAGTAACTTGGAAAGACGCCGATATGACATCCCCGAACGAACTCTTCATAATCAAGGCCTATTAGCGGGGAAACTGATGACAAGAATTCTGCAATTCAAACCAACTTGACATTATATTTATTTTAATAAAAAAATTTATAAATCTGAATATGTAATTATAAATAACAATGTTCCGGTTCGGCCCGTTCTATTTATATTACATTGCATAATCCATTTGTGTGGATTAGAATAGAAGCGGAAATTATTTCATACCTGGATGAAAAATAACTTTAACTCGATCACTAGGTTTATTGTTAAGTTGTGTCCGTCGAAGAGCATTTAGTACATGATCGCATGGGTCTAACATATTATGTGTACAGACCGGCGGTAATTCATGTTTTGCCGTTGCCATAATACATCGTTTTAACTGGAATATCAAAAGACGTTTACCGCAAAAACTTCAGTATGGCTACTTTATTGTACTGGCTGTTAAGAAGAAGGGAAACGCGGTAATTTTTTTTTTAATTTTAACATTATTGTTAACGTTTAGTTATAGGTTGAATGATAACATGAAATTATTAAAGCACTTATGATATGTCAAACTGGTCCGCTTAAATCATTTCTAATTTAAACTAACTATTTCAATTAGTGGATCGATACATTAACTAATATATTTATCTTTATCACACCTAATAATGTTTACATGTTTCATAAAACATATAATAAATGAAAAAAATCGGATAATTGTCAATTTTAAATTTTAAACGAATAGAAAAATGATAACAATGTATAAAGGAAATAGAAAATTATCAACTGAAGAATTTATTAGAAAGTTTAAAAAGAAATTTTAAAAAGGATCAACTTTATTATTTGCCATCCAAAAAACAAACAAAAGTAAGCAATTTATATGTGTCCACTAAAAGATTGCAAAAACTGACCTGAATTCTTTCGGTTGGTAGCAAGAATTCATCCTTATTTAAAATATGCCCTTTTAGGCATGATTCAAACATTCTCCTAGCAATACTTTCTTTAATTTCATCAATTGATTCTCGTAATTGTTTTGCCACCGCTTGTCCTTTTAATGATTCAACATTGAATGAATTTGCCGCAGCTAAATGGTTCTTCGATAGAGATGTTAAGCAGAAGATAAAACGTTGATAAGATAATAAAAATTAGTGATAAATTCAATTTGAATACAAATTAAATATGGCTGATTTTAATTTAAAAATTAAACTTCTGGTAGGCATTTAAGGTTTTCCTTCCCCTATACAAATTATCTTCACTTGGATTATTCGATTTTACCTTGCAGAATATTTCCCCTTTCAGCTATCATTGCCAAGTGCAATTTACAATGCCTAAATGATGATAAAAAAACAAATAACAGATAGAAGTATATGTCATATGCGTTTTATGACATGATGATGATAATGATGACAATAATGATGATGATAATGATAGTGATGGTAGTGATGATGAAATGATAATGATGATGGTGGCGATGATGATGGAATTACCGTTTAGATGTCGTCAAATGTTGCGGCATCCTCTTAGACATAAGCAAATTTTGAAAAAATTCATGTGATGAAAGTTAAATTAAAATACCAACCAGGATAAATGATGAAAGCCACTACGGTAACATCTCGATAACGTGGATCGACGGTTGTTTTTAAGTAGTGGTTTAATCTGGCCAATGATTCAATGAAGATATCGCCACCCTTATTAATAAATTCATAACGTCCAGCGGTAAACATATATAATGTTTTGTCCAAATCAAAATCATAATGACCATGAAAATGTCCACGAATGAAATTGTTGATTTTTTCTTTCGCTATAGCATGCAAGTTCTGTAAAAAGAATTTTTGACTTCCTAATTTAAATACTATCATTCGTTGTGTTTTGTATCGGCTTGAACAAAGAGTTCAAAAAGGACAGCTGACCTATAACATCAATTACTAAATATCATGAAATCGTCAAATGAGAGTGAAACTAAAGGTCACAATAATTGACCAAATATGGGAAGAAATCAAAAAAAGGGCATGTAAAAGAATATTTAATATGATTGGCTTGACCTTTCTCAAAAAATATCTTAAATATATAAACTTGAAAAGATTATGTAGTTCTTTTAAATCTTAATTTAGAAAAAGTTATTTTGTGATAGAGCATTTGATAAGGGCTAGAAATAATGATTACTCCAGCAAAACAGTTGGCACGGTAACGGAACGAATTAAAAATAAAATATTTATATGCATCGATTTGATGACCTCTCTCTCTATCTCTCATATATGTTAGGTAACATAGCTACCATTCTTTTCAGGAATTTCTACACCAATAGAATGAATGGATTTTATTTTCAATTCCAAATTTTCGAGAAAATTTATAAGAAATCATTTGGGCTAAACAGAATGCTACCGTATTATGTTCTAAAGAGAACTACCGTATTATGGTCTTCTTTTTTAGCTTCAATCTTAATTATTTCCTGAATTGTTTTCTTTCTTTCTTTTTCAGAGATTCGAAATAATGTTCCATTAGAATTTGAATTGCAAAAATTAGTAAAATCATCACCGATCCATGCGACATTCTAAATCTTCCATTAAATAGCTAAAAAAAATTCTAGCAAAAAAATAGGAAAATATATTCTTCAGATCATTCACATTGCCTCTCTGTTTAATCGGTATCAATGAATAGCATATCATCTCCTAGGATTTTTTCTATTTTTAGGCCATTTCTGTAACTAGTAGCCAAGTTATAGTAATACGTCTAAAAATGGACAATGTAAAGAAATACTTTAAATTGTTGCTGAATCTACATATGATGTTTCTACTTGAAGGAATAATCCTTTATTTGATATTATAAGCATTATCATAGTGTTAAGGCCGTAATCACTGATATGTGAGGGAAGATAATATCTCTTTCTAATTTTACTCATTCCAACATAAATCATAATTTCTCTCTTTTTTTCAAATGATAAATTAATGAAACAATTTAAAAATAATTTAGAAGTGAGAGAAAGAAGAATTGAAAACCTGAAATTCATGAAAAGCGGCAAATTTGACAACATTCAAACCATTTGGTGTTACAATATCAGGCTTTTGATGAATTAAATGTTCCGCTTCAATACCTGTTATTTCACTAACTGTTGTAAAAACATGCGCCATATGACATGCTGCTCGTTCTATACAATATTGATGATAAATCTAAATTGAAATGTTAAAAAAATTCAAATATTCTTTTATTTCATTTTCTTTTTTTCAACTTCTCAGAATTTCCTTCTACGGAAATGAATAAATAAATAAATAAATAAATAAAAACCATCAAAAATTTTTCAGAAAAAATTTTTTCTCCCAAATGATTAAATAATTTACATAAATAGTATTCCCAAAACAAACAGAGTGTTGGAATTATTGAACTTAAATTATTATAATGAATTAATTATCATACGTATCAATCGTAATTCGAATAGGATCAATTAATTATCATGATAAAAAAAACCATAATAACGATAAACAAGAAAAGAAAACTTGATTGTTAATCTAATTAAATGACTGATACTCATTCGAAATTAGCAATTGATGAGAAAATGGAAATTTAAATTACATGAAGCTTATATGAAGTTTTCGCTGATATAGCTCTTTATGGATGAAAATGAATCGATAATATTATTTAAAATGATATCAGTATTAAGCATATCAATGATAGATAATTTCTTAAAAATTACATTTCGTTTTCCAGCTTCTTCATCCAAATTGAATCGATTAAGATTGTTATAAAGATCACTACCACCCGCTGCTAAATGTCGTCCTAGCAATGTTGCATGTGTGGTATATATTACAGCAACGTCAAGATTGAAAAGTTTCACACTAATCAATCCAACACCTTAATCAAAATTAGATATAATTTCAAATGATTAATATAGCATACTTCATGATACTACAATATTTCGCAGGATTATTAACTTCTGAAATTAAAATTACCAATGTAAGATTGAATTGGAAAGAAAAATCCTTGCTGTTTTTATAATTTGTAGGATAAGTATGCTTCGAATAAATTACATAGAAATGAAAACAGTTCAGCTTCTTAGAATTTCGACAGAGTCAACAACAAAAAAATATTATTGTTTGTATTATTATTTGATTTCATTATGATTAAATTAATAAATCGTTATCATTATGGATTTATTTCCCAAAGGATAATGAAATCGATTCATAATGAAATCAATATCATCTCAAATAAGCATAGTATATGCTGTCATGGTGAAAGTTCAGTAGTAAAGAAATACATACCAGCCTGCCATTCATGAAAATGTGCAACAACCAAATTATGATAATCGGAATTTTTGTATGAATCTAAAAAATGTTTCAGAAACATTGCAACCATGAAACCAAAAATCACTGCATCATTTGATTCAATATCCTCATGTGGTACTCCAATTTGATATCTGAAATTCCTATGAAATTACACTGTGACTAAATAATATGTAAATAAGAATTTTTTTGTGTTTAATTAACATTACATTTTAATTTATGAAATTTTTAATTTATGTTAAAAGTTTAAATAAATCAATAATGATAAAATAATGCTTTGTTTTGCTTTATTATCAGTGTAATCTGACCTTTCATAAATTTCATGCTTCCAATCGTTCATTTTTCGGGATCCAGAACCCAAATCAAATAATATGACTTTTGGATAACCATCAATTAACCATCGTCCATAAACTGTCTGAAAATTCATCTCTGGGCTAAAATAAATTAATTGGAAAAGATTTTAGAATCTAATTATGACCTATCTAAAATCAAACCTGAATGATATCACATTGTTTACCTTGAAATCATTTTCCTTCAATTTCTGAATAGCTGTTGCAATATGTTGACTTTCAGGTGCAATTTGCTCCACTTCCAATTCCCATTTTCCTTCACGTAGTGGGCCTAACATGCAATATTGATCTCCGTATTCTTCCGTACTTATCGGTGCTTTACTACGTAATACTGTATAAATACCACCAACCTGAAATTGCAGTAATAATTGGAAATAATAAATTATATGAATAGCACTTATTGAAGTATTAATAAATTTGATAGGCGTTGACGATCGTCAAATATTTGCATTAGAAATTTTACAATATTTGAAATCGATAAATATTTCTAATTAAAATTGGGATAGTAAGGTATAGTTGATTAGAGCAATAAATTGATAATTAATTAATGAAATAATCACTTAAAAAATTTGAAAAAGCATTCTCGAATGAAAAAAGTTGGCACCTATCATGCTGATAACAAATAATTCCAATCATTTGCGCTAATTTCATTTCATTTCTTTTTTCCTTCCGCATATCTTTTTCCAGAAATGAAAAATGATAGTTTATTAATTTACTCTTTTAAAATTTATCAATTTTATTAAACTTGAGGAATCGATCTCATATGATTCGATCGAATAATACGAGTCAATCTAATCGATTTAATTTTCTTAATTTATTAATGTAAAATTTCATTTACTTGACAATATCATTTTCTCCCATTGCTTTTTTTAAACCAATCAATACTATTAATTTCATCAATAATGTAATCAGTAAATTGATATTATTTCCAATTTATTTTTTCACTTGGTTACCTAATTTTGATTAGAGCAATCTAATTTAATTCCAATTTTAGACGATATGTATGTTGTTAATATATAATACACTTAGAAGATAATGCTCAGCTGATTCAGATATTTTGTATTTTATTCGTCTGTAAATTAAATTTAACCTCTAACATTCTTTACTCTTCAATTGCTATTATATGTTTTTGTTCTTTAATACTTTGATATTTTTGACAGTGAAATTAGCAAAAGCTTATTTTGTTCTATTTTCATTGAAGAAATTTTTTGCATTAACAAACCAATAATTCTACAATTTTTCCACATTCGATCAATGATCGACGAAAGAAAAAAAAGTGAAATGATCTTTGATATTTTTAGTATAAAACAAAAAAGACCAGTTGAATAAGATCTATATATTAAACTTTCGTTAATTTTGTTAATGCATATTTTAAGATTTAAATTATCGTTGAATTTCAAATTTCAATTAGGCAATAAGATTAATAGTAAAATATTTTATAATTATAATTAAATTTATAATAATTAATTTATAGAATTTCATACTTTATTAGCAACTTCCCAAGAACATTCAAAAACGCAACGTCCTTCACGTCGTGCGGTTTTACCTACGTCCATATCAACCAATTTCGATTGTTCTATGTTTATTTTCGCTAATAGCATTTCAATTTTCGCTTTTGACAATGATAATAGCATATTAGCCATTTTAATAGCAAAATCTGAAAAACGAAAAAAAAAGGGTAGCATTAAATTTAAGTTTCCTATCTGATCGCAAGAAATACAAGCGAAACATTGTAAAAAGTCGCAATTATCATGCGATTATTTTTCAATTAAAATCATTTTCAAATTTCCTTTAAAATAAGGTAAAATTTTAAAATTTATGCAGATTTTAATCATCCGGATTTTCATTTTGTCAAAAGTGCCAAAAGTGACAAAATGAAAAGTATCCTATTAAGCTAATCCTTCCTGTTGGATGATTGAAATCCGAAAATCTGGATGATTGAAATCCGTGATTTAAAAAATCTTCCTTTATCCAAATTTTAAATAATGCACCACCATCAATTTGTAAAGTGAGTTTAGAAATGAACGACTAATAGATATCACAAAGCATATGTCATTGATGTCATTCAAACTTCGATCGATTTGTTCGGAAAAAAATTTCCCAACGTCATGAATTTTAAACGTATGAAATTTTTTGAAATCATTAGAGTAATTTATTTGATGTTTCAGTATTATTTTATTCCTTTATTTATTCCTTTTTCATTTTTTAAATTAATACTTAATGCTTGTATTGTTTTATTTTGGGAACATTGAGGTTCAATTGAGGTCATCATATGTGAACTATAAAATGAATTAAGGTCATCAATTTCAAATTATAAAATTTTCCCAAATTATGGAATATAAAATAGTCAAAATTAGGAAAATGTTTAAATGATTAAAATTGATAAGGAAAATAAATGAAATTTAAAAAAAGAGAAAAAATGGAAAATATCAATTAATTTTATTTTTAACAATAATTATCACACAACGAAATTATTATTATTTCTCTTTGAAAGAAATCAATTTCAAATTTGAAATTTATTTATAATTGATGAAACTACAAATTAATAAAGTAACAGAAACTAATTATAGTACAGAATATTTGGAATTGTTGGAATTTTATGAAGTTATTTCTTATCTATAAAATGCTTTATTATCAGCATTATCAGTGAATATCAGACAAAGTATTTGTGTAACGTAAAGTTTGTTGCAATCATATAATGTCTATAAAATCATATAATGTCTATATAATCATATAATAATCATATAATGTCTAGATAATACTATAGTCTATATAATTTTCCATTTATTTTTTAAAATTTAAAATAAATTGGAATAGATTTTAATTTGAAATGCAAAAGTCAAATTCATTTACTAAATTTTGAATTTATCAATTGAATTTATCAACGTGTATAAATATAATAAAAATATTTTATAGAATATTTGAATTTTGTTTTTAAAGAAAAACTTCAATAATATCGTTAACAATCAATAAATTGAACGATTGTTACAGTTTCGATCAATGATCAATTAAACAGTAATTTGTTGATTTCTTCTTTACTGAGAAGGATGTTCAATTCATTAATTAAATAATGAATGAAATTTTTTCTTAAAAGAAAATAACAAATTATATTTACAATTTATCACTGATAAAATTTTCATTGATTTCTTCTTTCTGTTAAAAACAAAAAGCAAAATGTTATTGAAATTGAAAGTTAAATATCAAACGAAAAATATTTCCAAATTTTGAAGTTAAAAATAAATTTGTTTCAAATAGAAAGTAACAACAACAACAGAAAAAGGCATTGTATATAAATCGTAGACAACGTTGAAGCAAATGATCCGTACATTTCGCATCAATTAATTAATGTCAAGAAGTGAGGTAGCTGTCAGACGGAATCAATTTTGTACACTGATTTCAATTTTCTTTTTTTTGTTTCACTTGTTTTAAAGTATCCGAGGAAAAACAAATAGAATCACTCTGAATTCGCTACCAATAATATGATATCATAATTAAAAGCAGTAAAGTTTGAAAAGTTGTAGTGAAAGAGATTAATTTAAAATTGTAAAAATTTAAAATAAAAGGAAATATATCTTTCATTGATATCATAAGCAATATTATCATTGTAATATAATAGAAAAGATGAAAACAGAAATTGCAAAATTTTAATTACACTAATTTTTTAATCGATATAATAATGATAATTGATTAAAATAGTTTTTGATGCATCATTTTAAATGATTGAATAATTTAAATATTTTACAGTCTGAGAATATCAAGAGTATAAGATTTTGAAAACATAATTTTAACTCTCATAAATTATCAAAATAACATTTAATTGATAAATTTACATTTGTAAGAATGAAATAATGAATTCATATATTTTTCCATAAGCAAATTATTATCTTCCGTAAATATTTTTACAATTCAATTCCCTAAAATTTCTCTTATTATCACTGATAAAATTTAAAAATAAAAAAGCAAAGAGGAATGATAAAAATTTTAAGTTATATTTATAAATGAAATAATGAAGTGGCAATTTAAGAATTTCCTGACATTCCTGAAGATAATGATTATTATTTCCAGGATTATTTGAAATAATAATCACTATTTTCAGAAATAATAATCAAAAAAATTATTTTAGTTATCCCCTGAAAATAATGATTATTCCTTTAAATAATAATTATTATTTTAGTTATTCAGGATCGATCCAGAAAGAAAATAATAAAAGAAATATTAGCATAATTGTAAAAACTTTCTAAAAAAAGAAAAAGTAGAAAATAAAAGCTAGTAGAATTGATAATGCAAGAAAAGATCGTTGTAATTCATCGTCTCATTATCATTGGTAGACGGATGTGTGTGTATGTGTGTGTGTGTGTGTGTGTGTGTGTGTGTGTGTGTGTGTGTGTGTGTGTGTGTGTGCGTGTGTGTGCGTGTGTGTGCGATTATATCGATGATAAATTTTTTTTTCTGATAATAAATGACAGTTTAGTACGATAGCTGAATCAATTTATCACCAATAATATACCAAATTTTAATTTGTTCAAAATTGAAATTACAAAAATAATTTCACTGATAATTATCTGATTTCATTAATGTTATTATATCATTGACATTTTTCTAATATTTATATAAAGCAGACCAATTACTTTTAATAGTGATAATTAAAAAAAGGAAGACATTGCTATGTGATAATTTTTTTAATGATTCATTTGTGATATTTATCAATCAATCATTCTTAATTTTCCTTTTTTTCCCGTTATCAATTAATTAATTGACAACGTCGCATCAATTAACGATAACATTTTTTTAATGTATAATTTTCAAAAAGAAAAAGTTAATTGGCATAATTTTTTAAAATTTTCATAACTTTCAAAAAAAAAATCATAATCATACCATAATTCATATCATAAATCATCATATCATAATCATATCATATCAAAAATCACATAATCACATCAAATCATAATTTTCAAAAAAATCATGATCACTTCTTATGTTTAATGTCTGTTATAAATAATAATTTAAAAAAATTACAAATCAAAATTTTTTAAGTCCAAAAATTATTCGAACTAAGCAGACGTGCAGCAAAATGAATCTTCGAAATTTCAAATCTTTTAATTTTTTTAGGAGAGATAGAGTTGAAAGGGAAAAGATTCTTATCGACAAGCTATAGTTTAGTCTAGAAATTTTCAATTATTAAATAAATATTTCTAGAAGCTTACGTTGATTTTCATTGTTTTTTGTCAAAGAATTTATTCAAATAAACGAATTAAGCTTAATTTGGCATATGATCTTATCTGTCCATTAATCATCATTTGTTTATCATTTTTATAAAGAATCACTTCTCATAATCATTTATCAGACTATCAAGTCATTTTATCTCTTCACTATTATCTTATCATGAAATGTCTTTCTGCAATCTATGACAACTTCAATTTATCAGAGAAATTAATTGGGTCATCAACGATGATTTCATCGATCAAGTATTAAATGCGGCACAACGCTGAACGTTTAATCTTTTCATTTAGTTTTAAACGACGATCATTGATTCTTGCAAGAAGCGGAAGCTTTCTTCTTCTTTTGCTTTTTTTTTCATATTTCATATTTTTTCAACAAATTCAACAATGTCTGACATTTATAGTGCATTATGCTTTCTTTCACTTTAACTCTAATCAGTTTTATCATTAAAAATTATCACTAAAATTGGAAAGTCAAAAGGAATTGAAAGCGTTAGGTTGAATTTATATTAGCCATTTATGTTGCATTAAGTAAATTAAAGGATGAAATAATTGAAGAAAAATAGAAAAGCTCACAGTAAGTATCAAATAAGATGAATCGTAAATGAATCCGGAAAGATGGAAAACTGGAACCGTAAGCTATCAGATAAATGCAAAAATCATGGATGAATCTTAAAAAATGCAGAAATGAATTATGAAATATAAATGTATCATAATTCGGAAAGCAAATGATGCAAACATTTTTGAATTATTGGTTTCATTAAATATGAGACAAAAAAAAAGAAATTATTAATTAACAATTAGGAAGATATAAATTATAAAACTAAATTCAATTGATTTATTACAGTGCAATTGCTTCAGGCCTCTAAATAACTTCTCATTCAGCTAAAAAATAGTTCCCATCTTGCCAATAAAATACAATTGAAACATAAATGCATTAACAGTATTGAAGTATAACAAATACCTGATAATTTGTTGATTAGCGAATGATTCGGATGATTCCTGGTGATCATTTGTTGGCCCATACTAGTAGGCTCAGGCTTATCTCATATCCATATGATTTCATTATTAATAAATAATGTGACAAATGATATTGAGCAATGATATATTTCGAATTATCATTAGAATTGCTCATTTAAATCATCCTGGTGATAATTTGTTCAACTCCTTTAAACAAATTATATCAACTCTATTCTCTTTCTTTTTCCATCTTCAAACATGACCCTAATGCTTAGCTCAATTTCCTTTTATGGAATTTATGTCAATCCTTTCTCTTTCTATCCTTTTCAGAACTTTAATTTCAATCAAATTGCTCCCATCAAATTTCCACTTTATCAAATTATATAGTATCAATTAAAATATATGCCTGTATGAGACAATGATTTCTTATTTCGTTGCATACTTATAGGTGGCTAACGTATTATTTAGCTGGAAGCTGTTTTTACAAATGCAAGTATTTCATGTAATATTAATTATTAGCTCATATTATTTTGATCATTTGGTTAAGACTTACGCAAAATTTATTGTTTTCATGAAATTAACCTCGTAGTTATTTAGGAGTTTAAGAGTACCACAAGTATCTGACAGTTTTCGAGCTATACCGCTCATCGGATTCGTTCTCTTTGTATTATTAACTCGGTTTTCCGTAAAATTTACTTTCTGCAACTATTCAGTTGTTATTCGGTCCGTTCCAGTATTTTTAATTTTTTAGAATGAGTGCTACATCAATGACACCGGTAAAGGAAGAAGATATTGCGGTACGACATTTCCGCGAATATTTACGCATTAATACGGCTCATCCAAATCCGGATTATGGTATGTTTGAAATTTTACTACGCTTAGAAAAAATAAATTCTATGATTAAATATTGTAGAATGGAATGAATTAAAATGATGAGATAAATAGGCTTTCGAAAAAGGAAATTCTTCGATCATAAAAAAATTCAAAGATTAGCAAAGGAGAAAATATATATTTTGCATTGAAACAAACATTTTAATTCATTCGTTCTATAATATTTAGTCATAGAATTTTTTTTGTAAGAGCAATAAAATTTCGGTAGTTAAAACTGCTTTATTTTCTCATTCAAGAATTGTTAAATTTTAACTTAAGAAGTATAATCGTTTGCTGAAAACACTGCAGTGATGAAAATATGTTAGAAAAGTTATTCAGTTAACGTACACTACATGTTTCTCGGTTTCACTGGAAGTAGCCACGCATCAGTTTCCTGAGAGAAACTCATAAAAATGAAATCATATCAGCTTTTCATTTCATTTGTTACCTCCATTCACTTGATGCTTAATCTACCTATTGCTGTAGACTATGATTGCTTTGAATTGTCCGATTTTCTAGTAAATCGTGTTTTGCTATTCTTTAAGTCGGTGTTACTCTTATAACGATGTGAATTTTTCCAAAGTTGGAATCTCTGTGTTGAATGTAACTTTGAATAGAGGAATGCTGCAAATTCCACAAAAATTTCAGAAAAATGCACAAAATTTTTATTTGATTTGGCAGATGGGTTGGGCTTCGAGCTATCTATTTACGAGGTTTGTCAATTTTATATAAAGTATCAAAACTAGATATGTTTAAATTCAGTAAACAGGCTGAGAAAAAAAGTTGAAGTATTTTCAAAAATCTGTGCTTATTTCACAATGGTTAACATCCAGTTAGTTTATTTACTTTTATTTTCTTATTATGAAAAGAATGACCCCTTCATCGGTCATCCTACTTTTTCTTTCTTCGGCGAAAATCTAAGCATCTATATATACGTTATATATGACAAACTGAGAATAAAATCCGGTTTGTCAAATATGGCGTTATAAGTCCTTATATACAAATATTACTTTCGATTCATCAATTGTTTTTTATTTGTTAATTAATTAGCAAATTTAATGGTGAAAAGAAAAAACTTCAGGGTTTTTAGTGTGTACCGGGCAAGCCATTTGTTATCATGACGTTACGTGGACGTGATGAATCACTTCCATCTATAATGCTTTATTCACATACCGATGTTGTCCCTGCACCTAATGAGGTTTTTTTGTAAAAAAAGAATCGGCAAATTTTTGCTTATTTAACTGTTTTAACATTAATAGATTGAAAGTTAAAAAAATATTATTGCAATTTCTTGGTTTTAATTTTTCCCTTAAAAAAAACAACAGCTTTTGATTTTGGATTTCATTGCAGGAATACTGGAAGTTTGGTCCGTTTGCCGGAATAAAAGATACAGATGGAAAAATTTATGGTCGCGGTACACAAGATATGAAATCTGTTGGTATTCAATATATTGAAGCAGTACGACGCTTATCTAAAAACAGCCAAAAAAACTTTCTACGAACAATACATATTGTATGGGGCCCAGGTTTGCTGTCATTATCAACTCATGGCATTCCTCATCTATTGATGTAATTTTTCTCATCTTCATTGAAAAAAAAATACATAAGCGAAAAATTTTAGATGAAGAAATAGGTGGTGAAGATGGGATGGAAAAATTCGTAAAAAGTGAGGTATTCACGAAATTAAATGTTGCTTTTGTTTTGGATGAAGGATTACCTACAGAAGAGGAATCTTACAAAGCATATTATGCTGAAAGATGCCCATGGTGTACATTTTCCTGATATTATGTTTTTAAAGCATTTTTATATTGAAATAATTTATAAATAATAATTAGTTTTGCAATTCATTTTTTTTTGTCTGCATTTTCAAGCATTTAATTTGAAATAATTTATAAATAATAGTTAGTTGTAAAAATGCTTTAAAATGAATTAATCATATTCTTCGTATTTTTTTTTGCAGGGATTGTTATAAGTTGCAAAGGTAAAGCGGGACATGGATTGCAATTGATCGAAAATACTGCGAGTGAAAAATTGGTAAAATCCTTAGTTTCAATTTTAATTGCTAGTAAAGTTCGTCAATATTTTTTGTTCTCTCCAAGAATTTAACTAGTTTTTGCCGTAAGGGACTTCGTGAAGTAGTATTGATATTGACAACTATTATTTTACTTGGCGTAATTATATGACAATTTTCTTAATGTGATGTTATTAGTCATGTATATTAGGTATATTTATTCAGCAACGAATAATCAACAGTTTTATGGGGTTCAGGGAAGAACAAAAAAGGCTACTTCAATTGAACAGCCATCTGACGCTATCTAATGTGATATCTGTCAATTTAACAAAGATTGAGGTAAACTCTTATAACAGTGTCATTTAATTTCAATAAACAAGAGGATCATATTGCAAAAATACTTAATTTTTTATAAAGATTAGGTATCATAAAGTAATAATGAGTAATTTATATTGGACTATAATCCATTGATTTTGGTTCTTAAAGCACGAATGCTAATTGTTCACTAAAGATTTATATTTCCTTTACAAAGTTACGAATTGGTAATGAGTTAAAGTAAGCAGAATTATGAAAGAAATTTTAGAAGGGAAAACTGCTAAAAATTTTAGGGTGGAGTTCAACTGAATGTGATCCCGACTGAAATCAAAGTATGTAAGTTTCATTTTAAATTCTCTGGATGTAGCATCTAAATTTTGTGAGCGTGCAGTTACCAATTTTTTGGAACTAATAGATCATGCTAACTAAGATTCTCATATCTAATAAATGCAACAAAAACCATTGCACATTTTTCTAGGGAACAGAAATCATAATATTTCTAATTTCTAAGTTATCTCTATGATTTATTCTTGATTTTAGTTTCATTGACGATAACTGATGATAATTTCATTGACGTTATTGGAAACTGATAAAATTGTTATTGCTTTTATTTTTAGGGTTCGATATTCGGATACCACCAACGCACGACTTTAAGGTTGAGACAACAGTAATTTTAGCAGTTCAAAATTTTGCATCATTTAAAGCTTGATTGGAGTTTGGTTATTGCTATCAGTTATTGTCGGTGCAATAACCACTCAATATTATTATTAAGTTTATTTGCAGGAGCTAGAAAATCAAATCAGCAAATGGTGCACGGATGCAGGAAGCGATGTGACATACAGCTTTATAAAGGTACGTATAAATAGATCAGTGCTTGAGTGCATCAGTATAGTTTAAAATTTTTTTAGTCAAATTTGAATGATTTCAGAATACACGAATCAAGGCGATGACCCCAACAACAGATGATGATCCGTGGTGGCACGCATTCTCGTCAGTTTTCAAACAATTGTATGTTTTGTGATTTGGTCATTCAAGTAATGTAATGTTATAGGATCATTTTTAGCTATTCACTAAAACAATAACTGGAAATGCTTCAAATTTTTTCTTTCTTCCTTCTCTTAATAGTTTTTTATTGAGGAATTATTCGATATCGGTGGATATCTTTCCGGGATCAACCGATTCACGGTTTTTGAGACAGGTTTGCTAATTTCATTTTTTTTTCTCTTTCTGTTTAATTTATTTAAAATTCGAGTGTGATTTTGTTAACAGCTTATAGTTCACATTAATTTGCCTTTTTGTCTGAACTGGGAAAATTTTGAATTTGTTAGCATTAAAGCAATTTTTGTTATGAATTAATGAAAAATATATTAATGAAAAAGTATATATATAATCTGTAAATAATTTATTCATTTTTCAGAAAGGAATACGATCGATCGGTTTTAGTCCAATCAATAAACTACCTATATTACTTCATGGTTATAATGAATACATTACCGAAGAATGTTTTTTAAATGGCGTTACAATTTACGAAAAGTTAATCGAGAAACTTGCTAATTTAACGGAATAGTCGTTTCGTTAAATTTTTTTTATTGGATAATTTTTCTTTCCACTTTTTCTCAAGAATGAATATTGATGTGAATTTCAATGTTCCAAATATTTTCTCCTTTTTATGATCAAACTTATATACTGCAGAATTATCTCGAAAAATGGCAACTCATTTGTGAAAAAAATTATCTCGGGAAAATTTTCCACATTTTTTCTTTTTTACGCTGTCATCATATATTCTGCTCAGAAAATAAGTTCAAGTGACAGAAAAACAACTAAACTGTGACGGAAATTGTTATTTTGAAGAATTTTTGCACTAATTAAATAGTTACTCTTATTTGTGGATAACAAAAATGATAGTGATAGGCACTCACGTCATATATCATTTCTGAATGCAAGTTTAAAAAAAAAACGTAACGAGTGTTGAAAGATTTTTGAAAAAAGGAAAGGTTCATTTGGTTGAAGCAGAAGACTATGGTAAATAATTTAATGATTTATTTCTGAAATGCATTTCAAAACGTCGATAATAATGAGAGTTGTTGGAAGTGTTTACTATTTTTGACTTTCTATTTTGGTAACACTTTATCGCTTTGGATATTATTGGTTGAAAATAAAAGTGAAGTTGAAAATATAAATTTTAGAAATTTCCGAATCCAATCAAAAGGGGGCCAAATGGCTTGGTGAATATATGTATAAAATCGAGCTAATACTGAGACAAAAATCGTCTTGATAGGTTTCAAGGGGAAGAATATTTGCAATTATATGTTTTATTAAACCGAAGAAATTCTGCAATGGCTAAAAAATGTAAATTTGATTTTATTCGGAAATGGCTTCGAATTTTCTCTACCCGAGATATTATATATTGTAATGGGGAATGAAAATAATCTTTACTTTTCTCATCATGCCCAAAAGAGATTATTTCAATCAAAAATGAATTTTTTCTTCATATGTGTGAAACAAGGATAGTATAAATACTATACTGTTCATTTATAAAATCCAATATATGATCGGTAAACTAATACCGATAAATTGAAGACATAAAAGTAATTTTTACGTTTAATTCAATATACATATGCGGCATATAATTACGGATCTGTTAATCTTCAATGCGATTTTACTTTGCGTTTTTGCTGTCGCAATAATTTCTTTGATGCATTATCATCCAATTTCAATAATTTCTTTGATATATTATCATCCATCCAGTTCCATCCATATTATCATTCTCCTACTGATAATAGTAATATATCAGTAATTAATTAATTAATTATGCAGTAATTATTTATACAGTATTATATAGTAATTAATCAGTAATATATCCTATCAATGAGATAAATTAAGTAGAATAATTCGACAGGATGGTGCTTTTGAGATGTAATTAATCAATTCTCTCATTTCATTTATAATTAATTTTAATCAAAATGTTGTAATAAGAGATAAGAGAGCAAGATAAAGCATTTTATAATTTGGATGATTATGATGGTAGTGGAAGTATGACAGTTTTATATGAAATTTTTATGATAGTTAAAAGAATTAAAAAGATGTATTTCATGATGACATGAGTGATAAGACGTGAAGTTAAAGGAATTAATTTATAAATTTACAGTTTACATTTGTCGCGATAAATGAAAAAGTGTAATTAAAAGGGAAAATGTAAAATTAACTAAAATAAAAAGCAAACTGAATTACCTTCATATGTCAAAATTAAAAAAGGGATTTTGCAGAATTCAGGAAAATAGAAGGAGAATGATTAATGAGACCGAGCCAAGCATAAGCTCAAATTTATTGAATCAGAACATAAACTATGCCTTATTAGCTGTAATGTCTATAGGCCTTGAACGAAGCATATATGCTAAGAGTTCTTATAAGGGTACATACATCGATTTTTATCATTGAGTGAAAAAATTTAGGTAAAATTCAAATAGAATTTTTGATAAAGATTTTCTATGATTCGGACCTTTTGTTCATATTTGAATTATCTAATTTAATTTATTTTTCTAATTTCCCTTGAATATTTTGTTATAATATTTTTGATTATTATTGTTTATTACAGTATTAAGAATGAAAATTATACAAATTGAAATTTAATATGTTTAAGAGTTTGAATGATCGATTAAACGAGAAATTTAGTGACAATATATTTACGGATATCTACGAAATAAAGCTTTTGCACAGATGACGAAAAGCAAATTTCCAAAGATTATTCAATTAGAATAACAGAAAAAGTTTTTGACATAATTGTTAGATTTCAATTTATATTTTTAGGGGGCAAATATTTCATCATCGCATGTCGCAAAATAAGCAACTCTTAACCACAAAAGATGTCGCTAAATTACCTGAAAACAATGAGTAACAATTTTGTTGTTTCATTAAAGTATCTTCTAAAAAGGTTGTAATTGTAATTGACCTTTTTCTTAAAAATATTATTGACCTTTCCTTAAAAATAATTAACTTTTTTCTTGCAATTAATCTTTCCTCCAAAAAAACTCACAAATATTAAATAATTATTAGAACTATTTAATATAACGTGCATACAATAGCTAAGATAATTCTAAAATTGATAATATATTTCAGAAACAGAAATAGTTTAATTATATTTAAAAGAAAGCAGAAGGATTGATTATTTAGGATAATGAAAATGTTTACATCTAATTGTAATAATTGAAATACATATTCAATGATTCATTAACGAGTGATTCAGTAACATATTTACTATCAATCAATTTAATTTAATTATGGCTATTTAGCAAAAGATACAACTTTCAATACAATATCGAAATTGTATAAATCTATCGATGATATGAGTGGTATTATCATATCTATTTATAATTTCATGAATGTTAGCAAAAAAATTAGTAATGATATTGCCTATCGTGATAATATTCTTCCGGGATGCCGATAGTTTAAAATGTGTGAAGAACTAACAGTAATAGTTGATGATTAAATCTTACCTAATATTTTGTATCACGAAAAATAACATCATTCGTTATGAATGTGCTCCGAGATGTCGATAATTTAAAATGTTTTTTATTTTATAAAAACAAATCTAACCTTGGCTAATTAAATTGCAAACAAGTAATTAGTATTAATTAAATAATTATTAATGAATGATAACGAGTATTGTTTTTCTGAGATAAGGAAGAATTATTTTTAAAATATTATCATAATTTGATTTGTAATTCAAATCCATAAAATTTAATTTTATCGATTATTCAACTTTATAATATATCGATAAAAATATTGATAAAATTGTATGGAAAAATTTTTGCTCTGTCTATTTATCAGATGTAATTAAATTTTTGGATAAGAAATAAATAGCTTCGATACATCAGCAATCTACCATATAATAATGATAGCAATTTCAATATTATTTCCTCTCTCTCTGGTAAATCATTGGTTTTAAATAAAGGCAATAGTAAAATAAAAATATTCTTTTAGCTCTTTAGTCTGCTTTTTCGGCCAATTTTAAATATATGACAACCTGAATGAATGATGATGGTCGTTGATGGAATAGAGAAATCAAGCAACAGGAAGTAAAGTTATAGGAATTTTTCATTCTGTTTAAGCTAGCTCTCTTATTTTAAGTTTAAGGAACGAGTGATAAATGGAGAAATTTATGGACAGATTGACAGAGGGTGGATAAAAGATGATGAAATATATATATTTGAAGGTATAGGTGGTAGTGGTTGAAAAGAATTTCAGATTTGGTTCCAATATTATTGAATGTATTATATGCATGATTGATCATAGCCTTAAAAAAGTGCTTTATGTAAAAAGATGCTAAATTTTTTCTTCCAATAGCATATTTCTTCATATTATATTTTTCCACGACTATCACTTCATTTATCATTCATTTTAATCAATTTTTAATCAACAAAATATTTACACCTTTTCATTTTGTTCCATTGTTTTAATAAGTTTTTTTAATTCGAAATGTTTGCTTATAATTTAAATTTAAGCAATTTCAAATAAGCAAAGAAAAATATTTGGAATGAATAATTTCTAATATTATTATGAATTTAATTGTAATTAATTATGCCATTGTTAAAAAATATTTATTATTTATTATATCATTGCAATAAATATTCCATCAAAAATCTTTTCTTTTATAATTTTTCGAAGTTTTTTTTCTTTTGAATTATTGACCAATCTATTATTGTTTTAAGCAATTTTTCAGTTAATTAGTATATTTAGTTAATTAATTAGTACATAATTATTGTTTGCTCTTTTTGTTTCAACTTTTTCAAGTTGATTTTCTAAAAAGTTAAAAAGAAAATTTATAAAAGAAGAAATTTCGATTGAAAATAAATTTGATATAATTAATTAATATGGCAATGTTTTTTTTTCGAAGGAACAACAACTTTCATTATTTCTAAACCACTTCTAAATGCTTGTTGTCGAGTTGTTATAAGGCGACAACAACGTCTAATGATCTTATTTGTTTACTATTTGCGACGACAATTACAACAACAACAATTGCTATTGATTACGCTTTTATTACAATTATCGCCTCTGCAACGTAATTTTGACGTATCAGCGCAGTGGATTACAGTCTCCGGTAAACTTTCCCACTATTAATATCATTTTTTTAAAAGAATTCTTCAAAAATATTCAAAATTTTCAATCATATTCAAAGGCGACAATTTATTTGTCGAAGTGTTTTTTTCCACTTCTGAGAGTAAAATAACTTTAGTGATTTTTCTCCTTCTTCCTTTGCTCTTCGTTGAAATCATTTTATATTTTTCGTCATCCAATGATAGAACAGATTTGCATTATAATTCGAATCATTGAATTATATCAGGTGAATTTACGTGTATGCCTATAGAATTTTCGATGCGTGTACCGGGTCGTTGTACTAATACCAATGATAATTCAAAAAATTCGCAACGACAACAGTTTGATTGTGGTAGTAACAAAATGCAACCACAGCAACAACGTTGTATTCCACTTCAACATTTCCATGATGGTATTGTGGATTGTCCCGATGGAAGTGATGAGTGTAAGTTTGATTGATGAGTTCCTAATTGTGATATTACAATCATTTTCAATGAGTTAATTTTGAATTTTGCTGATAACTAATAGTTAATTAAAACAAGTATTATTAAAATCTGATTCAATAGGTTATTTAATTGAGAAATTTAAGTGATATGACAAAAATTTATAGTTCTTTCAAAAATGATGAATATGAAACACAAAAGAAATATAATTAATCATGTGAATAATTTTGGTTAAATTAGTGAATTTTCTCTACAGGTCAAAAAATTCGTGCATAATTCAATTCAATTTAATTTGAAATCAATTTTTTGTTTTTCAGTTTGCTTTCCCGGTTATGTGAAATGTGGCTCGTATTGCGTGTCACTACAATATGCAGCTCAGTGTTTTATTAATCCTCGTATGTTTATTTATTTTAATTTCAAAATTTGTACATTTCTAATCAATAATTCTATCCCCATTTCAGGATGTGATAATTCGCCAACATCACCACAATTTTGCGATGTCACCAGTAAGTATCAATAATTTGAAGTTGAACAAAAAAAAAATGAAATGTCAAAAATCTGTTTGAAAGTTGAACTTGAAACTATTCAGTTATTAAATCCGGAAAATTTTGTTAGTTTTATTAGTCTTAAATCAAATAATAATATATAAATGAATATTGTTTGAAATTGACGTAATATCTCAATCAAAATGCAATTTCATTGCAATGACACTACCGTATGGAGTATTGTCATCTGTCTTATTGAATTGAATTAATTTCATTCGAATTCCGTTTGTAAAGATATAGATCCGTGTAACATAGCAAGCTGTGAATGCGTAATCGGAATTTATTACTAACAGATTTGATTAAGGGTTACAATATGATTTAGTAATCAAACGATCATTTATGCCTATTGATCATTCATGGATGTGTCACATTTTAACTAACGAATAAATGTTGAAAATTTTCTCTTTCAGAGAAAAAATTATGTTCAATTGAGGGAACAGTGCCTTGCAAAGGTTATGGTGAATGTGTCATGAGAAAATGGATCGAAAAGGGCCAAACGAATTGCATCGATAAATCTGATCAAGGTCTTTTTCTAAAATTTATTATGCTGAATTTATATTTAAAAACAAATTCATATAAGTCTAATACATACATTCTCGATCAATTTGAGAGCAATGATCACGTAGTGATGATATTTTTTTTTAAAAAACTATCTTGGATTATTATCTACCTAAACAGTTATTGCAGTGATATTTAATTTTCAGATCATGTTTACATTGCTGTATTTGGTATTAGACGTCGCACTAATCTATATCCAAATTTGCAATTTGGTGGCAATACATCTGATGTCTTTCGAGGTATGACTAGCACTCAGCGACTTAATTCATCTTGGTTGCAATCAGTTTCTCTTTCACCATCAAATCCTGGTTGGAGAAATGATACCGATCGTGATTTTACCTTGGAGATCACAAAGGAATGGAATAATACAACCATTCAATCAACAACCAAGCAATTCGTATTTCAAATACCGAATAGTAACATGATTGATCTAGATTTAAAATCTTCGAATTTTAATACTACTACGATATATAGTTTCACCAGCAAAGCAGAAAATTTCAATGATTCTATTCATGTAAATCATCAGGTACAGCAAAATTCTCAAAATATGATTCCGACGAATAGACAAGAGCATTTTTCTAACACTTATCAGAATTTTACCATGCCAGTTGAGGCTAATCAAGTAGGACATGATTCAAGTGATAACTCAAATGGAATTACTACTACTACATACCAACTTCATTTGACCACTGTAAAATCGAGTATAACTGATTTTTTTACTGCTAATTCTGCTGTTGAAATGCTGCAATCATCACTCACTTATCGTCGCGGTGAAAATCCAACGCAACAAATTTTCGAAAAATTAGAAAGTTCAATAAAGGCATCAATAAACCCAGCCGAAATGGCTAAATCATCCGATGCTATCCCAGCTGATAACAATAGCAACGGAACGGAGTATAATGATATTTTAAAGCAAAATACACTCATTGCACCAAATGGAATTTCGTTATCATCATCTAACCAACAACAGAATCAGAATGAAATCTTTAATCTTTCTCCAAATAAGATTTCGAACAGTACCAAAAATACAGCAGTAATATCAAAGGAACTACAATCACCATCACTTACACCAAATCAACATTTGGAGGAAAGTAATATTAGTACCACACCCAGCCCATCACCGAATCAAATAGCATGCGCTCGTTACGAGTACGCAGAAGCACAACGTTTAGTACCGAAGCCCACATGCACTTGTCCACCAGGACAAATGCCTAGTGGTGAGAATGCCACATGTAAAAGTATGTTATTAGCATACAGTTTTTTAAATTCAATTTTAACATTTTTGAAATTTTATGAATTTGAAAATTTATTGTTTCGAAATTCAATAAAAACTTCAAATTCTGATTTACCAATACTGTATTCGGGGTAGTCGATATAAGCTATGCTAGCTCTTAAATAAAGCTATGGAGAGCTTCGTTACGAGCTTAACACGTATTGCGATAGTGAAAAATAAGAAACATGTCGGAATTTTTCAGCAACCATAGTATCAACATTTGGCATTGATGTGAATCACATATGTGGTGGCATGGAAACGGATCCGGAAGAGCGATCTCGACTTGCCATTTTAGTGGTTGGTTTAATTTTTTGCTCGTTCTCTAAATATTTTTTCAACCTTATGTTACTAATGATTTGATAAGAGTTAAAGTTTCCTTTTTGTAGATACAAACACAAGCAGCAGAAAGAGGAAGAGAGAGAAGGAGAGGGAAAGAGAAAGGGGATGTGAATACACTTAACAACTATTTTCAGTTGAATCGAACCCGGTTACCTTATCAGGCTTGTGTTCGGCGTGATGGTTATCCAGTTATGGTACAGCTTAATTGCTCCCAGTGTACTACTACGGAATTTGACGAAGCTTTCAAACGAAATTCTAATGATCAATATATACCTCTACGAATAATGGGTAAATTTCTGATTGCCGATTACACAGGTATTAAATGAGTAAATAGCTCAATAGACATTATAGTTAATAGTAATTAGCCTCCTACAGCAATCTTCCTATAACATCTAAATCTTGATTCTTGTTAATATTACTTTAAATTTCACTTACTCAATCTTCTAGGTTTCATTGTAAATTTATTATAATTACATAGAATAATCACACAACTATCCAAGGTAATTCTTTTCTAGTCGGTTTCATTTGTTCATAATGAAATTTACACCTTCAGGATGACAAATTCCTGAATGATTGGTATCACTGTGGTTGTGGAAATGATGGAAGTATTCTAGATCATGCTGCAATGCCATATGACATTTGCAGAGCTTTCTCTTGGCGCTTGCTTGACATCAGCGCTAAATGATTGTGATCCAGAACATGCTGATTGTTTGGTTAATGGTCCTCGATATGAATGTCGATGTCACGAGGGCTGGAATGATACCTCAGAAGAAATAGGACAAGCAGAAGGAAGACGATGTGAACAGTTGATCTCACTTGCCAATGGGTAAAATTCTATTTCCTTTCTTCTCTTTTTTTTCTTCCCTATTATTTTTTTTAAATCAATATTTTATTAGGTTAATTTAAAATTGATTATCTTGTTTATTGATTATTTATCGATTAATTAATTTTCTTAAATTATTGATTGCAGATGTATTCTATTTCTTGGCTACTGTTTGTTTTGGTGGTTTCTTTTATTTGGTATCATCCTCTTTTTGGTACTATTATTGCTATGTTTCCTTTACTACATTATATATGAATGGTGCAAGAAGCGAAGACAACGAAATGTTGTAGTAGAAGAACAGGTACTAAATTGTTTTCTCTCTTTTCACACAACTATTCATTCACTTTTAATAATTTTTCCATTTTTTATAGGGCCATTTGGTTACATCGAAAATTGGTTCAGTCACAAATAGCTTTTCTAAGGTGGCTACGACCGAATCAATCAATATGACTAATAATCCTAACTCCATTGGCTTAAATAACATCTCGGATGATGAAAAAGCAGTATCAACTGTTGATACCAAATGTATTGCCAACTCTAATCCAAGCAACAATCAAAATGTTTCCAAGGCAACGAAGAAAGTTCTCGTCAGCCAAGAAAGTGTGGAATCGTTAGATGAGTGGCAGACAAATGATGAAATCAACAAAGATGAAAAACAATCACCAAAAAAGCAATTAGAAGTTTCCAAACAAACCTCTGGTGGTCTGAAATGTTAGCTACTCACCGATAATTTCTGATGTCTAAGCTTTTACAGACAGACATAATTTTAAGTTTTGGTGGCTAAGACTTAGTATGAAAGATAGCTGGTTAAATATGAGGGAGAGAGGCAGAAATTAATATCTATGCGAGATTAATATCTGTAACATGAAAAGTTTATAATAATCATCCATTTATTTTCAAGATAATTTAATTCACTTCACAGCATATTGTGGATAATCGGAAAAAAAATTCGATCCCTGGTTTTCAAAATTCGATCCCTGGTTTTCAGGATATTAACAAATGAATATTTTTCAATACCTGGCTGCCATATCAAATTTTTTTAAGAAAAAATTGAGAAAGATTCTGATAAACGAATTTTTTTAATTGACAGATTTCCCGTATTCCTCCGAAATCTTCCAGCATAAAAATTCTAGTTTAATATCATTCTGTTTTACAGCTGAAAGAAAAGAAACACTGGCCAATAAAATCATTAACGCTGATTCACTCGTATCCTCACATAAGAGACTGAAGAGAACTACATCAGAATCATATACAACATCTAACGAAGTGTCATTGGAATCTCAGAAGAGTACAAATATGATGACACATGTTATATCACAGAAAGGCACCGAAGTGTTGCCAAGTGGTGGGAATGTGATAAAAAAATTAGAGAAAGCCGAGTCCACGAATTCTAATGTAATGGTAAAGCACAATTGAGTGGAGAATTTTCGATTTAATAATTTTGTACGAAATGTATTGGTAGTTGTGAAAATTAACTATTTTCGCTAGCTCATAAATTACCTGCGGCATTTGAGATATTTCGAAAAAGGTAAAATGTACAATTATTCCTTTTTTTCTTTTACAGTAAAAGTAAAATTGCAGAACGTCAGTCAGTCATTATCGGAAACATCACTACGTACAATGTGGGAATTATTTAAGCAGGGCATGTGGAAACAATCGTCCAGGCCTAGTTGTTAGTTCGTTTACTTGGCACAAAAAACCTGGATAGAGAAACAAATCTTTTTAACAGTTTAAGTTTATCCATAATCCCTTTGTTATCATCCAATCTCAATATAAACATAAACTATTACAAGGCTAAAAATGTTTAAAAATATATCTTACACCTCTAATAGAAAATATATTGATTTATTGTCTTCCTTTAGATTTAATATTTAAATAAAACTTTGATTAAATTCAAATGTTATTGTTCTAATATAGAAAAGAACTGAAATTTATTTCAATTATCTCGGTCAAATTTATTTCTTTCTTTAAAAAGTGAAAAAAGAACATAATTCCCAAAAAAGCACAACTATAATATAATCTGATCAGATTTATTTCTTTCTGAAAAAAATTTTTTTGTTCATTTCCTTTGGAGCTATCAAATCTTCAACACCGTCTCTGGACCGTCTTATCGATGTATTCTTGTGCCGAAAGAGAAGTAAGAAAATTCATCCTGATGCTATCACAACATCCAACAGCATCGAGTATCCATTGGATACTGTTAAGACAGTGGATCATGGGATCGATATCACTTCTCAGTTATCAGATACTATTTTCACAACGGTTACAACGTGCTGCGGTACCATTGCAGCTACAGCAACAACAACAACAACAACAGCTAATAGTAATATTCCTAAATTGCTGCATCCAGAACATGCCGTTAGTTCCTCTAATGATGTAGTCAATACTAACGTACCAATGCAAACGCATGTATTGGAGCAAAAGATTATAACTGACACAAAAACATCAACCGGCACGAGTACCATGTCATTGCTACCGGGAGAGCTACCGCTGCCATTAAATGTTGCAGCAGCACAATCGCCTAATTCTAGCATTGCTGTTGCTATATTTGACCGATCAAAACACATTCAAGCCAACCAACCAACGTCGGGTGTAGCATTAACTGCCGCAAATGAGATACTTCAACAAAACAATTCAACCAATGTTACAACTGCCGTTGAGATGCAACATTCTGCAGTAGAGAAAAATGCAGCTTTTGATCAGAAACCATCAACAATCGCACAAATTGAAAATGAAGCAAAAGGTTTTTCAAATGTTTAAGTTTTTCAAACCAAATATTTATTTGGTTTCTGTAAATACCGCATCCTTATTTTAGTCTTAGTTCGGTCGTTATATTTCAGATCCAATGAATAGCAAACTGTCTACTACTACAATTGCCACTAGTTCAGATATACAGTTAGAACGATGGATCAGCACAGCAGAACCCTGCTCTAGCGTACTTTGTAAAAGACAATTTGAGCATGGCAGACGACTGAATAATGATGCAGAACAAAAAACGCCATCGACAGCCGATGAATTAAGGGATGCATTAAAAGAGGTTGGAAAAATAATAAATTTCAACGTTTGCTCCTTTTTTTTCCTTATTTTTTAGAGAAAAATTACAACAACTGAAGTTTGACTCAGAGGATATTGTGAACAATTCCTTGTCATAAAATTCGCTGAAAATGTCAGAAGGTATTGTAGATAGCTTCAACGAAACCACCAACAAAACGACTCACTGAAAACCAAAAAAAGAAATTAAGTGTATCATGTGGACATTTGCATATTCAAGGTGATAATGAAATCGGCGGGAAAGGTAAATAATGGTCAAGAAGGAATTAACTCCATTGCAGTAGTTACTATGAATTTATCGCAGGATGAAATCAAGTAAACAAATGAGTTATTGTAGGAGGTGGTTTTATTTGTCAGTCACTGGCTACTGCTAGACAACAGTCTCGACGAAAACTTTCTAGTATAGCGGAAAAAAGCATCGAAATGATGAATGGTGGAAGCCAATTGATACCATCGCCAAGTAGTATCAGTTGTCCAACAACTACTCGTAGAAACAAAGGTTTAATTCTCATACGGTTATGATGATTATGGTCCTATGATCATCGGAAACTTTAATGAGAGTCTGGTGAACTTTTTTAACACGATTTATATTTATAGCCAGTGAATTTGGAGCTTCAATTTTTCCATTCCTAAGGGATAGATAATGCTATGGTATAGATAATTTTCCTTTACAGATTATAGACAACTACCGTATACATTGTAAAAATGTTATGATAGTGCTTACGGAATATGGAATTGTTTTTTTCATAGGTCTAATGACATTCTGAACAAAGAGCCAACTAATCGTAATGATCGCGGAAAAACCGTAATTACTGACTACTACAGCCGAAATCCTGGCAGTAAAAGCCCTCATTTCACGGATCAATGAAGAAATATCCAGTGAATGAGCTTATTTATAGGATTTATACCGACGTTTGAAAGAAATTTCAATCCAATGAATGATGGTAACAGTAAACTGGAGCATAACCGAACCAATACTAAGGTGAGGCTCAGAAAGGATAGCGATACAAGCAGTTGGCATCAACGTCCGATTTATAATGTTGACTCACGACCATCGTGGGATTTTTCACCATTGAAAGATGGTTAGTATTTTTGATGAACAAGCGATCAGAGAGGTACGGAAGGAATGCTGTAATTTTCAAGAGATAACAATACTTATTTAATTATATTTGCTGATAATAGCCGGTGATGCATAACTCACGAAGATTAAACTCAATTGATAGTTGATTTTGAAATCATAGAAAATTAATCGATTGATAATTTTTATATATTTTCAATCTTTATTCATCATCATCCATATGACAAATATCTGCTCAAAGTTGAGTGTTTACTTTCCTCTCACAAAATTAATCATATTGTTTCAGGTGATCTGGATCGCATTGCGCCACTCAAACCTGGTTTTTTACATTGTTATCAGCGGCGGAAATGGCTTTCACCATTGCCTCTTGATGACGAACGTGTTACAGCCTTACGATTAAACAGAGGAAATATGAGTGGACGAAGACAAAGTGACTGGAGATTGCATGACGTTCCCCATGCACCTATAGCGCCTACATCACATTCAGCACGATTAAATACTCATTTATCATCTGCCAAAATGTTACGGAATAGCAGTGGCATAAAGTGGACGCCATATAGTTCTGAAGATCACAGCAAACCGGCAAAAGAACAGTTGTGGTGGGGTGCGCATTAAAAAATTTGCAAAAAATTTCCATTATCAAAGAACTATGCATAAGTTTCACAATACTGCGTATAAAATACTGGTCTTTCATCGTTAATTTTGGATGCTACATCCAGTAATGACCCGTCGGGCAAATATATGAAGCTTTCTGCTTTTTGCAATTGCAGAAACTGCGGGATGTCTACTGCCAGTAACTGTTACGCTTATAACTACCGCAATTACAAAAAGATGTATCCGGAAAATTGGGGTAAAATCATTCAGAAATCAAATCATTTTTCAAAACATATGTGTCAGAATATGACTGAAGCATCACTTTTTTCCTACTAATTGTCTTTCATCTCAATTTAATTAGTGCTTTCATGTCAGGGAAAATTTCCCCTTGATTTATATCTCTGCAGTGATATATTTGTCAAGAATTGTTAGTTTAAATGCGCTGAATTATATTTGTATTAATAAAATGATAATAATGTTCATGACAAAAATAATCCATCTTTTGAAATTTTCAGTTCCAATCCATGTTTAGGACGATGGACAGTATTGGATTGATATTATCGAAGTAAAATACTCCAGGCATATTATCGCACATAATTTCGCTTGTAGTTACTATGCGGAACGGACGTACGTTAATCAACAACGGAGCTTTCCTATTTTAACAAGCTTTTGGCTTTTTGACAATTAGTGATAAAGATGTTCGGTTTTATCAAGTTAATCTTAAAACTGGAAATAAATTTTTTGTAAAGTCTTCCTGAGCTTATTGTTTTCTACTACAAATAAGTTTTAATGCAAAATAAATTAGTACGGCAAAAGATTCTTGGAAACTCACAACAACTCAGAGACCTCATTGTATGTTAATTGTCTTAAACAGATTTAATAATTAACCAAGCATTCCCGGGAAGTGACAAATACGACTACCAAATGTGAGCATTTTCCAGTCGACTCTTGCACAGACGTGTCCTGCATGCAGAAGATCATGTCTTTTACTGAAACATATATTATAGTTAGTAGTTCGACGACAAGTTCACAAAGATCATCTATTGTTTAAAGACTGTTTTTTCGAAATATAATACTGAAACGTTCCGGGGAATGAAAACATATTACGGAAATATTATAAAAGGCTTTCCTTAATTAATACTATATATCTTATATTGTTTGCTAATTTCGTATTTTCTTACATATTTATCATAATATGCTGTTTCGGAGAGTTTTACATGTACATATACACCTTTTCGCACATATATCTTCCAATGCCTCCTTCCTGTATCCCTACCCCTTCGAGATCCTATGTCACACTGCTTTTAAATACGTGTTTCGGAGCTGTTCTATTTCTCGGTGTTCTTTATAAGTTATTTGCGCTGTTAATATTGTTTGTTATATATGTCTGCACGTACGCGTACGTAGGTGTAATATATGGTCATGAAGTACAGAACATGTCCAACATAATTTAAATCTGTCCGTGTGACACGTAGCACACGAACCAACCTATATTTGTGTATATCTGGTAGTATAGATACTGAAAAGCTGAATTTAAAAAGTTATGGTTTGTTAAAAGAATATTATTGTATGCGGCCGATTCATTCAACGATGTGTTCTATAACTAAAATACATAGTTGATTTTTTTCAGGTTTAGTATCTTTAAGAAGTTTTTTATTCTAGTGAGCTGTATAACGTTGTGGAATATCATGTATCTATTATCCCATTATTTGTTCATTCCATTCCTTGCTTATTACTTATTACTGCGAGTGAAGAACGCTAGTGGCCAGCAACAACGACTACAGCTAAGTGATACATCAGTTGATGAATGGCGTGGATATTTCAGAAAAGAACATTCTTTGGCTAAACCATATCAGGGTTATTAGTTATTCTTATTTATTTGTTTGCTATACCAGCGGCGTTTTCGTGCGAAACTTTTCTCAGTTGAGAAAATGCCGTCAAAGATGATACTTGATTTTTTTCTTATTTTTTTTGGACAGGAAAGGGGAAGAAATCGAATCCATTTGACGACAAGTTTGTTTATTCTGTCCAATGCATTGTATATTCTTATAGTGACAATTTTTATGGGCATTATTTGATGACGTAGGCTCAGGAAATCAGCAGGTTTTCATCAATTGGGAATAACCTTTTTAAAAAATTTCCATGGTTCTTTTGAAGGCAGAGATTTTTACAGTATGATGAAAGTAATCACGAACTTGTTACTTTAATTATATATTTAAAGGTAATGGAATGGGTATTCCATATTGGGATATACAAGGCACAACCATCGTTACTGCACAGCATGTTCGTTTAACGTCGGATACGCAAAGCGTTCAAGGCGGCATTTGGAATAATGTGGTAAGTCGATTTGTATATCTTTCCTTAAGATGTATTATTTTCCATTATGAATATACATGAATACTTTGTGACCACATGTTAAGCTTGTTAAATGTTGTATGAATAAATCGAAGTTCTAAAAATCACCATATTTCGTGACCACATGTTAAGCTCGTTAAATGTTGTATGAATATTTTTTTTTTTGGTGATTTGTAAAGGAGGACGGTAGGTTTTTACTTGAAAAAAGCATTGGTCAACTCTTCAACCAATTTATCATTAATTTATAGCCGGTGAGTGCTCGAGATTGGGAGCTACATGTGAATTTTGCAATCCATGGTTCCACTGGTGATTTGTTTGGTGATGGAGCAGCTATATGGTATGTGCAAGATCCTGGCCAAGCAGGACCTGTATTTGGATCGAAAAATTATTTCCGTGGTTTAGGAATTTTTCTGGATACTTACAGTAATCATAATGGACCACATGGGGTAAATTTTATTAGAATTTGTATTGCAGTTGTTTATTTCTTATGAAATCAGTCACTGATATTTGTAGATATAAGATATTAAGGGGAAACTTTCCAGCATGGTCATCCGTATATCTCAGCAATGGTCAACAACGGTTCGCTGAATTATGACCATGACATGGATGGCACGCATACACAGCTGGGTGGTGAACATACAGGTTGTGAAGCGAAATTTCGGAACAGACAATATCAGACGCAATTATTGATCCGATACGTTGGCGATGTACTATCGGTTCGTTTATTTTTCTGTTTTTAAAAATCACTTTAATGCATTATGAGATAGAGAATACAGCACATTACAATGCTGAAAAAAGTAATGGCAATAAACCGATATATGAATTAAATATATAACTATTAGGTGTTTTCGACTAATAAGTTGCTAGCACGAGGCACATCTTAGTTTTACGGATGAATTAGGAATGGAGAAATATGAAATAAAATGTAAAAAAGTTAAAGGTAGTGGAAAATGAGCATGCTGAAGCATTTTCGATTGCTTTACATTTTATATTGCAGATCTATACTGATGTTTTGGGCACTGGAAAATGGAAAGAGTGCATGATTGTTGATGGCGTCCAGTTACCTACGGGATATTACTTCGGTATCACAGCTGCTACAGGCGATTTATCCGGTATATACATTTTAAGCTTTATTTTATACCCTATAAGGAAATTTACGACTTAAACTTTATAATTGATGCCACTACTTAATTAATTTGATTTTTTCAGATTATCATGATGTCATATCGGTGCGAATGTTCGAACAAGAGTTTGTACATGTGCAGGATGATACTGGTATTACCGTGGATCCTCGGCAGCGCGAACCTTATGCACAAAATGTTGCAGCACCACGTGACCATATAGACCAACCACCGGCATCAAAATTAGGATGGATTGGTACTACAGTATTAGTAATATTAGGTGGTGCCTTGTGTGTGTTGGTTTTATGGTTTGGTGTTATTTTTGTCAATCATCGGCAGCAAATGTCGAAGAAACGATTCTATTGATACATGTTTGAGGCATTTCATTGTTTTTCTTTTTCTAATGTTTATGAAAAGAATATCGGTGAGGTGTGTTAAATTTTCCAGTGATTTGATATCTAGCAGTGGAAATTATAAATTGTGTTTTTTATTGAATGATGAGTCATTTTAGTTTTATTAGATGTTTAAGTTCTCGTGTTTTTTACAGATTATTTTTTACATATTATAATAGTGATTTATAGGGTGTGATACATTTTTGGATGCTGCGTACAATTTGTCAAACTTTTTTCATAAAGTTTCAATATTACTTTTTTATAAAGTATGATATGTGGAATAATTTTCCGGGTGCCTTGTAAGTAGGTTCAAAACTGATATTCTGGTACATAGATCAAATATGTCAATTAAATAGATTCGGTATGGGAAGAAGTTTGAAGAGATCTTTTGGACCTATTAATATACTAATTTCACTCATCTGATAAATAAATTACTTGACAGGAGTTTAAATAGATGCTTTATTTGCTTTTGTTTATCAGATAAGCGAAATTGTAATCAATTCTCAAACGATCAAGAAATTTGCCATGAAATGTTTATTTTATGTGATAATTATTGGGGATTAATTTTTGGCTTTGAAAAGCTAAACATTATCTTAGAGAAATATTGTTATAGCATTTTTAATTGAGTGCGCGTACTCAGAAATGCTCATATGCTTATTTTTTGGTTAAGATTGTTGTTATTTAAACAAAAGTACTTACTTGTTACCATTTTATGTCAAAACATTTTTATGCTTCAACCGTTATTATATAGCCAATAGTAATGAACTTTGACATTGTAAATGAATATGTGTTATGCAATATTATACATTTCTTTGGCAAATACTGCAGGAATCACGTAGCATTATGCGAGTATACAGTGCAAAAATTGATCGGTTTTTATGTTTAAAAATTTTCTTCTGCTTATGCTGGTTGAATCTGGTGACTTCTAATAGTTTTTTTTGATGTAGTATTTGTTGTGGCTTTTCCGAAACAAAAGGACTTATGACTATTCCGGAAATTGCCATTTGTATAGGTCACACGTCTTCACATCTTTGATAATATATTTCACCGATTTATTCATGTGTGGTAATACCATTCATCACTACCTCATTGAAGAATCAATGTTCATATTTCCATCAACATCCCTGAACCCAGAGCTTCCTGCAAAAGTTGTACGTTTAGGAAGCTGCATTACCAATTGTTTTATTGGCCATCTCCGTTTGCGAATAACTTTGCTTGCTTATCCACTTATTTATTTATTTTCTTAAAATGAACTAAATGTGAGCAAATAAATTCTTTGGCCTTTACCTTGCATAATCTATGTTACATGTCATCTGTTTTTTTCATTTTACGATGATGCTGGAATGAAAAATATATGAATAAGCTTGCAAACATCTGTGACACAGTCAGAAAGTGTCGGAGGCGTGAAATATAGTTTTGGACTTCTTATCTTTTTTTACGTATCTAGATATAGGGGGGGGAGGTTCCTTATCAGTGAAGCATCATTTGTACTTCTTAACATCACCACTTGTCTTCTTCCGAGACCTTATTTGACTTTTTCTGTATTTCTTCAGTCCATATACTTTTCCATTATTTAATAACTTTGGCGAAAAATTTATCCTTTCGGTTTCATCTGAAGTGTATAAGTAAGATATGCTACTATTTCACGATTTCCGATCATTTCTCCACTATCTGTCTCTCTTGTTCATCTATTACCATGGAATACTAAGATCACAAGCAGTGCCTATTGCTGGTGCATTGGTTCCATCACGTGTACAAAATTTTCGAGCTCGATACGATCATTCAACGGATTCAATTTATATTCAATGGTCATATCCAGAAGAGGTACAAAGCAAAGGTTAGATTAATCATAACTCGTCCAATTATCCTATATCAAATAGAATTCAGTCGCAAAAGGAAATTTTGAAATCATTGTTGATCGACTTTCGCAAAATATGCAACTGCTATTCCTCTGTAAATTTAGATGGTTAGAATATTGACACTGTTCAATTATTTTTTTCACTTCGTTTCGTTGACTGTAATTGGATATTGATGGATTTTACTGTGTTGTGCTAGCACGTCTTTTAAGAATGGTTAAACGTAACACTGTTACATCAAATAAACAATAATCTTCACCGTTTACTTCAAGATTTTGGATATTATATGTGTATCTGTCGTATTTTGAAATATTCAATCTCCCTATTTTTCCTTGACGTTATATTTTTCGTGGTTAGATTTAATATAATTTATTTCAATATTATTATATTAATAGTAGCAATATAATACTGCATGTTCTAGACGATATTTTCAGTACAACCGGAATTTGTGGTTCGTTACCGAATTACCAATCGTCCTGATGGTTTCTCCGAATTTGATTGGAAGTACTCACAAGTCGGAACCAAATTAGAAGCAAGGTTGGATTTAGATGAAGTACGAAATGGTGATGAGCTCCAGGCACAGGTAAAGCTTGCCGATACTATAAATAAAGAATATGAGTGAAACACAATATAGATTGTGAGAGAATGGTTAGATCTGCTATTTTATATATAGATGTAAATAACACTTTATTTATTTTTCAGCACTTTACTATCACGTAAATAACATTTATCATAAGAGATGAGAGAACTCTGGGTAAGCAAAGAAATAGATCACAGAATAATGATAAATAGAATCATAAGATAGTTTGTTCATGTCATCGCAGACAAAAAAGTGTTAATTACATCCAAAATATAAAATAACAGGTCGTTAAATCGGCAAATATCATAAAGATTACAGGTTCGTGCCGAGCGCCCTGACGGAATAATCTTAGAAGATTGGTCACAATCTTTGCTGATCTCGATAACCAAACGTGTTCTCATTGATGGTGTTTCGACAGCTGATGATGATCTGTTGCCACCGCTTAATTTTCAAGCTCATATATTAAGCGCATCAAAGGTACGCCTGGAATGGACTCCACCTTCCAAAGCTTCATCAAGTGGTCAGTATTTCAAGGTTTGATAAAGATAGATTCGAGAATAGAATACAATTAGACGCAATAAAGTGTATAAATTTGGGATGAATGTGAAGTTAATTACCGACTCTTCATAATCAATTGGTCTATTCGAAAATAATCCAAAAAATTATTGACGATTGAATTTACGGAATTAAAATAAAGATTTCTCTCTTCAATTCCAGCAAGTCATTATTACGTCGTGAATGTGAAGCAGTTGACATCCGCGGATAGAACGCCACTGCTTCGACAACAGGTTTCTATTTCTAATTATGATAACAAAGTCCGATTTTTAATGCGTTAAATAGTAGAATAGTTTGGCTTTATTCTTTTCCAGAATACTTCTTTCCGATACTTTCAAGATAGTACACGGTTATGTTTAGAGTGTTGTCATTCTACTGATAATTGGATAATTTTTGAAATAAAATCCTTAATGAAAGGCAATAAAATACACTGAAATATTTGGTAGGAAAGAAAGCAAATCATTCTATTATTTAAAAAAAATAAGTAATGAAGCAATTTTCTCGCAAAATATTAAATTAATTCATCTTAGTGGCATCTAATTTAATGCTGAATGTCATTTAGCACACTGCAAAATAAATGCAGTTGTAATTAATAAGCCAAAAAATTGAAGTGTGGTTCAAAGATTTGCAAACTGCAACTTAAAAAACTAAATTCATTGTTTTTTAGAAATGATTTTTCTTACCTCTACTATATTATATTTTACATTTAGGTCATTATAAAATGATTTACCCATTTTATTTACTAAATTCATTGTTTTTTTTTCTGTTTCTAACTTTCAAATAATTGAATTATCTGAAAAAATTGAAAAAATTACTATTAAAAATTGCGTTACATCGCAAATTTATATTTGTTTCAAAGGCTGAAATGAAAACATGACATTGCAAATAGTGTTCGAAAAATTCGAAAACAATATTTTTCCGGTTTGAAAACAACTTTCTTCTCCAGCAGTACATTTCATTACTTGTCATTTTTTCTTATTATAAGAACTCAAGAAATAGTTTTAATTATTTTAGAAACTTTAGAAACAAATTATTACGAAATACAAATTATAAATCAGTTAGGAATAGAAATGTCGAATAAATAGAGTTAAAAATTGGAGATAACCTACTCTGAAATGTTTTCAAAAATAATCGAAAAGATTTGTCAGTAAATAAAAATTTGTGCACTAAAATCAACAATGAGTGATAGGATGGTACGTCCAGCCAAAATCAGACTTGTTATTCATAAGGACCATAATTTTATGGAGCTTGCAATTTTTAACAGATGGGAAAACTAAATTGCGTTTGAAAAAATTTTAAAACATAAAGGAGTTGAGAAGGGAATGATGACTTGAAAGAAAGGCTAGATGAACTGCGAAATAAGAAAATAAAAAATTTAATACACAATAAGCTCAGGTGGCCAAATTTAAAGAAAAGAATAGGAAGTCATGGGAAATTGAGATTGTCCAAAGGGTAAAAATTTTCGACGAAGAATTAAATATTCTAAAATGAAATTATTCTCTCAAAATATGAAAATACCCCGGAAGTATAAATCCCGCAAACTTATTCTATCATATTTACGGGATATTCATTGTCAAAACTTAGCTAATCATCAATTTTTTGCACTTCAAACTTTTTTAATCAAATTCAACATAATTATTAGTTATCCATAAGAATTTTTTGATTTGTAACTTTCATTTATACTCATATTATATATAAGATTTGATTCTATGCAATTTAAATAATGCTGAATTCATTTCAACAGTGGTTTTCATAATAATTTCTATTAGTAAAATGTGATGTTAAATAAATCTGCAAGTTTTCATATGTAAAAATAAATCGAAAGTTATAGGTACATAAAAATAAGAAATTAAATGTGAAATATCTTTTTTCGCAAGTGCTTCGCTGAGTAGCTACGCGGTGAACGTGGTTTTTTTGAAACAAGATTACAGTAAGTGATTGTGGCTTGCTTTTCACGTACCAGGATGCTTTTGCAGGTTAAAGTTCAATCGAATAGTTTCACTTTGGATAATTTGAAACCGGGTCAGCGATATGAATTGACAATACGGACTGCTTCAAGTCCAGAACGTGTTTCCACCGTGGCAGCTATTGTGGAAATCACAATGCCAAGAGGTAATTGCTTCAATACTTTATCATTTGTTGGTTACTTCACATCTTTTTGCTTGACCTACTTACCAATCTTTTTGATCACAAATTCAAATATTCATTTAGAAAATGAATATTTCGAAGTGGGCAATTTGATCATTAGTTCACATTTCAAAGAATCAGGTCATGGTACCGTTAATTTGACTTGGGAAGTGCCGGAAAAAATGCAGAATCTAATTCAATGTAAGCTCATTTCTTTTTCAATTGAATGATTCCTATCATAGATCATTATCATTTCCTATAGATCATTTCTCTCACCTTAACACTCATTTCTCCTTAACACTTTGTTTGTTCACAGCCTATGATCTCGAATACTCAGAAGCTGGTACAGAGGACTGGCACCAGTTGCAGTTCAACAGTTCACATCCATTTGTGAGCTTAACCACTTTGAAAAGGTCTTTTACATTATTATTATACGAAATGTAGTGTAATGTTGTGCTTGAGATCACATCAAACGCTTCACAAAAATAGAAAATTGTGAAAATGACCATTTCATAAAGTTGCATTCCTTAACACAAATACATGCCTGATAATTATCATTCACTTCTCTCACTTGAATTTCTAATAATACCGATCTAGTAACACTCGTTATTCATTTGACATATGATATGACATAGGTTTCCTTTTTTGCTCAAAGCTTCTGGAACGCTCGCATACATGTATTCAAATGATGAAATATTGAGATGACAATTTACCGTTCTTTCTTAACTATGAAAATAATCTTACGATAATTATAGTGATACAGAGTATCTATTGAAAATTCAAACACATCTCGCTAATAATCTAACAACTGAAAGTGGGCAGTTCAGATTTCGGACACCATCCGGTAAGTTTATTTTCTTTATTCTAGTCCCTACATTTTTTATCAAATAAATAGATTTAAAAACTACTTGAATTTGAAGAACAATTTCTTCAATTCAAATGTTGATTGAGAAGAATTTTTATTGTAGTTTAAGGACTGAGGAAGCAAAAGCTTCATGATAGTTAAAGAGTATATCATTTTCTCGTTCATGTTTTGTCCATGTAAACAACAAGTGACATATTGCAGTTGTAAAGAATCCAATCAAAAAAGTGGATGTCATTTATGCGCATGAAATTGATGGTATACGATTGCAGTGGACATTGGAAAAGTAGGTAATTCTGTTTGTAAGTAGTCTCTTACATAAATTCTCACAGTTATATCGACTTATTGTTGATGTTTTTTTTTTTTATTGTCGATGGTATTGTCTTATGATATGGGCAGTTTTGTAAATCAGAAATGATTGTTTAATCTCATTAAACATAATCCGTTTAGAGTGTTGAGAACCTTTTCATATATTTGTGTATGTGTTTTTTTTAAAAACTGTCTCTTTCTCTTGTTCCAGTTTTTTATCCGCAAGTCTTATTGATGGATATAATGTTTACGTATCCGATAATCCAGATCTTCCGGATGCTGAGTGGTCGTATTATCCGGTAAGTGGGTCTGAGTTCCCAAATAATGCCTTTGGGAGTGGGACTAATTCACTCGTACTTCGTGATTTACTACCCAGTCATACATATTATGTACGGATAAACGTTCGAAAGAAGGATGGTGAAGTATTGCGCGCACCAAGCATTTACCGATTCAAAACGATGGGTAAGTTTAAATACACATGAAGTAATGGTAATTCAAGAAATTTTTAGAATATTATTGTAGGAAAGAATTCAGAATACCATTACAAGAGAGGGAGAAAAAATTATGAAAGCTCGGTCAGAAAATGTAATACGGGTAAGAATTGAGCAGTTAGCATAGATCGTCTATGAAAGGCATGTCATGTCATATCTATCGTTTTATGCAATCTTTTATGCTCTTTTTTATTTAATATGTAGTTCATGATTATGCAACATAATATATCGTTCTAATGTGATTTTTATTATTAATACCATATAAAAACGATATTAATATGCAGAACGTGGCGAACTTCTCGAACGTCGTGAGGGGAACACATTATCATATCAGTTGTTATCACCTGGACGTGTTCAAATTACATGGACATATCCTAGTTCCATTTTACCTGTCGTCACAGGTTTTTTATTTTGCAACTCTGCTGTAAATAATAAATAAAAGATAAAAGACAAAAGTTAATGAACCGTATGTAAGTGTTGTGCTAGAAGGTGAAGAAGCAAAATTAGAGCGACATAGAATAATTTTTCTTGAAAATATAAGAAAAATTCTGCGAAACCAATTTTTTGCAACCCTAAGGACTGCATGCTATTTTAATCTAGTATCAAGTATTTTTTGTTTATCAATTTGTATTTTTATGCCAGTGAGAAATTGATGAATTTTTGAATTTCTTTGTTTTGTTCTAAATTAATGTGGTTTTTTTTCAGGTTCTTCAATTATGTATGCAGAAAGTAATTCTTTAGCAACAAAGCAATGGGAGCGTATTAATTTAGTCAATCCGCTACAGGTGTGAAAGATTTCAAATCCGAATTTGTAAGGCAGTTATTTTGTTATAATGTAATGTAATGGTCGTGAAAAGATAACAAAAACATAATGAAACTGCTTGACTAAAAATATGAAGTATTGCAGAATTCCGTTGTTCTTGAGCAACTGAAGCCAAACTCACACTATTTCGTTCGCATTTTGCCGCAGATTAACAATACCTTTTACGATGAGAGCATTATCGATACGTTCGAAATTAGAACGGGACCAGAAAGCGTGTTTTTGAGTTTTTTAGCTTTCTATAATTGATTTTTTTTATAAAAATAATTAATTTTTCCATTATTTGATTTTGCCGGGAAAATTGTGTTCGCGAAATACAAGCTAAGTCAGAGATCATCAGTTACTTTCAAAATATGTCTAATATAATCATTTTAGATCATATGAAATTCTCTCATACTGGCGATACTAATTCACGAATATTGTTGTCACATGAAAAACAGCAAGGAAGTATGATGACAAGATGGGGAAATGGGAAGTTGGTGTTAAGTGCATGCAATCCAGATTCCATCAAGGTTGAAACTTTAAAACAAAATTTAACATCATTCGAAATTATGCATATGAAAAGATTAATATAGATTAAATGTGAAATAGATTCAATGTGTTAGATCAGAAATAAAACCAGTATAATTTTTGCAGAACGAATGTTTCTGGGATGAACGATGTGTATCAATAAACGAGGGTCATTTCCGTGGTTTATGTATTCCGAGACCGTTGCGTAATGCTATCATCAATAATTAAATAGTTTTTATTTCTTTAATTTGATCCAGTGATTTGAAATTCATTCATTGATCCATAACTTGTTCGATTTAGTTTCGTTTTCAGAAACCGGCTTTTGTTGAGACTGCTTGCTAATTCATGACTGGTATCTTTTTTTAAATTGAATTTCCTGGGTTCACATGTGTGAGGGCTAACGCTTACTTTCATCATTTTGATTTTGATCCGTGGGATAGATATATGATGTTCCAGAATAGGATGATTCAGATGAGAAATGCTAAATGCTGAAAACATGCTAATTCCGCTCATCTTTCTCGCTGAAAATTGATAGACCTGAAGTTTTTGCATAATGTTTTATCAACCTGTTTTAGGAGTCTGTATGAAAGTATTTATCACTGTGAAAGTCTGTAGAGAATGGAAGTGAAATTTAGTTGAAAGAAAAATGAGATAATGAAAATATGATTAATTAACTGGGTAAAGAATTAACTAGTGTCTTTCCATTAATAAATTAACGAGGATCTTTTTGTGTTAACTCTTGATTTTCAACTTTTTTTTCTCAACTTTTGACAATTGTTGTATTAAGATTATTTTTATTCACCGGTTGGCATTATACAAATTATAGAAGGAACATTGTTTCTGGAAATTGACTAATGAGCTGCTATTGAAAGATTTCCTTACTATGAATGCTATTCTGTATCAGAAGAAAACGAATATCAGAGATTAAATTAAGAACATTCATTATTCAAATTGTATTTAACTTGAGATGTCTGACTTACGTTTGACTTATAAAGCTTTTTGTCGTATAAAATAAATGATGTCAAAGTAATTCTAATATATCATGCCTCCTCCAGATTTTTCAAGAAATATAATTGCTTCTTGAAAAAAGTTACGAAACAATTTGTCTTTATATTTTACCTTTGAAATATAATACGCCTAAGTTTTGTGCTACTATATAAATTTCAGCTGTGGATGGTGAAAGTCACTATATATATATATATATGACTGTCTTCGTAAAAAATGTAAATATACCTAGCTCTGCTGCTTCCGAGTAGTAAATTTCAACTTAAACTAATTTAATGAAGTTATTACGTTCTTTCGATGGCTGGAGCTCAAAAATTGCATGTAGAAGATTGAAGTCGAGAATTGCTAGGTTTAATGGGAATATTTTCTTCTGAAAAATTGGAGAAGTTTTTTACAAAAAATTTCTGAGATGAGATATTTTAGCTGAAATTTCTAAATTTCTTTTAGTAATGATTTACACAAAATATGAGCGCTTCTCTCCATCGGTGATACTATTTAAGATAGCAAACATTTGGCAAGAAAAAAGTAGACAAACACGAAATTAAACCAAGACAATATCGCATTGCATGATATGGAAGATATCCTTCCAATATTGATATTTTAAAATCGTTCGAAATTTTTGGAAAGGTTACTGGACTTCTCAACATGCTTCTCAATATGAACGAAGTTTGCTCAATATGAACAAAGCCAATTCGTTCAGGTATCCGGTATCGTCGTATTGAATTATAAATAATCAGATTGACACGGATGCACAAAGTAAAGTATGCAAGCGTATTAAAAAAATTTTTTTAATTTGAAATGATTTTTAATTAAAAATTTTTTTCTAATTTAAGATAATTTTTAGTCATAAAAGTTGAATTTTACTTTAACCACTTCTTTGCAAGCAATTAGCATTGAGAACAAATATATTTCAAATTTGAATTAACCAATATCATTGAACATAAAACTGTTAATATGACTTTCAAATTATCCATTACCAATATTTCCTTTCTTTTTTCTGATTTGTCATAAAATAAAAGAAATGTTATAATGAAAATAAATGCGGGAAATAAACATATATATATATATATATATATATATGAATTTGATATACCGGTTGATAACAATGAATCGTTGATCATTTTTAACAATCAAAAGCAAATATACAACAAATCAATCCAATATGATTCAATCTAATCCGATAAATTAATCAATTGTTGCGATGTAATTAATCAGTTAATCAACTGCCATTATCATGGTAGATGCCCTCATTATTTAACGATAATTTTCATCTTCATTATCACTTTTTTCTCTTCCACTCTATTTTCCATGATATTCATTCATTCATACGTCAATTCTTTCCTCATTTCATCTTCTTTCTCATATTTGCTAATGATAATTTTAAAAAAAAACCTCTTCTCTTTCTTTTTGTTGTAAATTATCCTTTTTGTGTGATATCGTTGAAAGAGAAGTTCGTTGTTGTGTTGTTGTGTAAGATGAAATTTTTGATAACATTCATTAAGACTGTAATTAATCCATATTTTAGTTAATTAATTTGGATTTAAATGTTGATTAAAACGGTTAAATTTTTTAATCAAATTAAATAAAATTTTATATTTAATTTAGCATTTCTATAATTAAAGAGAATAATGCTGTTATTATTACTGATATTTCATAGTATACAAGCTGAATTTACACCACATTTTCGCTCATTTATTCATAACAATTATGGTGTTGCTATCACTCAAGCATTGGAACGTACTGATTTGGGGAATGATTCAAGTTTTGGTGGTAAAGAAAGCAATGAGGATGAATTAAAGAATCAAGCTGTTGTATTAATTCATGGTAGCGGTAATAAAATTTCACGATTTCAGGTATTTTTTTCTCTTTATTCTCTTCTCTTTTTCTCTTAGTTTATACGTAAGATTTCATGTAACAGAATTAAATAAATAGAATGGAAAATCAAATATCCGATCGATACAATGATAAGATTTTTATTGATTAAAAGTTGAAACAATTTGGTTGAATAAGAAAGAATGATTTAATTCAAATTTGAATCATTTATTTGCTGAGAGAATTTATCGAATAAATAAAAGTTATCTATCTATTCAGAAAATAATTTTTGAAAAGGAAAAGAAAAAAACAATCTGCAGAGAATGGTCAAACATTTACTTACTAAAGGTTATAAACGATCCGAAATTTATGGTACAACATGGGGTGATGGTGGATTAACAACAGTTGCACTAATTGATATGAAATGTTCTTATGTTAAACAGATTAGGTATTTCACATATTTTTTCTGCTATATTAATTAAGTAAAGGTCAAAATATCAAAAATATATTGAACTTTTACAACTAATTAATTAAGGAGGAAAATGGCATAAAATTGATAGACTTATTGCATTGCTGTCATTATCTAAATGTTAATGAATAATTTTTGATCAGAGAAATGATTTTTATTTATTTTATTTTTCTCAAGGAGTATGATAATCGCTGTTCGTCAATATACTGGTACACGAGTTGATGTGATTGCATATGGGATGGGTTCACCGTTAACACGTAAAGCAATCCTTGGTGGTGATTGTGTTGATACTCGTGAAATTCTTGGTTCGTTCTTGAAATGATCCCTTCACAAATCGTATCATATGTTGATATAGAAAAATGAGTAGTAATTAAGAGCTCATAAACTTTTATCTGATATCAAAAATTAGAATGATGGTAAAGTATCATCTCGTACCATTTTCCTATATATTTCGAAAAAAACTTTGACATTTTTTTTTGTTCGTTTTTTCCATGATAATATCTGGAATTTATATTTAACATAATATTTTGTTTTTTTCATTTACTTACTTTATTAATTAATTTCAGACATTAAGAAAGCATTAATTTGTGTTTTATCTTTTATAGGTCCACCACTTACCGAATTAATTGACACATATTTGAGTGTTGCTGGTGCCAACTACGGTATAATATCATGTTTTATACCGATACCGGTAGGTGCGTGCAATCGTAGAACTGGTTTGCATTGTCGATCAACATTTTTACGAGATATTAATGGACAAACTCGATATGAAGGCATTTTTGTCTTTAGCATTTTCTCGGATTCTGATGAAAGGGTAAAACATTCCGTATTAACAAATAATTGAACTGAAATGATATTTAAATCGCGAAATTTTACCGTATTATTTTTATTGAAAGCATTTGCATTTACTATCAGCTTTACATAATTTTGCAGATAAAGTAATTTTTAATAATAAGCACTTTAATGCTATCTAATGCCATCATTATTATTTACCCATTCCTAATAAGCAGTTTGAAAATGATTGGAAAAGGTAAACTTATCCGTAAACTATATTCATAAAATATATTTATCTAAAACAAAAACTGTAGATTGGTTATCGTGGTTGCGGTACGCTATTGAGTCCGATCAGAGGTGAAACTGGATTTGTAAAAAAGGAATTTTTAAGTCATGATCTTACCATTGATACGACTTATGAAATGCAACGGAATTTCATTCAAAAGCAACGACCATTCTGAATAATGAATCTTGCTTTTTGAGATTGCTCATCACATCTTTATCAATTCAAATACTTCCAATTGTTACGCGGTTGAAAATTAAGATGAAAGATGAATGCAAGAGTGTAGAAGGAAATTCTTAGATTTCAGATAGCAAACAGGACAAATACCGTGTATAGCTATTATCACCCAATTTTTATTGAAAGAGAGATTCCTTAATTCTTGACTGACTAAGAAAGATTGTCCAAGAGTAATCCACGATTATTAATTGATCAAGAGTGATTCTCCAAATCTAAGTTCTGATAAATTGAAATATGAAGTAGTTTATCATAACAAATGTCCAAAGGTTACATTTTTCTTCTTGTCTTCATATTGTGATATTAAACATCATTGTTATAAAAATTAATGAATATGCATATTGGGATTGATAGTTGTTGCATCATCATCAAATAGAGTTTATCATAACAAATGCCCAAAGGTCACATTTTTCTTCTTGTTTTCATATTGTGATATTCAGCATCATTGTTATGGAAATTACTTGTAATTAATAAAAAAGGAAATCATCATTTCTCTTTGATTCGATGCAAAGTATGGCAATTCCTATAATATATCAAATTCCGAAATGATAGTGATAACATCAACGAATCACCAAGAGTTTCAAACAAATCGCCAAGCATACTGTATACTCTATTACTGTATTGTTTTTTGCAATTTAAAGCTATAATATCTGAAATATTGACAGTCTGAAGTTCAAAGTAATGATCGCATTTAATTGAAACAGTTTCATAGTTGTTATTTCAAGCGTTTATCAAAACATGTTGTCTACGATCGCGTCCAATGTTTATTCCTATAACAACAAGAATTCACGTAATTCAGGTACTTCAATAGGTGCATAAAAGTTCCGAGAAAATTATTTCAAATTATTTTAATTGCAACAATTTTTTTTCCGGGCATTAAAATAATTTTAAGAATTACAAATTATGATTTGCAAAGAACAATTTGTGAAAAATAACAAATTACGATTTGCGAAGAACAACTGAATGTAATTCTTAAAAAAATGAAAGTAGTATAATGCAAAAAAACTTCACCTAATATTGAATGCATCGTCGTAAATTATTCCGGAAAAATAAATGTTAACCGGTAGGGCAAAATATACTTTTGTTCATCGATTATATTCTATTTCTATCTTGAAAAAGTGGTCAATACTTTTTAAGTAGTAGTGCAAATGTATGGGATGTATTTAATGACTTCTCGGAGAATATAATCGCCTATCGTGCCTCTTTTAATCTCAAATAATGCTGTCTGTAAAGTTTCATTTCATTAAATTTCATTTATTAGTTTTATGGTTTATTAATTTCTTAAAACATTAAAAATATATAAGTATATTAACTTTTAGGCCTATGAGTAAAAGGAAAGAATATTAAGTACAGTTTTTTTGAATTCTAAAAGATAAGCAATATATAAACATATAACTTTTATCATCTTTTTTCGATGAGATGAAAAATGAAACTATTCGTCGCCGAAAAGTTCTTTTCACTTTTTTAAATATTCAGGCTGACTAATATTTTTGAAGATCACCAACAGTAATGAATATATTATTATTATTGATTATGCTATCATCAATGCCTTATCAATTAGTTGCTGGGAGTTTATCGCCTGCATTTTATACTTGGTTAAATGATACCTATGGGAAAATGCAAGCTGATCGGTTACTTCGTGCTGATTTAGGTTTTCGTGGTAGTTTTGGAGGCGGAAATCATACTGGTGGTCAGAGAACAAAGTTTGTTTGTTCCAGAATTTCATGAAATTATTATTATTATTATTTTAGATAGGAAAAGATTTTGAGAAGACTTATTTATTAAATTGTTTATCACTCATTAAGTACTTTGGTCAATTGTTGATCTAACATAATGATTGATTTAATAAGTCTTCTGATAATCTTTTCGAGAATTGACAAATAATAAATTTGACTGTTAGATTGTCTTCTTAAAAATCGTGAAAAATTTTTGTAATCTAGAAATGAGCCAGTGATTTTGGTACATGGATTAGCAGATAGGATTGATCTTTTTAATCCTATTCGAATATATTTCCTAGAACATGATTACGGTGATGAGGAAGTATATGGTACAACACATGCTAATGCACGTGATGCTATAAGTATACTTTTTGATACAATGAAATGTGATTATGTGAAAATGGTCAGTATATTTAATCTATTTTTGTTATCATTAATTTACTTATCAATCAAAAGAGTCAGTTTATGTTTTTTATCATCGGTTAACTTATCAGTTTAGAAAGAAGATTAGGAAACTGAATACAATATTTATTGTATCATTGTTAAATTCACACAACCAATATTTAAATTTTTGGAAATAATTATTTAAAGGAAATATATTTGCAGAGTAATACATGCTTTCTTCCATTTTTGCAATTTATTACATTTCAAAATATTAAATTCATTATTTTGTAAATGATTTTCCTAATTAAAAAATAAAACAAAATTTTGTGTTAAATTCAATTTTTTCATTTTAAAAATTTCCCAAAAAATATTACTTATGATTAGATGAAAGAATGGATTTTAATATATTTTCCAATCAAATTACATGATTTGATATTATTTGAAGATACGAGAGTTCATTCAATCGGTAAGTGCATATACGGCATCACGAGTTGATATTATTGCATATTCAGAAGGATCACCGATTGCACGAAAGGTATCTTTTCGTGTTTCTTCATTAAGAATGCTTTTTAGAGGCTATATAATGATGTGCAATTTTTTACCTAGTTTTGTTAGAGTCTTTCCACCCTTCCTCCTATCTTCTGCTCTTCAAAAAAAAAACCTCTGATCTATTTTCATAGATTCAATACAATCGATTATGATCAACTTTGAGATTATAGATTAAGCAAATAACAAGTAAAGATTAGCATACCTTTTATGTCGATTACTAGGATAAGTTGCCTAAAAAATTTTGATCTAATTTAAATTTTTAAAAGAAAAAATAAGAAAAAGAAGAAAATTGCTAAAAGGTTTAAAAAAAGATTGTAGAAATTTTTATGAATTTTTATTCTTCAAATTTTTGACAATATGATAATTAAAAGCTAAATTTTCACTTAATTTCTTTTTTTATAGGCGATAATGGGTGGCATGTGTGTGGAAGGATCAAATGATTTGGGTCGTCCATTAACTGAACTTATCGATACATTTCTTAGTGTAGCTGGTACCAATTATGGCTCCAATCGTTGCATTTTACCATTTGGTAGTTGTAGCACTTTAAACGGACTGCATTGTCTCTCGAAATTTCTTAGTGATATCAATTCAAAGTTAGTCAAACGTGATTCCCACTTTCTTTTTCTTTTCAATTAATTCTCTCATAGATGTTAAACAACAAGAAAGTGAATATATCATATATGAATGAAAGTTGCAATACAAATGGATATGAAATGATGTAATTTAGCAGAAATGCTATATAATCTGATTGATATGCATTCCATCTCAAATCTCACTATCACACTTCGCAATGCAACATACAGTAAGGGAAGTAAGGGAATGTAGAAGTAACCTTTATGTTTAATTTCAGGAAACATTATGAAGGAAATCATGTTTTTACGTTATATTCTAAAAATGATGAGAAAGTAAGCTATCACTCGTGCGGTAAATTAGCAAGCACAATTGATTGCGAAGATGGAAAATTTGAAGTGAGTTTTTTTAATCGTTCTAATTTACTAATTTGATAAAATTACTGATAATAAACTTGATTCACAACAAATAGGTTGATGTTATTTTTCAACTTCAAAAATATTCAAAACTTATATGATCAATGATAACGATATATAAAGATGATAACGATCCATGTCTCAATAGTATTGAACCTAACGATATATAAAATAGAATAAAAGGATCGAAATTAGATCATATTTCTAAAAAAATGTCAGATTCCGAGAAAAAAAATTATCTTTGGATATTAGTTTCAAATAAAACGTTCGTTTTGTTAATGATAAATATCAGTAGCTCAGGAATAATCAACATCTTAATAACAGCTTTATTTCCAGGAATCTGATATGAATCATTCAGAAGTGATTATGAAAACCGTTTCGAAACAATATGAGTTAGTAACCAAGCATCGTTATCCAACATGAGATGCGCCGTATACAAACGACTTACTTTTGGTATATGTGCACGACCATTTATGAATGTGAAATCACAGAAATACGAAATTTAACCGGACGGTACAGAATGATAACTGATATCTTTGCAAAACTCTTTTCTTTGATTACGGGTAGGTTTGATTGCAACAGAGAAATCTATCCTTTGCTACCATTTTATTATGAATATAAGGACTTCAAGCATCTATTTCCCGAATGACTTAAATGAAAAAAAATTCAAACCACTGAAAAAATTTCTACTTCACACAAATATCCAATGATTATGAGAACGATACTACATTACTTAGAGAGATGCCAATTTTAATTTCCCAGAAGCAATCCCATTCAGATGTTTACACACAGCAGCTCACACCCTATCCCCGCCCTGTGAAGTTATTGTGAAAGTATATTTCCAATTTCTTTCAAAATCTTTGTTTACTGTGAGCATAATAATGTACGCTTGCTCCATATGTTATGGATATATTTTACTAGCAATTCGTTTATTTGATGCAATGGATGGACGCATAAATGCAGAAAAGTTAAAAAGTTACCCATATGATTCTTGAATTTATTGATTCATTAAGGAGTCCGTTTAGCATAACAATTTTGATATGTCCCATAATGGCATTAGCTCTTATCCACATTAGTGCAGTAAGAGCATCTTCTTATATGAAAAGATCAACCTCACTAAAAGTTGACCTAATAGTAGACGCCAACAATTGAAAAAATCAGTCATTAGCAAAAAATTTACAATTACTTTTGTCATGCACTGAAGAATCACCACAATTTTATCGTGATTTTTCCTTTTCTCGGAACTACAAACACTTTGGACTTGCTAGTTTGCAATGTCTCCATCAATCATTCATGCATTGGTAAAAAACAAAGTAAAAAAGGAAAAGAAAAGTAGAAAGTATGCGTTAGATAGGCCTGGATAAATTTAAGACTTCATAGAAAGATTCGGGTGTAAAAGGACATTTTTCGGCAAACTGAAGTATCATCAATTGATACTTTCGCTGACGAGGAACTAGTCGACATTGTATAAAAAGTGAAGAAAGCAAAAAAATAAAAAAAAAAAAACAATCTATACGATCTTATATCACATAACAATAAACACCAGTCTCATACAATAACGTATTTTCAAAGAAATCCCGAAGAGAAAATATTTTTTCTTTCTGTAAGAACTTAGACCATCATATGTAACATTTACTAATCATTGAACTTCGGTAAGCCCAACTTTATGTCAGACATAGCGTTTCGGCAATTCTGTTCAGCCTAAAGTTGAAAGCATTTAAAATGAAATACTACCAAACTTATAACCCATTGCCAGAGCGATAAACTAACTAATACTATTACAGCAACATATAATAAATACAAGAATCTTGAAAGCAGCGAAGGCTAAAGTGCGACATGTCCTTTTCAATTTTCCAAGGGTGAGGAACAACAAAACAGACCTAGGCAAAAATCGAAATAATGGAATTCTTTTCATAAATGGAATAAGATCTACAGATTGAAGATCACACATATCGCACCAGCTTAAATCGAGCAATAATAAATAAGACAAAGAAAGGAGCAAAACATTGAAGAATAAAGTAGAATACAAGAACACAAAGACGTAAATTCATCGTTGCGCAAACAGGAAGAAAAGAAGCACTTGTTGGTACATCATATTCAAAAATTTAATTCTAAGTTTTTGAATTTAATATGAAATGGAACCAAAGCAGATATGAAATTGTGTGAAGTGACAAATTATTGATATCCTGACCAGTCTTTCATAGGCTACCTGTCGCGATCCAGGACTTATGAATTTAAAACATAAATTTTCGGTTGGTTTTTAGGGAAAAAAGGGTTATCTGAATCCTCCCCAAAAAACCCCGCCAAAAAATTCTTTTAGACACCAAATTAAGGCGTAAAACGATGGGAGGTGAATTTAAAAAAAACAAACGAAATGGAAGAAAAGATTGACTTGTGCAAAGAAATAACGACAACTAGTTGAGCAATAATTGGTAGAGATTTTTGCCAAATGATAACTGACATGATTTGAGCTCATCCACCAGCGAATCCGAATGTAAATCCTTAATTTCATCAAATGCCATTCCTGTCGATGATACCTGCCCGTCGCGATCATGCTCTATTTCCACCTGCAATCGAGAAAATAACACTGACGATATTCTTCACTAAGAAGTAAATCTCATAGAAGGAAGATTATTTTTTTTTCTTTTTAAGCAGCATGGCAGTAAAAACTGACTTTATTTAGAATCCAGTGATCAGAAAAAAATCATAGTTAGCTCAAAATAAGAAATATAGCATACGAGTCGTTTGAGCACATTAACAAGAAGGGCGTCTGGCTTCCTTGAATCAGCATCAGCATTCTTAAATGCTTCCTTAAAATCTCCCAGTGATGGTCGAGGGCCTTCAAAATGTTGCACTTCACACATTATTGACCAACTTATCACCTCCGCTACACATTCCCATATCCTCATGTTATCTTCCCATAGTTCCATTTCCACTACTTGTGTGCAGTAATCTGCAACCCTGCAAACATAAGATTAAATTCCAGATTTCGAAAAAATTGCTAACTGAAAAGTCCAGTAAACAAAATCAAATTAAACATATTTTGCTCCTTCTTCTTTCTTCTTCTCGATCGAAAACCTGGTAATCTCAGTAAATGAGACTTTATTTAATTTCATTCAGCGAGTTTACTAAAACATTAAAGCATCAGACCACATAACTTTGACGAAAGCTAATCATACTATATTTACCACCTCAATCAAGATCACTTTTTTTATTATCAATTACCACACATAAAAGAAATCCACGAACAGTGTTAACAAAGAAAACCGAACCCTCGAAGAGCATGTGTTTTGATGTCAGGTAGTTGCAAACACCTACATATCACCTGACCAACATATCGCCTCCGTGGATTTCGAATATCTCCACTAGTTTTTTCAACACCTATCTTCATCAACAATCGAAATGCTTGTCGAACACGACGCAGATCCATATTCATTGTCCTCTCATCGATCATTATTTCCATGATTGATTGGAATAGCTGCAAATTAAGCATGACAATGATATGCCTGAATACCCAACAAAATGCTGGATGAGTAAACAGACTTAAGAAATGTTCATTTAAATGAGTCGAAAAAGGAATGTTCCTCGAATAGATCCGATTTCTCATTTTTCTCATTTTCTAAGCATTCAATAAAAATACCTCATAAGGATTTTAAGGAACTGTCAACTACCCTCGAGGAAAATTCTCTAATCAACCAAAACTTTTAAGAGTTTCAACAAACGCAAAAATCAAAATATCACCAGCTCAATATTTGTGCCATCTGCAAAATAATCATGCAATTCTCGGCACAGTGATCCAAATATTTCCTTCTCATCCAATTCATTTCTTCTGTTAACTTGGTTCCCATCTTTTTTTTCATCATCCACAGTTAATAGAGGTGGTGATGAACCACCGGCTGTTATACCCGCATATCCACGCTTTAATGCGTTAACACTTGCACTATGCGTTACAGCGCTTGCTGCTGCGATGGCCTAAATAGAAATTTTATTTGTAGTGAAGCAAACAACTTATATCGCTAACCAAATCGTAAAAAGGTCCATTTCCAGACCATCAGAAGTTGAAACACTTACTGCACTGCGTTCGTCGTCTCTAGACTTCCTAGATTCTGACGGTTCTCGACTAGACGGTTGAGAGTTATCTCTAGAAGCTAGCGAGCCACGACCCGCTCCACGACCAAGCGTACCACGAGATAATATATTCCTGTCCATTTGTTGACCTCCGCCAATTGCACCACCTGCAAATGGAGGTCGGCGTGCACCAAGTGACTGTGGCTGATCAACCTGTAACATTTACATGATATCTACAATTTATGTCGAAAAGACTCAAAAAATCACCGTATAGTCAGTAACAACCAGAAGTTAAACGGATTTTTAAACTTGCACACAATATAGTTTTCCAGGAAGAATAGCGTCCCATCCATTATATAATTCATTTGCAATTAGTAGTTCGAATCTATAGATATTATCTCAGCACCGAATTCAATATATAAAACTTCTCATTTCTAAGCAACCATTCACTTAAGTTCCGATGAAAACTTGCTTGGAATTATTGAAATAAGGTAAATAGCAAATGAATGTTAATTTTCATTTCGAACACAATCGGAACTGAAACAGCCTTTAAGACATGTGACCCTTGCTTAGGAAATCAAAAATAATAAATTAACAACATACGCTATTCAGTGTTTGATTTTTCCTGCTGGCAGTATTAGCGACAAGGTTAGCAGCTCCGGCAGCTCGTGCTTTCTGATCGCGATTTGGCTCACCAACTCTCGGTCCGTATTGACGACCATCTTGCGACTGCCTTCCAATCAATACTGGTCTTTGGCTTCGCTTATCCAAAGAGGTTCGACCCTCATATCGTTTTTTATTGGCATACTGCAAAATTAATTTTCCGAAAATGCACAAAAAAATATTTTTGTAAAAAAGACCATAACGGTTAACGCACTAAACTTCTATAACATACTTGCTCACGCTGTAACCTATTTGCCATTTCTTCCCTCCGTGCCTCATCATGTACTTCTTCTAGAGTCTTTGGTCCACTTTCAGACGTCCGCGGTACCCATTTATTCTGAAAATAGAAACAAAAAAAATTTTTTTTGGCAAGAATCATATCAATTCAATTCAATTCGTATAATTATTCATATCTACCGAATAAGTTGATGATTCCAATCAGTGGATAAAAACAAAAAAGACATCCTTATTTCAAAGTACAAAGCATATGAAACTGATAATCCATCATTAAAATATGCATTGCAATGAAGAACTTATTAAATAGATTTAAATAACTTTCATCGCATCGTTTACGAAAAAAAGCACAAAAACGAACATTTCTCAGTTCGATAAGATTGAGGATCAAAAAGCGGACGCGATTTGACACTTTTGTCGAAACTTCTTTAAGATGTTCAAAATAAAGGTTCGTATTGAATTCTTCGTGTTTCTGTGCTTCTTGAGGATGATCCTGAGGTGCACTATGTGCATGTGGATCCGATGATCCCAATTGATAGCTTCCTTGTTGCTGCTGCTGACACTGACGATCAGCCAGCTTGCCTACCGATTCAAGCATTTTGACCGCACATTCTATACTTTCTTCATCACCATCCTAAAATACATCAATTTTATTCCATACCCGTTCAAAGTAATTTCGGAACGTTTGAAACCAAAGTTATATCGTGCACAAAATGTATCAAAAGATCCACATTCAATTAACACGGTACAAAAGAGAGCACTAGCCATGATCATTTAAGAATTTTAATCATCTCTACATTAAACTTATTTTTAATTAAATCAACAGATCTCAAATGTTTTCAACTAACCGGCGATTCACTGTGATTTTTGAGCAAATGCACTATGCACCAATTTAATATCCGTGGTACTATCAATTCATGTCTAAATAGTTGTCCAATAAAACCTATATTGCCTAACATTCGCCGCCGTTCTCGTGCTTCCATTTCCATCAATTCTATTTTTAATTCTCGTTTTTTTCTCTCCTGAAAGAAATGAATTGAATTCCAACTTGAATATAGTAGATTATTAGATTATTTTTCTCACATAATTCATAAGCTTACAGAAATTATATTCTAGTTCAATAATAATTTCCGAGATCAATGCCCTATCTATTATTAAGAGTTCTAGTGATCTCTGCAAAATGCACTTCAAAAAACTATCAAAAGAGCAGCAGATAAAAATACGAGAATTTAAAGCAGCAGATAAAAATACGAGAATCAGTCATATGAAAATTTTCTTTGTAAACGGCAGACAATATCAATAGTTATAGATACTATAGAACTAATTTTACCGCTACCGCTTTAAAATTTAATTAATACCTTTCTTTGCTCAAATACAAGACCTCTATCAATTCTGTCAATATTCTTTGGTTCTTTAATGTTTTTTCCTTCCTGTTATTACAATTAAAATCAACAAAAATTGCGGGACAATACAAAACACTTGCATCAGTTTCTTTTTCCATTTCAGTTTTCTTATTGTTGATTTCAGACATTCGCTTCTCTTCGAAAGTATTCTGGCATCGAGTCAATAACGCACTTCGAAATTTCGATTTATCTTTTGATTCTTTCGATTCTTTCACCACTTGCATTTTACAAAGATCACTGAAACAGATCCCAATTCTTTTTACTAATTTTTGGTTCTAATAAACTCGGAAGTTTATATAGCTTATTTTCCAAATAGCATAGATAAAAAGTGAATAAAGATTTTTTTTTATTTCATCTTATCTATCCACCTCTAACTTCGTACTTATATTTTCTAAAGAGTTGAAAAAAAATAATTAAAAAAAAAACAGAAAAAGAAGTGGAGCTAGCTATAAAATTAAAATAGGTAATTATTTCAACTAAATTCCGAGCATCCCAAAAAAAAATTTTTTCTTTTGGGATGCCAGAAGTTTAGTTCCTCGATTTGCTAAAATTAGAACTTTCGACTTGTCATGTCAGTGTTCCAGAGAAACAGTACTATCTTTAAGATAAAGAATCATGCTACTTACCTATAGAGAGCACAGAAATTCGGTTCCTCAACAGCCTTATCGAAAATAATGTTGATCACTTCACCCATTTGTTCTTTGTTCTTATACACTTCAAAGCGCAAGAAATCCCGTGAAAGCTCTTCGAATGTTGATGGCGTTAATTTATTTAATAAACTGCGAACATTTTTGTACAATTTCTGCAACTTGCAATCAAATGAAATATTTTGTCTAATCAAAAATATATGTACTAAGTTTATCATAAGCTTCATAATAACATTCTTCATCAAACAATAGTCAACATCATTTAATTGCAATACGTGTTCTGCGACTCGCAAATTACCTAAATTAACAAAGAATCTCCTTTAATTTACCTGATTAGCATCTATATTTCGTTCTGGCTTCCATGCATTCTCAGCTTTATGCAACTTAACCGGTTCACGATTGGGCCGATCAATTGATGGCCGACTCACCGCTGGCTAAAATCAGTATAAATAGAAATTGTAAGATTGTTAAAATTATGTACGATAAGTCAAATAATATTAGAAAATAAAAATAATTACAAACCCTTTTCCGATCGCGTTCACGCTGATTTGAATGTGTCCGATCGCTGAGTCTTCCGTGATACTAGAATATATGAATTAATTTAATATATAAAATTGTCATGTGTTTTTATATTTGAAAAACTGTACGATATTTTTTACTGGGACCTTTGTTTTACTACTTAAATTTTTAGGTTCGCTCTTCGTTTTTTTATTAGCTCGAAATGTTAAAGGAAAAATAACTATAAGAATTTTCACCGATAAAAAAAGTATCAGTTTCACTCTAATTTTTTCATTCAAACAATATTCGATTAAAGAAGAGAAACTACTAAAGAGCAACCGCTTTTGGTTTTGATTGACTTTTATCCACCCAACCCGGTATGAATCGAGCACCGGCACCTGCTGCATTATCGAAACGACGCTAAAAAAGTAGGTTGAGATATGTAAGGATGATATTGAATGAAATAATTAGCAAACATTTATTCAAAGGGCATCTAATATTTAGAATGTCTACTCAACTAGTACAGCATGTCACCCTATCACATATGTTATGATTATCAAGATGATGTCATGTTGTTAAAAAAAGAAATGAATGGCATTTCAGCTACGTCAACTTTGGATAAACGATACATGAATCACACAATAAATTCTAATAAATAAGAGAATCTGACCTGGCGGTCACCGATGGTGCCATTGGCAGGCGCCGAAGCAATATCGATACCAAGATCTTTCAAGTCGAATACTTTTACAGGCAATACGGAATCCAAGAATATATCTTTCACTATGTCACGTATCAAAAGCAAATAATCATGACCGTATATGCGCTCATTCAATTGAACATTGTGCTGAAAAAACTTATCATCATTAGAAAGATTATACCCTATTTTAGCCGACTCTCCGCATTGTTTAATCTATCACCTTGAACAAGAACATGATATAAACCTTAAGCTTGTTTTTCAATAAGCATTTTTCGAAACTAACTTCGTTCTGTAACATCTCCTTCTGTTTAGCAATATATTCTTGTTTTTTTCTCGTTCGCATTGCCTCAGGACTTTCCTCTATTTCAGAAAGTTTCTCATCTTTTTCGGTCTCTTCTTCGTGCACTATTTCAACAACAGAATGACCCCTGAAAAAAGAAATATGATTGTTAAAATAATTAACTTGCAAATATATTTCGCTTTTCTGAGTAAAACAAATTTTTTAACCTTAAAATATTTTTTTTCTTGTGAGCTATTTAACTATCGATTTAAGGAAAAAATGCGCTTTTATTTAATTCCATTAGTAAAAATCAAAGAGCAATGGTTTACTGCATTGGAAGTGGAAGAATGGTATCATTCGTGTCTACTCGCTGCAGTGATTGCTGTTTCTGACGTTCTTCGTCTTCTTCATCCTCTTCATCATCTTCTTGACATTGCTCTTGTTTCGCAAGTTCACTTTCTATTATAATAGTGGTTCCTACATCCCTTTCCGTACTATCTTTTGTAATAACAGGTATCACCATTTCAGCATTTCGTTGAAATTCCTTCTGCTTGTTATCTTGTTCAATTCGTTCATCTAATATTAAAATCAATTAATTATATATGGATAGAATTTAATTCTTAAGTTACAGAACAGTAGGGACTTTTGTCGATTAGTTCTTTTCGGCAAAATTTCTTGTAAACGCTTACTTATATTGTGCATTTTTTACCTTACATCTTCTCCTTATCCAAACAGACCTTGTGGTTCAGCTGATACAATCGAATCATTTCTTTCTAATAATTTCGGTGCTTCTACAGTTTTTATTTCTTCTGCCAATAGTTCAGGTGGAGCACTTCTTTCGACCTGAAATGTGAAATGTGTAAACGCAAAATTGCTAAAAAAAGTTCACTGATTAAATACTTTCAAGTGATCTTCCATTACTCTATATGTTTTGATAATTAATACCTCCTTAGACGGCGGTATTATAGTAGATACTGGTGGAGCTGATGTCGATGGTCGTGGTACCGCATCACCGACTATATCGCTTTGAACTGTCTGCGCAGGAAAAGATGCGGCACTGATCGGTGACGGAGTAGATGTCACGGCAATGACAGTATTAGAACCACCTAACACTGATTGCGCAACTTGCATTGTGAATTTTTGAGATGCATTTGAAGGGAATGACGATGGTTGCTCTCGTCTCACGTCTTGTCTTGACGACGGACCCTTCTTACCACCTGTAAATAACCATATAAATATTTAGGAAAGATAAAATGAAAAGTTTCCCACTTTTAACATGGAACAATTATCATTGAATGCAGAAAAACAGAGAATGAACTTCCATCTCTCCTCTCCCTTCTCTTCTTCTCTTCCAAAGAAAGAACATCAGTGACCTAATTTTGTCCAAAAAATCTTATTTTCTTAAGCACTAATAACGAGATGATAAATGAAAACTGAAGAAGAATGTGATGTAAAATAACGGCCTCTGAAAAAATAAATGAAACTCCATCCTAACGCCTTGCACTTTAGATATACCAGTTGTAAACGAAAATCCAGACTTATCGACAGTGAAATGTGATTTAGTAAGATGAAACTGAAAATCATTAAATGGAAACTGCAAATTTAATAATCTGCTCAAGAAGTGCTCATTCCTTATCAAAAAATAATCTCTTCACGTTCTAAAAAAAATTATCGTCATTCCTAAAACCTTTACTGTTATAAAATGTTCATGAAATAATTTACAAACACCTACAAAACAAGCATAAATTTAAACCAGGAGTTATTATTATCGTTACTTCATTATTACTATGATATTATTCAACGACTCTCTTGTAACGTTCGTAGAAAAATTCGTCAATTAATAAACCTCTGCAAAATGCTCAATTGTATCAGAAAAAACCTAATAACCTCCACGACAATAGTACAATTTTTTCTACCCTCAAAGACAACTTGAAAATTACTTGAATGGGAGATCATAACATTATTTGTATATCGATAAATTAAACAACATAACTGTAAGGAATGAGTGATGAAAAAATCGAAAGCCCTCCGCCCCCACTAAATTTTTCATAATACACATTGTTTTACTGAGACTTACTCATTATCCATCTTATGCTGCCTCTTAGTACTAACATTATTAATAAGTTTTCCTTGGTTCATCTGTTCAAACCTTTCATCCAGCTTATCCCTTCCCACATTTTTACTTTTTTCCTTTCTTAAATATATTTAGAGAGATGACAAATAGGAATATACACGGATGAGAATGATGAAATTGTTTGCTACCGCTCTCACTTCATCTGCCTCTGTTATCGCTTCGGCAGCCACCACTCTTCACACTTCAACTACAGTTTTATCCGTCATACATACATGCCAAAAAATTGGAAAAAATCTTAATCTTCAATTTCACTTTAACATTTAACATCATTACCACAAAACACTTATTTCTTCTCTTAACCAATCCAACAGAAAAATATCATTCCTCCATCTTCCTTCAGTGAAGCGAAGATGTTGCATCCATAGTGCCATCAATAAAAAATATACCCCATAGGAGCACGGGAGATTGATGAAACATATCGGTTACAGTGCAGTAGCGGCCCATTACCTCCCGAACCGCTAACTAAATAATTTCATTCCTGTTAAACATTCTTCCTCACTCTCTTCATTCCAATTTAACTCATCCATTTGTAAATGTAAAGAATATACTACATACTGTTGCAGCTCCTTTCTTACTGTTTACCGGCACTACTGTATTTCCGCCGTCATCAAAATCTTTTAAAATCGAAAAATATACTATACATTCGAAAATTTACATATTTCATCCAATCCTAACCTCGCTGAAAAGTGATGGATAATGTGGTTCAATTGAAAGTCATAAATTATGTAACATTTTTTCCAGTCCTCATACTACTATTGTTTTCGCTGCACTTAATCATCCCTAAAAATTTTTTGCATGCTCATCTGCTTGCTTTTTATTTACCTGTTAGCACTTTTTCTTCTCTTAACCTGTTTATCAACTTATTCGCTTATTTATATGGTTTCCTGTCCGACTGCCAACTTGCTTATTTCCTTGCATATTGCTTGCCCTTTTATTCTATCTTTTTCTTGATATACTTCCTCAGATAAATGGAATGATAGTTCATCTACAAAACCTATCTCCTAATTTCCTATATCGGGAGAAAAGTAAAACCCAAGTAGGATGAAGAGATCTGTTGATGAAAAAATTATAAGTTAAGATTAAATATTTAAATCAACTGCCAAATTGTTTGATTATTAGAATTGCCTGCAGCCTGCAAACTTTAAATTTGTGAATCATTTACACGCTGTGTAAAAATATGTAAGTTTCCGTTCACAAGAATAATATCAAACAAAGTGCTTCGTTAACTCTTTTTGACAAGCTTTTAAATAATATCAACCGTCCTTCGCTTCCACCATTAATATTTATCACCGATTTTTCGGTTTATATAAAACTTCCGAGTAATGCCTCACATTCGACTTCAATCTACAGATGATATTTGAACATAAATTCAACTCAGATCTAAAAATTGATGTATACTGTCATCAATAGTATGGGAAACGAACGTTAAGCAAATGCGCATGATTTTTTCTGTAAGCAGAGTGGCTAGATGGATATGGTGTCCAATAAAGTATTCATAAAATAACAGACTAATTAAAACTTGCCAGTATCAGCATTTTCCACATTCTGTTGCATCATTTGTTGTTCCTTTTCAGATCTAATGATATGATCCTTATTCGTTACTTCATTCGTCATCGGATCAACTATTGACAAAATTCTTTTAGTTTTTGTCAGTTGTTGCTGTGGTTGCTGCGATACAGTACCTGCTATACTCGCTGTAGTTGTCGTTGCAGGTGGTGCAGTAGGTGGTGTAACAGCCGCAGTGGCTTGCATCAGGAAGGGATTTTGATTGTAACCTACATTCATACGTGCTGCTGCCGCCGCCGCCGGATTGATGTAATCTGTTGGCTGTGCAGGCGGAAAATATGAATAAACCGGAGCAACAACCCTGAAACTTCAGATTGCAATGGATATTTTTGTTAATTTGCAATAGTTTTGATTATATCACGCTTACTTCAAGCTTAATCTTTCTATTTTTATGTCTATTTTGGAGAGTTTATTCCATAATAATAAAGTATCACTTAGTCTGGAAATCTTTTTTTAGTCAAAAGTTAAATGGTGAACTTACGGAGGGTAATAAAATGACTGCGGATTGCTGGGTATAAAACTGTGCGCACCATAAATGGCATTCGAATTATACATCGAACTAGGTGGCGCTGTCGGGTAAGCCAACTGAAAATTTAATGATAAATTCAATTTTTTTTCGAGAAACTTCGAACTCTTCTGGCAAACACATTTCTGATTTGTTGTAAAACTAGAAGTGCCACTTCAGTGAGCGTCAATATTATACAGCAATCTAACCTCAGAAGCAAAAATTAACGGACCTGTGAAGTTGGGTAATTCTGTTGTGTCTGAACTGGTTGTGTCTGATATCTGGCAGTATGTATTGTTATCTGATGATTACCTTGCTGCGGACGTGCACCTTCAACATGTGCTTCGCCCGCTGCAAATTGCATACTTGGATTCCTATAACACAATATATAAATCACTGATTTATCAGATACAATTGATTATATTGCAACTGCAAATCAAAAGGAACTACTTTTGTGATAGGTGGATGGTTTGTTTCCGAGTTACCATTTGAATAATGTTCAAATTTTAAGGTGATTGAAAAATTGGAAAGGGCGCAAAAGAAGTGAAACGAATACAGCGACATTATTACTATAACTTAACTTTGTTGGTGTATCAAACAGAAGGCCGATCTAGTTCCATTCTTTTCTTAAAATCTTAACAAACTTACGGAAGATTCCTCGGCGGCATCCGTGTAACAGCGGGATACTGGGCTGTAGTATGCGGTGGATGCGCACTGTCCACACTTGGTATAGCGAATGAAATTGGTTGCTGGGATGGCTGCCCAGCATTTCCGTTAACCAAAGGTTGTGGTGGCTGCCCGGGTGGTAGCACACCAACGGGTACTTGAGAACTCACAATGTGTTGGCCACCATAATCTGCAAATTCTATCTCCAAATCAATTAAAGAAAGACGTTTGTAAATGATATCTGGGCAAATTTTTTATTCAAAACGAAAAATTTTTCTTGAACCAAAACCTGCTACTACCTGCTAAAAAGATAAAACACCTATAAACAAGAACATAAAACACTACTGAACTCAATGCATACAGAATCAATATATCATTTTCGGTAGACCTAAATCTATCATTAGTTCACCTTTTTTATCATACCTAATAAATATATAACCAGTCCAATTGTCTTATTCAGTTTAACATGTGATAGTGTTTAATCCATAATTAGCCTGTCTCCCCCTTCATCAGATCAAAATCTACATACAATACTGATTACCTATTCCTGATATGCACACATAATATGCATAAAGAGATATAGCCCTTACATTTCTCCACCAAATTCGGGAAAAAAATGATATCAAAAGCATACATGATAAAAGAGAAAAAAGGAAAAAAAGACGTTTCTCGTCGATCTCATAAAATCGTTCTCGTCAGTCTCTTATTCTAGCACGAAAAAAAATATCATTACAAAGGAAATTTTTCAAACAAACCTGAGGGAGCGGTAAACGGCAAAATAGAACTATTCCAGCATAACATGAAGAATAAAAAATAGGACTAAAAACGAGCAGATTTTTGCGTTCAAGAGGATGGATCATTCCGTGAGAGGTACGGTACTTTTGACAGACAATGTCATTACCGAGAACATTCCTTATAGCAAATCATCTGAGTAACAACCTAACATCATTCTCGCTTGAGGATCAATCTGCTTGGTTGCTGCCACCCATCTCTTCATCTATTCATTCTTCAAAATCTTTTTTCCTTTTCTCCCTCTCCTTTATTCTTTAATTTCTCATGCTTTCTTTTTAGAATACTAGTCATCAAGTAAACAGCTAATAACAAACCCAAACTTCTATTTAGTTCTCTCTCTTATTTAGCATTTCAGTGGAAACATAAATAACATCAACCGAAATTACCTGGAATAGATCCATTTCTTCTTGGTTTCCCTCGCGGGTTACCACTGGACATATTATGTTTGAAATTCCTAAAAATTGAATTCTTCGTTCAAGTTAGTGTGGCATTAGTATATTATCGATTAATAATAGTATAATAAGTTACTTAATACGGAATAGAATAATCTAATAATAACAATGTTTCTAATTATAGATAAATACAAAGACAACTGTCAATATCGACAAGTAGATGATTAAGCTAATAACAAGTAGGCTAGCTCAAATAATAGATTATTCTAATTATAAACAAACAATGACAAATTGTTACTATCGACGGGGAATAGACGACTCCTCAATGAAAAATAAGTTGAATAAGTGAGACCTCATTAATCACAGGAAAATAAAACGGCTGCTAATTTGTGTTATCGACAAAACAAACTGCTAACCTAATGAAAAGTATATTAACCCCGATAGATCTACGGGTAAGACTCTATAATAAACATTCTTGTTTTTAGAATATAAGATACTTTTAGAATATAAGAGATTTGCCTATTTCATACTTAGCTGATTTGCCACTGTTATGTCTATCGACTTTTTTAAGCATAACTTAAAGAAAAATAAATTTTTTCTTCTACAAAAAAAGGACATCTATTTTACTAGATTTATAACCCAAAAAGTGCGAACGTATTCATCATATCGGTTCTGAAACAGAATTATTAATCCTTCCTTTTTATTTCTAAATAACAATCAAACTAGTTGATTAATTGGTTATTTCTGGAATATTCTTGGTAGCGCAACTCGTGAGAATGAAGCAAAAACTTTCTTCAGTAATCTTTCAATGACCCAGTTTACGGAACTAACATTTCTCAGATGTTAAGGAATTGGCACTAAATTTAGTCTTCAATTATAAGACATAAGAATGATGCTTAACAAAACTCATTTTAGACTCATTTTATATCCTGAAGCCTATATCTTATAACAACTCCCAAGCAGAAATTTGCTCATACCACTATGCTCACGGATCTCAGCAAACCTCAGTACCAACTTACCGGAAGTGACAAACACTGAGTCACCATTTTCCCTTTCCATTCCTTTATCTTTTAAGCAACCAAACATTTCGCTCATGTCTATTCTGGGCATGCTCATAGATTCTAACACGGAAACCTTAGTACCGTACCGTCACCGAAGAACATTCACCCTCCATCCACCCGCTTACCTCACTAAATAGTACATATACCATAATCTAGCTGTAGGCTTTCTCTTTATCGGATACAGAGCTGCAACACACAACATCGCGGTATGTTTGTAAAGGCTTAACGACAGAATGAAAATCATTCGTTTCACCTCATGTAAAAATGTCAGAAGGGTTGGAAATTGAAGTATGGCGTGTTGATGTATTTCTTGTTTGTTTTATGGGAAAATGACGAAGATAAGAAATGGGGAAGCCAAAAACCATGAATCATCAAGGAGAGTGAGAGAGAGAGGGAGAGAGAGAGAAGAGAGAAGATGAAACGATTACTTGTCATTTGGTCGTTTGACGTGTTTTTGGAGAAGGAAATTGTTCAGAATGTAAGTTATTAAAAACACATGATTGGCTGTGAGCATAGATAAATTAATTACAAATTCAGTGGTTCCTGAATATAAAGGCCTAATAAAGAAGCATAATTGACTTGGAAATGAAACAATGAATTTGGAATTGAGAAATATTCCATCCGGGAAGCAATGAGTGGAAAAAAAAGATTTGGATAGAACAGGTAAGAAAAGTACTGTTACATGAAATATCCTTCTATGATTTACTTTGCTTATAGAATCTCGTGTTATACGCTGTATGATTAGCGGAGATTTGTACACATAGTATAGCATATCATTTGCAAAAATTTACAGGTAATTTTTTAAAAAGAGGTCAACATACTCTTTCCGACGCGTTAATCAAAATTTCATGATAAATGTTAATAATTACTAACGATAATAAATTCTACTATTCAATTCTTTTACCATTAATAGCTAAAATGAAAAGAAAATGAATTGAAAGATCGATATAGATTATGTAATAAGGGTTATATTCTGTTCAAAATTTCACCTACTGATCATTACCGTATGCTTATTGGTCTTAGTAACAGTAATCCAATATTACAGATACAATCGTTGGAAAAATTCTGGAAGATTATGGCAAAAAATCATACTAATTCATTGTATGAAAATTGAAAATTCCATTCGTGGAAGATAAGATTATTTCCACTAAAGAAAAAAATATTTTTGAACGGAAGCTGATATTTTTATGTCAGGAATTTTTGCAAATTAATAATTTTCAGTCATACTCATAAGATTTTTGGAAAAAATCGAAATTTCAGGAAAAATTTCTTTTTCTAAGATTCGACACGACTATTAATAATAATACTATTAGAACAACATTTGAACAAAGAGTTTACTATAATAGGACAAAGAGTTTGCTATAATAGTTTACTATAATTTGAGTATCTAATCTGCGGACAAAATAAAATAAATTTTAAAATAGTTATTGCGAATTTCAACACATTCTTTTTTTTACAGACAAATTTTTTGTAAAAATTTAATTGAAAAAATTATCGCATCGTTACCAATTTTGTTTTTTTTTGTATGTTTTTTGTTATCAAGAAAAAACGATAAGAGGAATTTTGTTACAAACAATGTAAATTTGAAAATGAACAGAAAAGATAGGAAAAAAACCTGTGGAAAACTGGCATTTTGGCTTAGATGGAATATCGATCACGTATACTTACTTATATGAGTAAAGATATATTTATGCCTTTCTAACTATCTAACTATTTAAGGCCGATCAGCAACCTCAAATTTCATGGAAATGATTTAAAAGCTGTTTATTATTCGAAAATTTTTCGAATATTATTTGGGAATTTGCATAATTTCCGGATGAAATATGAGAAGAGAATGCCGATATTTATGCCTCCTCCATCCTTTTATTTTGAACTATACTTATTGATAGCATAATTTTCTTTTGCATCCCATTACTTTCTTAATATAATGAATCAGAGCTAATAATATCAGGCTCAACGATTCAATTTGGATGAAAGAGGTAGAAGGAGATGATGAAGTGGAGGTAAAAATGAGTAAGCAACTTATAGGTTCACTTCTCGTAGCAGAGTATTTCATTATTAAACTTCTACTATTCTCATTGTCAATTTTTTTCTCTTATTTGAGAAGAGGACGAGAAATACGATGATAAGAAAAGGAAATGATGTTGGCAGTGATTGCAATGTCATGCTACCGTGATGTAAGTATTAATATTGTTAGAGAGAAAAATTAATATGTAGTGAAGTAAATAATTCATTGTTTGTTATTTAATGATATTAATTATTAAATCGTTATTTTACTGCTAAATAATAAATGGTTGAAATGACATGATTTCTTTTTCACTTTCTTTTTTATGTCGTTTTTGAGATTCGCTGATTGTCATCCGCTTTCAAAGAACAAACTATATAACATAAAATAAGCAATGAAAGAAATTTGTTAAATGAGTAGAAAAGTTAACTTACAGATGTCGACGAATCATCCTTACAATCGGATGATCTCCATAAATTTCCCTCTCAGTTGGATGGCCTCCATAAATTTCCCTGTCGACCGGGTGAACTGGAATGTTTGGATGATTTTCTCTATCAGTCGGGTGAGTTGGACGATTTGAATGATTTTCTCTGTTAATCGGAGAAATTGAAGGGTTTGGTTGATTTTCTCTGATGATCTGATGAGTTGGAAGGTTTGGATAATTTTCTCTGTCAATCGGAGAAACTGAAGGATTTGGTTGATTATTCCTGACGATGGGATGAGTTGAACGGTTTGGGTTATTTTCTCTGTCAATATTAAAAGTTGAAGGATTTGATTGATTTCCTCTGATGATTGCATGAGTTGGACGGTTTGAATGATTTCCTCTGGCAATCGGATGAGTTGTACGGTTTGAATGATTTACCCTGACGGTTGAATAAGTTGAACGGTTTGGATGACTTCCTCTAACGATTGAATGAGTTGGACGGTTTGGATGACTTCCTCTGACGGTCAGATGAGTTGGCCGGTTTGGGTGATTTCCTCTGATGACCGAGTAAGTTGGACGGTTTGGATGATTTTCTCTGTCCATATCCAATTACGCTTCGTTCAATTTGTTGTATAATCTGGACGAATTTCTACTATCTCGAATTTGTTCTGTTATAAAAATTTTACAAGTTAAGATTTGAGATGTTAAAAGCATATTTCAGGCTTTGTTGAGATTTCATAATAATTGCTTGCAACGCTACAAGAAAAAAGAAGTTATTGATACAAAAAGAATCGTTATGGTCAAGTTCGGATCAATCACCAAACAATCAATTCCTTTTTTTTTTTACCAAATAATCAATTCTACAATTTCCTGATAAAATATTGATTAATGTTGGTTTAACGATCCTTTTGCATTTTTAAAAATTACATCTATAGAACATAATGATGGATCATTGCTATGATAATAGCAATACAGTACAGTATAGTACAGCACAACACGCTGAAAGAAAAGTGTGAGAACGCGGAAGTTGTATCGATTTTCTCAATTCATCATCTGTTTTAAGGCAGAAAAATGTCTTTTTTTGTTATATATAAAGGCTAAGTAAGGATTGCAGAGTATTTGATAAAATATATTTCACAAGAAAAATGATGTGATATCAACTGATAATGAAATGTCGAGTGTCGAGGAATGTAAATTGAACAAACCGATCGCTATCTCCAACATTCATCCGGAAATTTGATCGAATGGTTATGAATAAAACCAGTGAAAATAACAATTTTACGGATTTTATTTCTTAAACTGATGAATATTCTGTGATAACAATTTAAACCATACTAATAAGAACTATTTCCGACTTTTTACGTAATGGTTAGCAACAGAAAAGTAAAAAATGACGCAATAGAATCGTTAAGAGATGAGTTTATGTGGCCGTTGCATGTACCTAAAATAGTAGTGTAGGAGGAGAGATGGCCAGTCAGATGACCGCTGACCTCAGCGACCTGTTGTGTCCAGAACAACAACAGCAACTCTCTCTGAGGTCAACACATCATCATTCATTCTCTACTTATCGATTGCTTACTAGAATAGATCATAATATTCTGTTTGAGAACTGAAAAACTATTCTGCTATTTAATTATTGATCATCTTTTTCCATATTAGATATATTTTTGTAAAATTATTCATTCAAATCAGAAATGAATGAGATTTTGAAATGGCTTAAGAAAATTACCATTTCTTTAATGATATTATCACCCATTTTTAATTTATTTAAAAAAAGAAATTTATTATTTTTTTCTTATATTCATTTTTTTTTGTTTTAAATATTCAATTTTAGTATCGTCAGTTAATTTATCTTTGAATATTTTTTATTTTTTAAATAATATACAGCTGCTGCTGATTTTTGTTGTTTCCGTTTCTTCATTATCATATCATCGTGGATGTTAGTTTTCTGGTTATGATAATCATCGAAAATGATTTCATAGAGAAAACACATAACGTGACCAATGATTATAATAATTATACATATTGATAATAAATTCTGATCATAATTATAATTTACGATCACAGATCAAATTTTTAAACTTTAAATATTAGCATAATTAAATGCGATTAAATTTAATGACATAAGACATTATCTGGAATAAATTTTTAGAGCTAATAATGATTGCTAGTGAGAAATTTTAGTATCATTCAAATAGGCATATATAATTTCTTACTTTTTTTGATTTTATTCTTACCGGGCTTTTTTTGGAATGCTTTTGGCCATTATTATCTTTATCTTAAATTGGCTCTCATTAATTTTTAACTCATAGATTACATTTTTTTTTTAAAAAGATAAATCAATAAATTCCATTTATGTAATTTTGAAATGAAATTATAAAATTTGAAGTTTTCAGCATTGTTCTTTTAGTAATATTATCTTTTAATGCTTTCAGCAATTCTTCATATTTCAAATTACTGCAAGAAAGTGAAAGAGATTTGAAAAGGATAGCAATAAGCAATAATAAATTAATGAATGATATCGAAATTTATTTAGTGTTGATGATTTTCCACTTTAGCTTTTTGAAATATCCAATTTCTTTAGTTGAATTTTCATTGAAACTGAAAAATTGCTCATATAAAAGAAAATGAATTGAAATATGAATGTATGACATTTTTTTCCAACCGATAGACAATTAATCATCGTGATTGATGTCATAAAAATTGAAAGGTTACATTTTGGAATGTAAATTTGCTACTAATTTCATAATTAAAACGATGGGCAAGTTAGAAAATTGTTCATTGTAGTATTTCACCATTTTATGGAATTGTCGGCCAATAGATTATTTTAGAAAATAAAAGAGTTAAGGAAGTTGTAAGAATGGTATCGTTGAGTTCGGTCACTGATCGGTCACAAAAAATGTCCGTTTCAAGAATTATGAAAAGCAGGGTGTAATGATTTCATCTTTTATATCTTATCATTTTTTTGAAATCCTTTATTGAAGCGAGGAAAAACAAAAAGGATAATAATAAAATTGATTAATCAAGGAAGTTAATTTGATAATAATACATTTCTCAAATAAGCTGTTTTAAAATATCAATATACCTTTAATTGTCTATTACTTGAAACTTCAACTCTAAACAAAAGATATCCTACACATATTTCTTTTATAAAATCCTTCCTACTGAATTATTGCAAATTAAAATGAAGAAAGAAGAAAACAAAAGAATTCAAAGCGATTTTTAATAAGAAAAACATCTCACTTAATCCTAAATAATTATGTGAAAATAATCAATGAAAGATAACTAATAATAATAGTTTAAAATTAATAATCTTCCATAATATTTCAGTAGCACAACAAAAAGCTCAACAAGCAAAAATATAAATTTGGATGATACGCAAATGTCGAATGCATCACTGACCACAAGTTATGTTATTAAATCACAACGACAAAAACCGAAACAGTACAATCCTTTTAATTACCTACTTCCACCCATCTTAATTATAATATATTTTCTTTACATTAATTTTTGCAAGTATACATTTATTTTATTTCTTTGCAAATTCGGGTGTTAATTTAAAATTATCAATAACTAATAGACAGTCGATGATCAAAGAAAAAAAAAATTATTATTAAAATATAAAAAATAAATGTATTACTTATTCAAGCTATTGCTTATTCTTCGATTGCCAACAAATGAAATTTCCTTTATTTAAATTATTCATCTATTTGATTTAATTATTAAATTAACTTTGATTATAATTAAGAAGAATGATTGACAATTAAATCGTTTAAATGAAATTAATTATGAAAAATATTGCTAAAATTTGATGAAATTGAAATCATGAAATTTTTAATTTTTTAATTTAACTTTTTGTTTTAAATGGCATGAAACTATAGAGCAGTAGCTATCTACTTTACATTAATGAAACAACGACCGGAAATAGCAGTAACCGAAATGCTACTATGTAATGATGCCGATATACCACTGTTATTCAAGCTTTGCTCCGATACATCTTCAAGCATTACGGTAATACCAGTATCTGAATAAATTAGATGAGTTGTATCGATTTCATTTAATCCATGAATTTTAATATCAATCATCATTCTGTCAGATTGATGAAATGACTTCATCTCGAAAACGGTTGATGGTGGTTCTTTTCTTGATAGGCTACACCAGCCGGAAGTGGTTGCATTCCGCCACGCGCAGAACAACGTTGTTTCCTGACATGGCGACGATCAAAGCAAATTCAGCAAGATATAAAAGCACCCAAATTAATACTTATTACAAATTTTGTTGAACAGGAAATTGATGACAATCAAACGGTGGTAACCAAATTGATAGGTAATAAAATCGCCTATCTATGATTAGATAAAAAAGTTAAAAGCAATGAGAAATTGCATAAAATACATATTATATCATCGTAATATGCCTGAGAGTCTTATATATCTTTTAAATAAATTGGCCAAAAGATTTGGTAATAATTGAAATTTATATTTTTAAATTTTCACTTTTTACTTCCTTTCTATTTCGTTCCTACTTCTTCTATAATTGAATCGGTAAGAGTGGATTTTTATCACTGGGATTACTGTAAATAGAATAAAATAATACAGATAAACACATTGATTAGGACATCAGTTTATCTATTATTCTATTCTGTTGACAATCGCTTTTCTATGAGAACTTTAAAGTATTATTTTCATTCAGAATAAATTCTTCACAGCACATTAATTAATGCTTAGTATCGTAATGTGATAATTAAATTACAGCACGGATACATTCAGAAGAAAAAGCAAGGGGAGAAATACCCTTAATGAAGTTCACATTCGAAAGAAAAGAAATAACCTCGCCCTCTGAAACATTAAATTTTCGTACAGATAATGTTGCTGCGTAAGTTGTTTATCTCTTTCCGTTTTTCTTAATTGTAAAATGAATGTTGAATAGTTTTGAAACACAAGCAAATCTATAAACTATTCGAAATATTGACTTCAATTTATTTGATCATTATTCAACGCCGTATAACTAACTTCCTGAAAATTATTTAATATAGTCACATGATCTCTCGAAGTTCAAACAAACTACATAACATCTACAAATTAAATTTTCCATCCATTCCTAGACATTATAACGGATCCACCCCAGACAAAATCAATATCTGCAAGTATATTATCGTATTATCCAGTTATGCCTGTTAATATTGTAACAATTCAAACCGGAATTTCCAAAAAATTCCAGTAACAACTCCAACTGGAATTCCATTGATGAATTGTTTCTTTCATTCGCAAAAATTCATTCGTTGAATTTTACGAATGTTTCAAGTTGATAATAGAAGAATATTGATGACGAATATTATCTGGTTATAGGCAACCGATTGAAATGGATTATGCTCGGGTGGAAGCGTTAAAAAAGTTAAATCATTTCATTCAATGGTTTCAACGACATCCTTTAGAGACTATGATGCTATTGTTATTCTTCATTGCATTATTTGTCGCAATCTTTGATTAAATTCAATAAAATAATTGCATCCTTTTTCTCTTAAAATAATCCAACTATTCCTCACTGTACTTTCCTTTTTTAGATGATTATTTTTTTTCTTTCCACATCTGAACATTTTAGCTTTATACTTTGAATTATCTCGGGAATACTGTAGGCATTTGTCACATTTTCGAAATAAAATCTGAATTTAATGAATTGTAAGAATCTGTTTGTTAGATAGAACAAACATGTTAATGCATTACAATTCCATTAAAGTTGTATCCTGTAATTTCGCTCAATTTCTATATCATGTCCAGATAAGGTCAAGTTCTGTAATTTCGCTTCATTTATGCATAAATATCTGCGAATGTTTATGAATATTAATCTTCGACATTATCATTCTAGAATTATAACTCACTATCCCAGGAATTCAAGACATGTTTTAGTGCCCGAAATTGTACATTGATGATTTAGTAAGCTTTTCAGTTAGCTCAGGTCTCCAATCTACAGGATGTGATACTATTATATTATGTTTAATATTAGTTATGAGGCTTAAATTAATCACCTCTTCCATTACATTTTCCACAGATCAATCTTAAGAAGGTTTCTTCGCTCGTGGGATAAATCAAATTTAAGATCAGAGAAATGTCACACGCCATGTGACGCCACTCAATAAAACAACGCGCGCAACCATCTTTTATGGAAAAGAAGAGTAATTGGTATTTGCCGGTTTGCCGTTGTTTCAGTGAATTCGCAGAAATCTCGGTGTGTTTTTTTCTTTAATTTGGTATTGCTCTAGGCCATTTTTCCCGGGTGGTGGTCATCTGGCGATGCTTTTTATAAATCCGACGGCTTCATATGTTTAATACCGACTAGAATAGGAGTAATGAAATGAGAATAATTACGTGGAATGATGAAAAAAGGGTCAAAGGATAAAGGTTAAGATCGGCTAAGAGAAGTTGCGCAGATGTTAGAGATCATACATCGTATATTACACGTTGACACTTTTGAATAATTCCTGTTGCACTGTTTGAAGCTTTTTGCAGGATTCGATTGGCAGTATGGTAGAAGAAATAAGTTGTAATAGCAGTAGTAGCAGTATTAGTAACTTCAGTAACGATACTAATAGTAAGGTATCGTATTTGTCGAGTGTAAAAAGCAGTATAACATTTCGATCCGGTGTATTCCCGGTGTCGTCTCAGATTACGTCGTCATCCTTCTGTAGTGTCATAACTGATCGGTCCAAGGTATGCAATAGAAAATTTACAACATAAATAATGCTGTAATATTGTCTTTAGCGCTTTTATTAAGTTTATATCAGCAGCAATAAAAATTTAAGTGGATTGAAGGTTCAAATTCTGTTAGAGTCAAAGATCTATCTGAATATTTTTGATAGGTGGTTATGTTGATATTTAGGTTTGCCGATATTGCTTGTCAGATGATGATATTAGTGATTGGTTGGCACCATGTAAGTGTATTGGAACGATGAAGTGGGTTCATCTGAGTTGTTTCGAGCAGTGGCTTTCCTTTGCGCCTTATACTATGAAATACAGTTGTGCTATATGCAAGTAAATGCTTGTCTTTTTGATTGTTTAGTGTAATTAAATTTATTTCAATAATTCATTAATATGTAGTAATATAGTGACTGTTAGAAGGAGCCCATACATTGCATTGTTGTTGTTGCTGTTGTTGTGAACTCAGAGTTTCCGATTCCCGTCACATTTGAAGCTTGAAATTATATGAATGGTCATGCTGACAAGGCTTCGGCTGGCCAGCTAATATAGTGTTTTACCGTTTTTTGGTTTTCTTTTTAAGAGTTTGTTTTCCTATTCATAATTCTACGGATGAATAATAAAACAATTCCAGTTATGTGTATCGGCGTCAGTGGAGATTAAAGCCTTACAAACATTGGCATTGGCCGCAGTTCCATCTGCGGGTATCCGATCTATTCGGAATATATTTCGATATAACTCTGACTTATCGCATATATCGCTATTTCCCACGTTGTTTGGATAATAGGGTTACGTTCTTTCTTTATGTTAGCTATGTTTTGCTTTGGAAGATAGTCGTTCTCAGTAGAATAAGACTTAACTTTTACTCAAATATTGTATATAATATTATTACATCGGTATGCTCTTCGACGGTGCTTGATGCATTGTAATTGTTTTTATTGTTTTTTGTAGGTGCATCATGATGTAGTTTCAGTAATTTTTAGACAACACCGTTGAAACTATTTTTGCTGCTGCTGAAATAAGTACCCTTGAATCCAAACATTGATTCTCATCTTCACTAACCCGGTCTTTCCACTCATTTCAAATTATTTTTGGTCGTTTTACACATTTTTAATTGTTTTTGGCGGTTTATTCATTTTAAATTGTCTTTCAAATTTCGTTATTGTTAACCGAAGTCTTTCGAATGCCTGTTGCATAAAAGTTATAGTCTATTACATAATAATTATGCCTTCTAGTGTATGGAAAGTCATTTAGATATTATTCCCATTCGTTTGAGAAAGGAAGAATGATAGATATCTTTTATTTAAACGAAATATCTGTGTCTTGTTATTATCATTTTGTTTTACTTTTTTTTACTGTTTTGGTGGCGAGAAGGTTACTTTAATGTCTTTTGTATATTCGGTTTTCTTTAACAGGATGATTATCGAGTTTCATGAGTTGGGACTTGGGACCATGCACAGTTCAGAACTTTATCTTGTCATATAACGTTTGCATGGAATAACTTGTAGATACATGATTGCCATGGAAAATAGATCATTGAATCCGTTTAGCGATCTTCACCTCGAATAAAAGTGAACACTCATTTTAAAATGAAAAAGCAAAGTTTGGAATACATCATATTATTTGATATAGGTCGCTTATTTTTACTGTATTGTTTTGTGAGTTAAATAACTTTCATATATCTGGCAATGATTATTAATGAGAAAATAATCTTATCTTACTTTAATTTAAAATTCCAAAAATTGTCTTTATATTTCTGCGGTGCATCAATACGTGTATTATGTATTATGTTGTTTGATGCCTACCCGATCTTTTTTAATAAATTAATGAATTTGATGTGGTCATTTTGAGAGTGTAGCAAGGTCTTTTTTCCGTACAACATATTCTCCCATATTTTCATAGTTTTTTAAGCCTGGTTAGGCATCACCGCAAAATAAAAGATATGTTGAATTCTTCCTCTATTAAGCTCAAATATAAAAAAAGAAACTATACAGACAGTATCTTGTCTGTATGTTTACCTTTTTAAGATCTGAGCTTAATAAAGGAAGAAAGGATTTTCTGTACTTGTAATTAGATATCTTTACTTAGTTATAAATACTCCAGTTCCCTATTGATGAGTGCTTCAAGGAAGTAGTTGCGCGCCTTGGAACTATGAAAAATGATAACTGGGAGGTAAGCGAATCATTCGATGATGGATCCAGTGATGGAGATCAATCTCCACGGACAAATCTGAAGGTAGTATTGGTGATTATTTTGGTTCACGCTATTTTTATAGATAATTAAGAAAAAACAGATGGTTCTTATTGGTATTACAGATAACGCTGCTTTTTTATAGATTTGCAGATTTTGTTATGTGGAAGGGTCGGGTGAAATTGATTGGCTAAGACCTTGTAAATGTTCCGGTTCAATATTATGGGTTCATAAGCAATGCTTCAATTCTTGGCTGGGAAAAGCTTCTGGAAGGAGCAAAATACAATGTCAAATATGCAGGTAAAATAGTTTTCAAATGCATTTTGAGAATTTTACCGTTATGAGAACAAAATTATTACTTCAAGTTAAAAAGTACTGAGGAGTTTTAAGTGTTGCAATAAAAACGCATAACTTCTGACAGATAATCTTCGGAACTTAAAATTTTTCTACTTATAAGACTACTTATCCGATAGAAAACTCCAGCAACACTTTCCAGTGGATGTTAGCTTATCGCTGCGACATTGCAATTACAGATTTTATTCTATTAAATATCACTAATACCCGAAGTTCAGCAGGTATTTGTTCTCTCTGCTAGAATTCATCGAGATATTATTACAGATTCACATACAGAAAAATGTTGTTTCTCAAGCCCTGGAAAGAATGGTGTCTTCCGGATTTGCATTTGTCATTTGTCGATGTGTTAGAATTGCTATTCGATGCTTTCATTTTATACCGAATGAAATTTGTTCATACTCTTAATAGGCCAACCTCGATAGTAGGTGGAATTATCCGAACTTCCTACATTTTTCATCGATTTGGCTTTTATGTACGAGCATTTTCAACTGTTGCATCTTCCTTTTTCACCGTTGTCATAATTGATGCTGTTTGACTGAGGTTGGATTAATTTAATGTTTTCTTATTAGAAAAAGTTTCTGAAACATGCTGGAAGTGAATCTAATTTTATATACTTCCCATGTATCACAATACATATCAGTATATTTTTTTAATGAGATATTGATAGAATCCATAAAGCTAATTTGAAATCAAAGACCTAAAAAAAACAATATTCATGTTTTCAATATAACGCCGCTGATTTTGCGAATGAAAATTGAAGTCGATAATTCGAAGATTAAGATAGCGAGAATTGATAAGGCAACTGTAGTTTCCGGTATAGACAATATGTTGGAAAAATTTGAGAAATATTATAATGTACAAAAAAGAAAAGCAAGGAATTCATAAGTTAAAACATAAATTAACCAACATTTTAAGCTCACTTTGAAACTCACCTGTTTGTTGTGAATGCATATCAGGATTTATAAGGCCAAATTTTGTCAATTGCAAAAAAGTTGATGACTTTGTATGGAGCTGTTCAAGACAATGCCTGTTCTTTTTAGCCTTTAAAGATTATTCTAACTTGGAGTGCTAGGCTGCTATCTTTTATCCGGTTGAGATGTTATCATCTAGTCTATTTGGCCAAGTATATTGCAATGAATCATTTTAAAACGATTAAAATTCTTAATCAATATCTTTTCCAATTCATTAATATGCTTCAAAATATATAAATCATTTTTGTTAATCAGTAATTATACTAATTGTTATCACACATTTTCGTATTTATGGTCCTCTTCATTTGCTTCCATTGTTCCTTTTATTTGCATTTGTTTCATGTTTAGAGAAAAATGAAAGAAAATCTACGCTGCACACTGCGTATTTAATATCATTCCCAATAATATGAAAAAACTATATTATGAAAAAAATTATATTAGTATATGAAAAAAAAAAAAACTATATATGCTTATATTCTTTATTTGAGTACGATTATTTGCCGTAATTCTTGTCAGGTTATATAAACTAATAGCTGTTAAACAAAAATGATCATCGTGGGGGACCGTTTTGCAATATTTTTTTAATCAAATAATTTGGTTTGAGCAATGTAGCATATTTCGATTTCCGCATGCCTAATCGATCATTCTAGTAGATGGGAAATTATTTCCCTAGTGATACGATGATTTTGACTCAATTTCTCCCTAATCATAATAAAGTAGAGAGGATGACAAGCAATAAACAGGATCAAACAATTTTGGAATGGTTGTTTCAGAATGATTGCGGATTCGTGATATAACCGAATGAGAAAATTCGGTCTAGGAGCACAGTCAATTCGGTTTATTGGCAGTGACTATATCTCTTCAAATATAAGATACTGTAATTATTACACCGTTGAAGTACATTTTCATTTTAGATGTTTGATGATTTGAGGGATCATTTGTCGAAAAGATTAGTATCGCTAGCATTATGGGCAACTGATGATCCTAGCTCATTTTTTGTAACTCTACTGTTATGCATTACACCGTTTCTACTGCTTACTATTGTCCTATCGTGGAAACTTCGTAAGGCAATCAAAGTAAGCTTTTATTGCATATTTTAATGTATCAAAAAACTGGGAAATAACTATTTCTTGGAAACATATCATAAAGCAGAAAAAACTGAGAGATTTCAAATCATTGGATCTTACGACTATATTTCCTGATCGAACACTAAGCTATGCCATATGTAAATTATACCGAAAGGAATCTTAAGTAATTGTAAAAGAAAAAATTCTATTATGGAAGGAAGATATTTTTTTTATTTATTTTTTGAAATAATTTTAGAAAGAAAAAAGACGTGAGAGATTGCAGAAAGGCAATGTGCGACGTAAGAAGAAAGAATGAATAAATTATATACGGTCTGTGAACAAGACGTCATAAAAATCGGAAATTACAGTTTTTTCTTTCCTGTTTCCATTAACTCATTTTATCGAATTGAATTTTTGATATCAAATGTGTTATTCTTTTTTTCAGTTCGTTCATGGATAATCAAATGTTCGACACATAATTAACGTTAAATTGACATGCCACATACTTCAACTATCACTTGTTTTTAAGTGATTTCCCGAGTGCTACCGTAAGAAGATGCTTCGAGAATTACCAGGAGGAAAATTATGTTTTAAATACGGATCCCGCTCCGTTTGACATTTTAAACAAAAAACTACAAAACACTCGAACTGATCACAAATTTTCTGAGCTTTAATAGTATTCAACAGTGAAATGATTTACAATCAAATTCATCTTCATAAAATAATTTTGTAAACCAGTAAACAATCCTATTTGCTTATCAAATTCTTATCTAAAAGTAATTCTAATCCATTGTTCCTATTCCAATCTCTCCCTTATAGTTTAAATACTTTAATCGGAGACATTAGTATAATATAGTATGTATATTCCAAATATATATTTCGCTTTGACAAATCATCGTTTACCTCATAAATCTTCTAGAAATTTGACCAATTTTTGAGCAATTTTATGATGTACAAATGTTGATGGGTACCACTGATTGTGATAAGCATAATCGAATATCTTGAGTGACCTGAAATTACTGATACCTAAATACTATTGGTAAATGATATCTGTTGAACAGTTAGAGTGGATGAAACATTGCATAATTCCTTTGCTTATCGTTGACGTAGAGTTCCTAAGAATGAATCTTTATCTCTGTTACTCTAAACTGGTCATTCGAAAAAAACTAAACTGAGAAGCCGTCTACGTACGTCATATTACTTTGTTGATACGTGAATGGTTCATTTGTGTTCAACCCTCGTGTCGCATCAATAATGGCTGCATTCAAATCGAACAGGCTAACTTGTCGATTTTCATATCCTTCGGTTCTTATCAACCTCCAAAGTTCCTGAAATAAACCCAAATTCATATAAAAGTCTTGCGCATTCAGCCTAATCCTATATTGCATAAAGCTTCCTCTTTTAATAATGGCTGCGCTGATAAAATGTCAGCATTTGAAGCGTATTTTGTTAATATACTCATCAACGTACCAAATTGATACGTGAAATCACTGGAGATATATCCAAATCGTTATTTCCACTTGAGATAAACATCGTATAACCAGGTGCTTTATATGGATCAACCAAATTCATAATTACTATATTACCTGTAAGGTTCACAATCTGAAAGCACTGATAAAAAGGAAACATTCTCTTCCTTTCTCTCATTTAAGAACGCCGCAATCCTAATCCGAATTATAAAAGTTTGTGAAACAGAAAACTAATAATGATGGGACACTTTTGATTAATTAAAAATTGTGCTACCTACGACCATTCTTCTTTCCTAGTATTACATGAACCTCCTAAATTTTTTTCTAATGTTTTAGATTTTAAATGCAGATTATTGAAATTATTGATTTTAAATATCGAAATTATATTTCAGTCAGTTCACAAACAAACCATTATCCATAGTATTGATTAAGCCTGATACGGCATGTGCTATATTCTCATTAATCTTATCAACACTAGTTGATCCATTATTATTCTTTTGTTGTAATATGAGCTCTGATAATCCACCAGCTTGTAGAATGATCAAGGAATCTGAAAATCGAAACATAATTTTTATCTCAATTTGCTGGACGAAACTTGTAGCTAATAGAAATGTAAGGCACGGATATCGTGAAAATGAAGTAATAAAATAGCTAATAGCAAGATGAAAACAAAGAGATAAGACTAAGAAAGGGATTTTCAAAACGATATTATAGCCAAATAAATTAGATTGCAACTTCAGAGAAGGCCTTAATTATTCCCATAAGTAGTATATTAAATATTAAATAAAATTTGTATTATGAAAGGAAGCCAACTATTTAATTTTACCCTTTAGTATAATACGACGACTCATGAAGTGATGTTCGATTTGCCATAATATTCCCGACCAATCTGAGAAAAACACATTGCTGTAGTCACTTCTTGCTCCACTATATGCATAATTGGTATACTAGAATTGGATAAAAATTTATCAATCAACAGAAAAATTCTCTTCTAACAAAAAGATAAGATGGGAATCTTTTCCACTTTTTTTAAAATTATTCCTAATCTTTCACATCACATCGATCAAAAAATTCACAAATAGTTAAATATTCGATCTTAAATCGAGAAGAATCGCTAATGATACTAGTATATTATTTAAAAATTAGCGAATATAGAAATAACTTACCTCATCACATTCAAGCATTTTATTTAAATATTCCGGCCATACCGGACCGTTTGAATTCCTTACGAAACCATGGGAATGAACGCTGAATTCGACACCGTCATCCGTTAAATCATCACCAAAAACGATTAGCTGTGAGCATGGCACATTGTGTGGCTGCAAATATGCATTAACATTTGAAAAACTTCATCAAATTTTGTTTAAATTATTCACAATTATAATTCGGATATTTTTTTGCACATTTAAAAAACTTAAGTAAGAAATGAATTTTGAATTTAATATTGTTGTAAGGAGTAGCATTATTTATTGAATTGTTAAATAAAGTTAATTCTCTCAAAAATGATTCCAATTACACATTTGATAATTAATGTTGACAAAAGAAGAAGTTGATATCAAATCAATTCATTCAAATTCATTCACTAATGATTATTTTGCTAATGACTAACTTAACTTATTCTTATTCATTCAACATACGATATTGTCAAATAAAATGAATGAGATTTTTGAGCCTCAAATTAAACATTTTTTGCAAAATTTGAATTTTATTTTAACTGATAAAATCACTGATGCATCTCAAAACATTAGAAATTGAAGCTTAATGATAAATAGAAATCTATTTAAATGATAAATTACCAACCTTATGAGGTAAGTTAGATGAAGCAAAATTTGATATTATAAATGGTAATAAAAGCAAGCTCACAAGCAACCTTATCATAATATTACAATCTCAACTAAAGAAAAGGAAACGAATCTATTTGATTTTCCTTATTTGCTTGCCTTCGCTTTATTCGTGATTTGGCGAACACCGGTACCACTTGTTTAAATTTTTTATTCCTCGGGATTAATATTGATCATTTTCCTATCCTGCTGACAGCTGCACAAATTTTATCAGACCATTTGTACTGCTCAACTTTTTGTTTTATTTTAACACACATTTTGTACCATCCTCGATTACTACCGCGAACATATATTCACTTCCTGCTCCAAACATTTGTTCCGTTCATTTCAATCGGTCATCTATTACAATAATCATCAAACAAAAAAGCTTATTCAAATAATTCCCGAAAAGTCATAGGTATCATCTTTTACGATCATAACTAACTGTTACGATAAAAGCTATTTAACTGAAGATGCCATATTCAATTATTCAATAAACCACATATTATATATCCGAATTGAATGTATAATATGTGGCTTAACATGCATGAAAAAAAGTAATTCTGAAAAGTTCATGGGTTTAGAATCAATTTTCGTTTGAAATTTTCCAAAGCGAAACTATACCGAGCATTACGGAATATGTCAGGATCACAGGACCATATCAATGAGCAATTAATGTTTATCAAATATTAACAAAAAGAGTTATAATACTTTTTATAGCAATAGAAAATATTGATATGATCCTAAAACAGAAGATCAGTCTAATTTTTTCGGGGCAGCAATATAAAAACCATTCAACGGATATTAACTCTTAATAAGACAAGACAAGACATTTTTTAAGAGCGATATTTGATAAGTCTTCTAATCTTTTCTGGAAGATAGAGTGGAATGTTGAACGGTGAAAAAAAAATAAAGGAATAGCGAAATTATAAATATCTTTCAGAGAGAGAGAGAGAGAGAGAGAGAGAGAGAGAGAGAGAGAGAGAGGGAGAGAGAGAGAAAGAGATGAGTGGAAATATAATAATGAGTTTTTCATTGAAAATTTTACCGCTGCCCAAATAAGAACAGTTGACATCAAAGTAATTATGAGATTTCATCATAATATGAATTTCAAAAAAAGAATGAAAATAGTAAAATTAGGCTTTAACAAAGTAAAGTATGACAAATCTGAAAAGCCACGAAATGATCATTTGCAATGAATTTCACATTTTCACTCTTCCCACCATTCATTCATTACCTTTCTTAATCGATAAGTAATTCAATTTATCAATGAATACTTATCATTATCATCTAGAAAAATCACTAATAATAAAGATGGAATTAGAAGAGAAAGAGAAAGAGGAAGAGAGAATGACTAAAATTAGATGAAATTTAATGATAATAAGATAAAACTTTATTTTTTGGAAATACTTCTTTTGATAAAAACAAAAAGTAAAAGAGAAAGTTTTGATAAGAAAAATGAATGAAAAAGATGGAAGAAAAAAGGAAAAGGAATATTACTAATTCATTTATAAATCAAATGTAAAGAAAAGAAATGGAGAGGGAGAGAGATAAAGTGATTCTTCCACAAAAGAAATTCCTTATTCAATATAATTATATCATTATATTAAATTATACCGAATTCAATAATTCTTAATATCCTCTTGAAATTGAAACGTTCATATGCAATAAGCTTCAATAGAGTATATTTTTAATTCGAATAAGTTGCTATTGCTATTATATAACATACAGAGAAAGAAAGAGAGAACATATTTCACTAATACTATGAATGGCAACAATTCCCTAGTATCGGATACAAATGAAATTCGTTTTTTGTATTTTATTCAAATCATTCTTCCATTTTCATCTTCGATTTGACTACAACATAAATAACTTTCAAAATTTTAATTACAAATTAGTCCATGATTTGAATAACACAATAACACAATTTATAACACAATTTAATAACACAATTTAAATACAAAAATTTCACTTGTATCCGATACTTTAATCTTATATAGCGAGAAGATATATGAGCTCAAGTTCAAATTGTATTATTTTCCAGAAAATATTATTTGAAATTTTTTAATTTGTAACTTCAGGATTTACATATTCCTTCGGGATATTTTTTAGTTAAAAAAGAATTCGAAAAGAAAAGTGAAGAATAATACAATCAGATACATTGCGTCAAATTCTTCAAAATAATTGAAATCTTCATTTCGATTATCCTAAAGTATGTTTTCAATATTGGAGGAAATACATGAATAAATTACAAAAAGTATATAGAAACTTCACTAGTGATATTTGACGTATTATTATTATTAATAAATTTCTGTTATTATCATACGCCAAAAATTACGAAATTGTTATCATTGATTGTATCTATTGTGAACTTACTATTGGAGGCACATTCAAACTATAATAAAAATTCATTCCGGTAGCGTTACTGCTTACACTACTCCCTTCGAAAGACCATTATCATTTTAATGAAGTGATAAATTCATTATCAAGTATTATTACATTATACGGCTAACATTTGCTAAAGTGACCGAGAAAAAAAATTACAGATCTGAGAAGATATTTCAGAGTTCCTGAACAAGGAACGTTTTTTTCGTATTACTAATTGCTTCAGCTTCCTATCCTCACTTGATACGGTTAAAATTAACCATCAATATTCTTGTACTCTTCAGGTTTGATCTTACTTTTTTTAGCGGTAATATTGATGATAACACAAAAGAAAGAACATAAAATAGTGGAAGAATCAATTATTGCACGAGGACAATGAGGGAAAGAGAAAGAGGTGACAGAAGCACTTGGAGGAATAACCGAAATTGAGAAAATATCTCGAGATGATCGAAACCACTGATTAACAAGGAATAAGTAAGGATGATAACTCTTTTAGTAACTTTACATATCGGCTAAGGAAATACCACGCTCAGCATTAAGTCCTGGGTTAGAATACAGTAGTTTAGTAGTGAGGTTCATTCCAAAAGTTCTCTCCAATCGTTCCAATGGACTGTGCAAGTGAAGTTTTAGCAACAATAATATTAAAAGTAATGATAGTATATAAATGTCTGAGAAGTTTCATTTTGTAATATTTCCGAAATGTAATATTTCCATACAATTGAATTACAGTCATGTTTGCATTATAAATCTTCAACGTCTCCATAAGTCCAAAGAAATTTGTGACTTCCATAAATACTGCAATAGTACGTCCATACTACAAGTCCATATCTCCACACTAATACAAATGGAAAGAAAAAAGCGACCTCATTTCATATTTCAGTATGCTGAAGTATATGATACCTTTTACATTTAGATCGACAAAACTTCATGTAAAAAAGCATCGCTAAAGAAAAACAAGTGAAATACATCGAAAGCGAGAAAGTGATTGTAAATGATATAAAAAATGGTTTCTGTTTCAAGTTTCGTATTAGATAAATATTCAAATACTACTCTCCTTTTCTGACTGTAAAAATTAAAAAATTCATTTGGAAAATACTACGCCCAGTTAAAATGGAAAAGATTGATGCCAGGTAAAATATCCAAAAATGAAAGAAAAGAAATTCAAGAATAAAATCTTGATTAACCCCACAGTATGTTCCAAACTCCATGTTGGGGAAAAAACAAACATCGAGAGAAATAAACTTGTTTGTCCAGTTTTTTTATTACACCAACCCCTAACCAACTTATAATAACTAAATTTCGCATGTACATAAACAACAAATACACGCTGTTAATGAGGTTAAGGAGGTGGTATTCTCGGAAAAACCGGTAATATAGTATTGTTATACTGTGAGTTAGTTGGGATAAACGTAATCGATGTCTGCAACTCCAAATTATTTACTAACTGAACTGTACGTGGATCACAACGCGGAACTATTGAATCCGATGCCAGCGAACGAGTCGATGCCCTTAATAAGTATACAGAATTTGCAGTTTACATTTTAAAGTAAAAATATATTATCAAAGGAAAGATGTCGCAAATGTATTACTTAACCACGTATATTTGTCAAAGGATTTAAAAAATGGACATTGTAAAAATCTTTTTAAATATAAAATGAGAAATTACTGGATTTACAACTGCCAAAATTCATACCGGTACATAGGCGTGATTTCATTTTACTCAGTATTTAAATTTTAAAATCTTCTTTTAAGAAACACTTTAAACGCTTAAAAGCTGAAAGCAGTTTTGTTGCTTTGCTTTAAGCAATTTCATTGGTTTTAATGGTATTAACATAACGACAATTCTAAATTATCAATTTACAATACCCCGAGTTCTTCATCATCAACTGTCGAGTTCTATTCAGTTCTTCCAGCAATTTCCGGTTATTGTCTTCTGAAATAGAAAACTTTAGGTACAAAAACTCCAATTCTAAATCAAAAAAACGATAAACTTATTGCTATTATTAATAAGATTTGTCTGCTTGCTTATTAACTCAGAATGTCAAGATGCGGCAAACTTCGGAATTCATGAATGGAGAACTGATAATTGCGTGGTACGATCTCCTAATATTACGGTTTTCAGTCCTTATTAATCATCTATTTGACTGAAAAAAATATATTACTTTGTCTTTCAGAATAGTGTCATATTCCATAAGTAACGTTCCTTCCTACAATCATAACTGTTAGCTGTTTTTAGAACAAAAATAGATTGGTCGATTATCGAGACGCAATCCCGAATTTCTGATTTTTACCAGCCGTTTGACAGACTGTAGAACACACTATCTACTTCATGCAATACATCACCTAATACAGTGATGCCACTTATTACAAGTCTCTATTCTGGACTCAGTGAAGGAGGGTTAGAAGAAGCGCTATGACTAGGAAAAAACTGAAAACAGCAGAAGTTAAACTAATATAATTGCCCAATTTTAAGGTAATTGTTTCGGCCCACAGTTTCTACTGCTGTGGCTTGAAGTAAAAATTTTTTTCTTCTCGACATATGATAGTCATCATAACACAAAAATGGAATGAAACCTGACAAATTGTACCTTGTTTGGAAGAGGCCATAATCTGAGAAGTAATGAATCTTGCACCATGTAAATAATTCACGGAAGATCTGAAACAAATAATACAAGTTTTTCAAATATTTTTCCATAATAGCAACAACTAACAAAAGTTACGACACGAGAGAACCTAAAAAGCAACTGCTCATATCTACATGACGCACATCGCTGAGATTCAAAAATTTTATTCTACGATATAACAGTCCTATTTTTTGATGCCTCTAAAGCAACAACACGTCGATATTCTTTGTTCGACAAAAAGTCAGATGTATATAATCGTGTACGCATTACGACATCATTACGAAACATAATGTCAATAAAACAACCAATATGTTATTTGTTGTCTTCATTGATAGTACATTTGCAACGAATAATGAGGTGAAACAGATGCGTTCACACACATGAAGCAAAAAAGCTACTTGTAAATCTACAAATTTATAAAAGCATTTTGAAATCTACAATTCACTTTAGCTTTCCACAAAGCGTGTATAAGAATGGGTAAAGTATTCAACAGTTAAGAAAGCATGATGAAGAAAAATCGTGCACGCATGTACGACGATCTCATGCATGCACACACAAGAACGCAATCCTTATTCAATCCTGCATGCACTCGCAAAAACGCAATGCAAGTCATTAGAACAAAGTTCATAGCTCAAATTGCCGGAGTTTAAATTTCCGCCTTATCGTATCGCAGAATTTTTTCTTGCGTGAAATTTGAGAATGGTTAATCGATGTGTTGTAGCGGAAAAGTCCCGTGATGAAAGTATGACGTATGATAGGTTTAGGCTAGATGATTTTTGAGGAAGGTTTTCGGTGAAGATGAATGCGTGGATGGGATTGAAGTGAGTGGTGAGTGACGGGATATTGTAGTATTGGATTAGGCTATGTGAATATAATATTAGTGTACTACAGTTATGACATAAATACTTGGAAGTTTAGTTTGTAGTATGTATTTAGGAAATGTTTGGCTATGTTTATAGTGCGAGGAAGTTTTGAGAGTAGCGTTATGTAATGTATGGAATGGTGTCGTGCTTCCCGGATATTCCGAATAGTTAGCCAGCGTCATGTGGACAGTATTACTGTTAGAAAACCTTATAATCTAGAAAGATTATAATTCTGATATCTGAAAATTGCAGAACCTCCAGAAATGTTTTTTTTTTTTTCGGAGTGAAATTAGGGCTAACTTCAGTTCACTAACTATTGAATGGGATACGGTTTTCGGAAGTGAAGTCTGTGTAGCTGCTGCCTACTGGCATATTGAAAATGCGAAGCAGAAGCTTGTAATGTAAGTATTAGGTAATTGTATGATTTTTGAGGAAATAAGTTAGGAATTGATTGTGTCGAATAATCATAAGTGTCACAATCACTAGTGAAAGTTACTTCTCTGGTATCACTTAAATCTGTTAAGTCCTGTGACATATTTTCGATGATCGATCAAGAAACGCGTTTTCTTCTCCACTGGCACTGTATAAGCCTATTTATGAAATGAACTGCTTGAGATGCTTACTATAACCCTGCAGGGTCACTTCCCAAAATATCGCAACAGTGGGTTAAACCTAATAGTGATGTCACTTGAATTTAACGTAAAGCTCTCAAGTTCAATCGTACTCCTTCATGATAGCTATTAATATCACGTGTGGCATGGGAAACATTTGTATTTGCTTCACTCTGAACTATTTAATTTTTAGACTTACATCGGCTGTTGTATTGTCTAGAATATGTGAACATGTCAAATATTTGGAATGGTCTTTATTCATTGAAGTTATAAAGTGTATATATATATGCAGTATTTTTTAGCTTTGAATTGTCAAAAGCATCAGGAATAATGAAAATGAGCAACTTCTCATCGCAATAGATATATCTTCCGGTAGTAAAACTACTGTGTTTACTCGGATTGCGGAATATCATCAATCCAAAAGTGAAAAAAGAAAAGACGGCGTAAGAAGTGATTTTGAAAGATAAGATAGAAGTATGGTTGAATACGGTGTAAACGTCACGAACAAATTCGGATTTCTGTCAGATGATGGTAAGTGATAGAAGTTTTATGTAAGCAATGTGTGCAATGGTATATGGGAAAGTCGATGATTTCATTGTCCTATACTATTTACAACATGCCTTTTTCTAGTGTGTCTCTCTTTAGTTTATGTTCTTTTTCATCATGTTTCGTCTAGTGTTACCGAAATAAATTCAAAGCTCTTGTTTTGTTCACTATAAACATATCATGGTAGGTTTATCCAGAAAGATTTTTTTGAAAGGACAGAAGAGTAGGTGTAATTATTATTTAGCAAGTTTTCGATTGTTTTGATAGAAGTGTACGCTGCATTTCGTGTGGTGTGATAAGAAATAAGTTATGATTTCAGAGGTGGACGATCCTGAGGTGATATTCAGGAAGGCTGAAGCTTTAAGTAAAAAAGAAGAGAAAAGCGCAAGCCAGAAAAAAGCCGACAAAAATGCTGCAGCAAGGAAGAAGAAGGAAATCACTTCAACAGCAGTGATAACAGCTGTAGCAAGGGAAATGGAAGCAAAAAAACCACAGCTATCAGTCGGTGGTGGAATGAGAAATGACTGTAAACTGAAATACTGAAATTTTTTTCAATTATAATCTTTGTGGCTATTGCAAGTTAGATTAGTTGATGGGCTTCGGGTGATTAAAAAAATCGTGGGAGACGATGATTTGATACCTTTTTATCAATAAATCTTCATTATGATTTGGACTATTATTTGTGTGATTCCTTTTCTTATTTTAGTCAACAAAGAGAACAAGGAAAATCGCCCAGATGGAGAGCGTAGCCGTGGAAAGGGAAGGGGTCGTGGTGGTGTTGGTCGTGGCCGAGGCTTTATCCAGCAATTTGACAATATACGCCCACCATTTGATCAGGTTTGCTGGATACATTTGAGCAAAATATCATACCTGTTGTGTCAGTTTGGGATCGTTATTAGATAATTCTGCATCCCAAATCGATTGATTCCTAAATCCTTCACTGTTCCGCCATTTTTAAACTATTGACTTTGGCCTTTGTTATTCTTCATTGCTTTTGGCGCCCCATCAGGAAGTGGAGAGTCAAAAGTTAATATTTTGTGGTGATCAGAAGTGAAATTATAGAATTAAAACTACCGTGATTTAACAAATAAAAGTAGAAGAAACGAGGGAATGACGAAATGTTGGCCATAATGAGCATATGAATTGCTTAATGTGTGCCTATCTAATTCTGTAATTATCTGGTTTAATCATAATATTGTTTAGAATGGTGAGCGTGATGTCATGGCTGAAAGGTTTGGCGAGGGAAGGGGACGAGGACGTGGTCGTGGAAACAGAGGTCGACCATCTTTGTAAGTTATCAGAAACATGCAAAAGTTGCTGAATAGCCGAAGATTTTGTGATATTCTGACTGTCTTTTTTGGCTTCTGTTGTCAACTCTGGTATCTTTTCCAGATTTTAGAATCTGGTTACCCTGTTAATCTGGTTATTTTATCTGGTTAATTTGGTTATTTTAGAATCTGTTTATATCAGACTGAGTATTCTTTAGATTGATTTTCTCAAATATTGCCTGTTTAACGTCGAGATCTGAGCTTTCAAATTTATGATTTTTTGGATAATTAGTTCCAAATTGACTTAGTTTCAGCCGAGGCGGACGAGGTGGAATGCGGAATTTTGATGGAGATCAGGATCACAACATGATGGAGTTACAACCGGAGTTGAATGGCAACGGAAATATTGATCAGTTTGTCGAACGTCATAATCTCACCGGTTAGTTTTCGATTCATCATGAGATATATTTGTGGCATTGTAGAGGATGGCAATATAAGAAAACTGAAGACTATAGCTTTATCATTTATGCAAACAATTTCGTGATAGATTTTGGAACTTATCGTGGCCTATATCGTGGACGAGGCGGATTTCGTGGAGGCGATCGCGACGGTGAGCGTGAACGACCTGCGTTTCGTGGTGGACGTGGTGGGCGCGGTGGACGTCAGTTTGAGCGAATGAGTGGATCGGATCGAACTGGTGTTAAAACGACGGATAAAAAGGATGGTTTTGGAAAAGGTAATTGGGGAACTGATCAGGATGAAATGAATGGACAAAACGAGCAAATGAATGACGGTACTGAAGGTATAATTCCACTTATACATGATAACCGACACCACATTCCTGTCAGATACTTGTAGAAATTTGGATTCTCGAGTTTTTAGAAAAGTTTATTTAGTGGTTATATGTCAAAAAGTTATATGTTATCATTTTGTTTTCCGGGCAGTTATGCATCTTTTTGTGCATGTCTCAGTGATAAATTTTGGTGAAATTATTTTTCATTGCAGAAATGAATATGCATATAGTTTTTGCAGTTGTCGTAAAAGAAGAAGATGCCACGCCACGTGAGAAAACTCAGGAAGAGATACGTTTAGAGGCTGAAGCTGAAGCACGTGCCAAGCAACTCACCCTGGACGAATTCAAGGCACAGATTGCTTCTAAACGTTCGGAGCCTCACTTCAACATACGTCAGGCTGGCGAAGGTACTAACGATAAGGATTTCGGGAAACTTGTTCCTCTCAATAAACCGATCATGGAAGAGAATTCTGAGGAGGAAATCGTAGTCGTGGTGTGTTCCTTTGATTTAAGCGCTATTCTTCTTTTTATAAATTTATTTAAAAAAAGTGAGCGACAATCTGTATTTCTCGTTGAGGTTTTTTCAGCGTCGTGAACCACGCACCAAGCGACTAGATATCGAGATCAATTTCACAGATGAGCAACGTGGTGGACGTGGTGGTCGCATAAGGGATGGTTTTAGAAGTGGTCGCGGTCGTGGTGGACGAGAAAATCGTAATCCCAAGGAAGTCCAGACATTTGAAGTGTCTGCTGATGCTTTCCCGGCACTTGGAAGTCAGTAATCGTGCAGAGCTCGCATACCCAGAAACAAAACCGCAAAAAAGAAGCTTGTTAACTTTGAAACAATGGATTAATTAATCCCTGGCTGTTCGCCAATAATCTAATTGCTTATACACAAAATATTTTAAATTTAGTATTTGTATGTAGAAATTGTTCATGTGTTTACCGTCCTTGCCCTGCCACTTATTATACCATTCAGAGCGCAGGAAGATAGGGTGAAAAGCATGTATTCAGGATATTCCAATGTAACAGAATTATTTCATTTTTTTTCCTTCCGAGATCAAAAATTAAATCAAAGGGTTTAATTCGTTCTAATTGAAATAATCTTTAATATGCCCAATAGGCTGCAAATGTTTTGTTTCTATTCTTCCGAATTTGATCAGTTTTAAATCTTAAACATGTATTTGTTTGCTTTTCTGTTCTAATACATATTGAACCATTTTTCCTTTCATGTTGTAAATGAGTATTTACAAAGAGATAGGCAAAATTTGTTGGTTGGAATAGACTCCGTATTTTTGTGTTTCCCGTTTTCCAAATGGAATTTTTCCATTCGAGCAAAATATACAAAAATGCATGAATGTGGCGTTTCTTTAAAATCTTTTTTTGATCACATTTCGAGTTGTCAGGACGAGTTTTACTTTTTCTCATGATATAAAGCAGTTGTCTCTAAAAAAATGATTTTGTTGAGAACTATTTCTATAGCATCGTATTATGAATGTGATTTGAATTTTCGATGATTAAAGATAGATATATGACGTTGGGCAGATATGAAGCCTGTGATTTGGAAACAATGTTGCCGTTTTCATTCTAGAACATTTCATATTAAATTTAAAACATCTGGATAGTCTCTCGATGTGTTCATGGTTTAATTTATGTTTTGTCATTACCTGATGGAGGTTATGGCAATTAAACTGCGATAATACAAGCACATTGTGAAACGTAATGATTATTATGAGAGTCAATCGAATAAGCTACCTGGTCGTTTAAGAAAAAACGATTGTAGAGATTTTCAACAATGTGTTCCACGGACGAACCCTTTCATATGTCTGTCCACCTGGGGATATTTAACAAATGATAATTGGTGGAAATGCTTTGGCATAGTAAAAGACGGAAAAAAGTGGAGGGGGGAATGATACATTACGTTTGGATGTTTGGACGGGTAGGACTTATATCTTTTTGTGGACCGTAATGATTGTATACAACCTTCTATTCTGGAATATATATTTTTGAACTGTCTTCATTCCATCCACTTTTCGTTTCCATATTCTTTAACCTTTGAATCAAACTGAATCCTATTTTGGATTCTAATCAGTTAATTCCTTAATTAATCTTATTTATCATAATACATTGGGAAAAAAATGGATTCTCATAGCGTATGGAAGTAATTGATTAAATAGTCCTATAAAGGGAATATTATCATAATAATCATAATAATTTATATGCAATATATTAAATTACTTCTTCTGCATATAACTTCATAATGTTGTATATTCGATTGAAATAAAATGAAATTTAACAATAAATAATCTTTGCAATTAAAATAATCATTCCACCCGTAGCTAAAAAAGAATTTCTATTAGATTTTAGGGATGTTCAGTGTTAGCAGTGAGAGCTTGAGATGATAAATCAGTGTATAAAATATGTGAGATAAAATCGGAAAGGGATATTGCACCAGTTAATTGTCCATTTTTTGGATTAATGACAAATACACATCGACAATCTTTCCGACTAAGTGCAAAATCAAGAATTTGATTAACAGTATCAGTTTCTGATAAGAATAACATTGGTTGCCGATTTCTAATTGCTTCTATTGTTGTTAATTTCTGAGATTGCTCCTAAAAAAAATAAATTCAGTGAAAATAATAGGAATTACATTTTGAAAGATTAAGAGAATTAATTTTTAAATTTAATTCTTTTGATTTTATAATATATCTATTCTTTTCTATCTAATATTTAATTTCAAAATGACTTGAATGAAACAATCGTTTAGATCTCTCTTCCCTCTGAAAGTATTACATACATCTACTGCATGGAAAGATTGAGGTTTATATTTAAAATATATAAAAATTTCAAATATGAAGATTAACAATACTTTGAAACTTTTAGCATCCGCAAGAGCGTAAGCAATATCTGTTTTGCATATTACATCTACCGGACGATTCTCATCATCAATTATCGGTAAGCTAGAGATACGATAATCGAGCATTTTTCGCGCTACCATTTCCAAATTATCCTTCTCAGAAACCTAAGTAGGAAAAAAAATGCATTAATTAGTATTGAAAATGAATGCGAAATTAATTTCAAAAAAAGGAATTCTCATTAATTAATGAATTCGACATTCTAAACTTTTCTCATTATTTATCTAAATTACAACCGCCCACTTAGTCTATTTCACAATCGATCGATTTCATAATTAAGGTTACAAAAAAACAGTTGAATTTTCGAATTGTAGGTGCAATTCTTTGTAGGATTACTCATTATAATTAAGCTTAATTACAATTCTGCCACGATATCTTCTCCCTCACAACTATTACTTCTTCAGATCTTAAATTCAAGTGCTTGGCGTTTTCTTTTTGTCCTTTTTCTCTTCAATTCCATAGTATCACTAAATTATAACTAAATAAATAAATTAATATTAAATGAATTACTCAATTTATATCTCACATTACTAAATCATTTATTATTTACAATTGACAAACTAATTAGCATTGAAAGCATTCACTGATTTTTGGAAAAAAATTAACTTACCGTTTGCAAATTTTTCCATGTTCCTATTTTTGATTTCTTGATATCCCAATCAAGCCAGGATGCAAAATGCAATGAACGATTCTGAAAATAATGAATTTTTCCTGAAAACTAATCATATAACTTCTCAAATTGATAACAATGCATGAATGAATTACAATTAAGTTTCATGTATTATTGGAAAGTTTTTATTCCAACGGATCGGATATCCGGAAAATTTTTTTACGACTATCCTTAGAAATTGTACATTTTACTGCATTACTTCATCATACAAATTTCATTGCATCAAAACTGATAAAACAATTACATAAAGGAGGACCTGTTTATGAACCGCTTGCAAAATTCGTTTAATAGTTAGTAAATAGAGAACATCGCCAGCTTGATCCGGATAGATTACTATTCGATGAATACGATTAGAGCAAAATTCATGGCATGCTTTTAGCAATCTAAATTTTACTACTTTTAAAATTTTATAAAATGAAATGAAATAACATCATTAGGTTCCATTTAAAAAAAGAAACGAAATGAAATTTACTGAAAGCTTAATTTGTTTTATCATTTCAATCATTTCATTCAGTCTTATGATAATCAGAAAAAGTTATCAGTTTAAAAATGGAAGAAATTTAAATGTACTATAGTCTCTTCTCATTAATATTGCTAAATTTACACTTTTATTTCAAATGAGAAAGAGGAATATACATAGCATGCCTACAACATTAACCCCTGGGGATAATCAGTTTAAAGGACAGTGTCGCATGCGAATCCAATCATTAGTGTCAACCTTAGCGAATAATCGTTTCAGTGCCTTAAGATCTCCTCCGGACTCACCTACTTCCGCTAGCGAGGAATGGCGTTATTGTCTGATGTTAAATAATAATTCAATAAATAGATAAAGTGAAATTTTTTGTGATAAATGAAAAATGAACATTAGGCGCTAACTTGCATGATCCATTAAGCCAAACCAATTGATTAACGGGAACGGCTTCTTCAACGGTTGTTGATTCTTTGCTTGTTTGAGATAAAAGTGAAATGAGAAAATCGGTAAGTGTAAGTACTGCGATAACACCTTCCCGTCTACTACACCACACAACAACCGAACCAACACCCCATTCGATCAATATTTTGAAAGCTTTTTGTAACTGCAATCATTCTAATCTTTATGCATCATCAAATAATGTGATAGGAAAAAATTACATATTTTATAACAAAGTTTTCTTGAAAAATTGATAAATCAACAAAAAAATATTTATATGGATATCGAAGGATAGCGAAAAAATTTATTGAAAATCCATTTCAATTTTTATTTCCGATTTCAATTTCTAAAAATATTTTACATTTTATATTTAAATTTCTTTTTTTTTTTTTGACATACAAAAATGGTATAAACCGATTTGCGTTCAAAAAAATTGGTTCCATACGACAATAAAAGAAAGAAAAAAGTGATGCTTAGTTCATCTATCGCATAAACTTAAAATTCCAATTTAAATTTAAATTGAATATGATGAAGATATATGTATATATACATTTATATAATATACCTTCACTTTGCTATCCACAAGAATAACTCGACCAGCATGTGGCGCTAATTCATAACAATCTACCACTTTCATATATTGCTTGTATGGGTCTAAATTATTATCTGAAATTGAAAAATTAACTTATAAAGCCATCTTCCAAAAATAAATCAATTTTAAAAAAGTTTAAATTTAATAAAAGTATTACAGCAAGCATACAAATAATTAATTTTACTATATCCTTTTTTTGCCACATTTATTCAAACGAAATTATTATTTAATTTTGAAATCTCCAAAAAAAAAGAACTCAGTAAAATTCTATATCAGTTTTATTGAACAATTAAACGTACCTAAAAGGCCAACAACGTCTACTGATACCGGACGTGATGTCTTCCGTAAAATCAAAAAATCCTAAAATATTATTATAGTTAAGTCGACAAACCCTAGTCACCACAATGTAGAAGAAAAATTAGAAAAAAGACAAATCCTCGGTAGTTTAAAATTTTTTCACATAAATTTAAAAAATTATAAATTATCACTTTTTCATCAAGAAATATTTAGATTGAAATTAAAATTCAAATTAAATTAACAAAAAAAAAATAAAGAGAAACATACAGAGCTATTTGAGCGTGGCCGACGAAATGCTCTTGCATCATCGTAAAGATCGCATAAATCGCTATCATCTCGTAAATCATAAACTGATTCCACCGGACAACATTCAATCTGAATATAAATGTAAATAACAAATTTGAGATCAACAATGATAATATTCTTATCATTGGCTCATTCTTTTCCTTTATCAGCCATTGTATATTTTATTGAAAACTTTTTACATTTGAAGAAAAAATTTTTGAAGTGAAATGCTTCAAGATTGTGAAGATGAAGGGAAGTGAAGAAAGATTTCAGGTCAATTAACACGTAAAGAGTAATTGAATATGAATTAATCGATCTAATGAATGGCTAATATCATTTGATAAAATGAAGGAATAAATACACAATCTCATCTAATAAATCGTAAAGAAAAGAGTGTTGTAAGTAATCTTTAAAAATTTATTTATTCCATCCTTTATTTTAGTTTTAATTAGGATTTAAAAATTGAAGTGATAATTTAGTTAATTATTTTGAATAGTAAAAATTTTCAATGACATAATTTATAACTTCCTAATTTCTCATCACTCATTAAATAATGTAAAAGTTAATAATTCATTTATTCTAATTTAATTTTTCTCTTTCTTTAATTTTCTCTAATAATTCCATCGTAGCATAAGTGAAAGAATAATAACACAAAATTTTGCAAATACTATAAAATATTGTCTACGAAAAAAAAAGATTTGTTATTTTTAAATATTTAATTTACGCTAATTAAACCTGAACACGTCGTAATGGTTTATTTACAGGTGGCCATGGAACTTTTTTCTTCTCATTACTACCCATTGATTCACTTCGTGGACGTCCAACTAAAATTCGTAAACCTGAAATTCGTTAAATATTTCGATAGGGAAATTATTATTTAAATGAAATGAAATTTGCATTCAAAATTCTGAAATTTTAGTGGAAAGATTACAACAAATTTTAAACAATGCTTAATTTTCGCTTTTCTCTTCTCATATTTCATATTTATTTTAGAATTATGAAGAATATCATTGAAGAATAATTCAACATATGATCATCCGTGAAGATCCGATGATCATAGTTCAAGATATGACGCTATATGATCAAAATTGAATTATCATCTCTAATAGTTCAAAATATTATATCCTATAAATTTTACTGCAGTAAACTAATAAATGATCTAATAGATCATACTATAATAAAATTGTAAATATATTATTAAGTGTTTTTTGATGATCGATAATAAGAATAAAAAAGTTGGAAAAGATGAGATAAACTTTGAAGGATATTTTTATTCAAATCTAAAATGCTTCATTTATATGATAAAAATAAGTTTAATATGTTTATAACATTAAAGTAACGCAAAATGTTCAAATTAGTTCCAAATTTAATGGAATAGTAATTAAACAAAAGACTAATTAAATAAAATATTTAAAAATATAAAAATTGAAGTAAAAATAAAAAGTTTGACAGATATTTGAATAAAAGTTTTTACCTATAAATAAGAAATAAATAACAAAGATGAGCTCATTAAATTATTCCTTCAAAAAATTTTTTTATTATCATCCGACGGCTTCATCATAGACATTTAAATTAAAAACAATTTTAATTGTAAATAATTAACTTAATATTATCATTATTATTCATCTTTTCCTATTAATATGAAAGCTCTAAAATTCATTTCATCTTCTTTGTGACTTTTTGATGAAATTAAATAGAAGAAATTGAAATTTCAAATTTGCTACACAAATTTTCCATTTGTTTAATTGAGAAAGAATTAATAATAAGTAAGCGAGCGATTAAGTAAATAAGTAAGTAATTAAAGATGACTAAGCAGAAGGAAATGTCTTATGGAAATAAACTTTAAAAAAATTTAATTCTAATTAAAACAAAAGAAAAATTTTTATAACAGAAAAAATAAATTATATTTTTAGAAAAAAATAAATTATTCTCTCTTTTTCTATTATAAATTATATTTTTAGAAAAAAATAATTATTCCACAATTATATTTAAAATTGTGGAATAATAGAAATCTTTCAGTGAAACTTGAAAAAAACCACTCATCAGACCCCGGTTAAATTTAAACTTTCACTAATCATTCGTAGACCATGCGATGAGGAGTACGACATCCAGTAAGTAATCAGAAAGCGTGGAAGCATAACATTTAGCTGAATGTGCCTACAATATCAAGGCGAATTT